ATCGGTGTGTTTTCACTGATTCTGTGTTTAGATTTTTTGTGTTAATTTTGGAGCAAAAGAGTCTAAATCTAATGCTGTTATTATTATAACTGTATTATTATTATTATAAACACAGTATTAACCCATAGTTTTTATTATAACAGTTTTAACAGTTAGTATATATTTGACTGCCAACCAGTTATTTTTAAACTGACCTCTTCTCTCTCTCTCTCACTCACTCACTCACTCACTCACCCACTAACTACTGAACCACTATATACTATCATTTAATTCATATAAGTTATTAATACCCCCGCGACACTCAACAACAACAAAAAATACTACTAGTATTTATAAATATAGTATATTATTATATATTTATATAATAAATATATATATAAACAAATATACAAAACTGTTATATACACATGTCATTCTAGATTTGTGTATTATATATATTGTTATTTTTATTTTTGTTGTTTTATTTATCATTATCATTATTATTGTATATTATTTATTATTGTTGTGATATTATTGTTAGTCTAATGAATATATATCCAAGAATATGGTGACAATAATGAAAGTCTCAAATTATATAATGGCATCTATTGTATGACATTGTCATGTAATCAATTTTTGAAGGGGTATTTGTTACTCATTATTGTTGTTTTTTTTTATTTTTAAATTTTTGTTGTATAGTACTGTGTATTTTTAGGACATTTTTCTATTAACATATTAATAGAGATTTAATAATTAATTAAATGTTTTTAATTATATGTTATTCAACACTAATTATTTTCCATTTTAATTAATAATCATTTTTATAATATATAGTATATACTGTAAAATATATATCTTAGTATTGTATACAATATACCGTATTATAATCATATATTAACTTATATATATTATATATCAATATATATTAATTACACACTCAGTGTGTTTTATTTGAATACATTTTTTTCAAAATTTCGTAATCAAATTTTTTTTTATATACTTTAGTTTTTAAAATTTTTTAACATACACTACACCCAGTAATGTATAGTACAGTACAGTATAAGTTAAAAGTATATGTACGGTACGTGTAAACAAATAGTAATGCCATTTAAGATTTTTTTTTCTATTTGTTGCGTGTTTTGAAGTGATCTTTAAAATTGTGGAACAGTTGGATGAGATGTTAGGAAAGAGAGAGAGAGAGAAAGTAAGAGAAAGAAAGAGAGAGAGAATTTTGAAGTACATGGAAGACAGGGCTGTTTTGGAAAAGGGAATGTTAGCTCTCAGATAACTTTCAGAGAGAGAGAGAGAGAGAGAGAGAGAGAGAGAGAGAGAGAGAGAGAGAGAGAGAGAGAGAGGATGATGTGTTGCTGCACAGGGATGTGAATAATGCGCGCCTTTCAACTAAATTGGCGAATATTCTGGCGCTTTGCCATACATTTCCCATCTTTTCCAAAATGTTTTTGCCTATCATTTGTTTGTCTCTTTTATGAATCTCTTTTTTTTATCAAACATTTAATTTACTTTACGTTTAAAGTTGTCTTTTTTGTATTTTGTGACTACAATTAATATATTAAATATTTTGCTTATATATACACTATGGAAAAAAGGGCAAACAATTTTGCACTTTTACTATACATTAACATTATTAACTGTATTAGTACTGTATAATATTATAACACTATTTAAGCAATTTTTTTTAGGAAAATCCACTGAAAATTATTAACATTTAAAATACAGTAATTATTAGTATTTAAACATTTTTTTAGATGTTTAACAATAATATTAGTTTTAATTATGCTTTCTCAAGCTAATTTACTTTTACACACACACACACAAAATATAATATTTAGATAACAATTTAGTCTACAATTTTTATTATTACAATTTCAAATATATTATTCATAAAACTTTAAGAATTTTTTGTTTGTTTATATGTAGTAAAATGATCTAAAAGAAAATCTCTCTCTCTCTCTCTCTCTCTCTCTCTCTCTCTTTGAGGTTTTGTCCCAATATTTATGATGTTTTTTTTGTTAGTTTGTTTGTGTGTTTATTTGAAATTTACATTTGATTTGATATGAATTGAAATAAACACCATAACAATAAAAAACTGATTGCAACTCTAAATATATAATAGATTTACAACTTTTTATTTGAGGTGATTGTCGATTACTATTATTATTGTCGTCGACTACTATAATACTACTATTATTATTACTACTACTACTACTTCTACTTTCTAATAAAAAAAACCGCTACTAATAAAACATTTCAATCATCTAACTATTATTACTGTATTATTATTATTATTGTGTCGTTTTTTAAAAATGTCTAGACTAGGGATATGGCGTAAATCACGCGTACATTTGCCTAACAAAATGTTGACAAATACTTTATATCAAAAAAAATTAAAAAAAATAAGTTATATAAAAAACAAACTAATAGTGTGTTCCCTTTTTTTTGATGTAATAGAGTGTCTAGGTTGAATATATATATCTAAGTGTGCGTGTGTTAATAAAAAAGGAAATGGGTTAATTTGTTAGCATTCATAGCCCATAGACCCCTAAGAGGACCTAGATGATCAATTGAATGAATGAATGAATAGACCCACTGTATTATATTGTATTATATATATAGTGATTTGCCAGTATATTTAAAATGTATATATCTATTCACACCAGTGCGTGGCACGCGCTGCACGTGCTAACACAGAGGGACCTCATGTCTCATTTATATGGGCTCGTTCCTCTCCCCCTATACCGGTGCTCTTTAAAAGTGAGTGTGTGTGTGTGTGTGAATGTGAGAGAGTGGGACAAAAAAAAGTAGACTTTCCCCTCATATATATATACAATATCTACATATATTCACTTTTATGAATAAACATCTCTACTTTAATGATGACTTTTTTAACGCTTCAATCAGTTTTGAAGTTTTTTTGGCAAAAAAATAAATAAAATAAAATAGTTTTGTTGTTGTTATTGCTATTGAGCCAAACTTTTTTTTTGTTTTCATCATTTAAAAATTTTGTTTGACGAGAGAGAGAGAGGAGATAATAGTTTATCTTTAATCAGTATATTTTTCTCTATATTGCATATTCAATACACAACAATACAAAATAAACCAATACCAATACTATACAAACAATTGCATTCAATGTCTCAATATATATAAATATTGAAAAACAAAAGAAAATGTTGAGATATATTATATAAGTTTTCCCAAAAAAATAAGATTTAGACAACATCTGGACCACAATCCGTGGCATTTAGTAAATTATATTATAGTAAACATGTTTTGTTGGCTTTTAAAACTATAACATTTAATTTTTTTAAATTTTATTTTACATTACCATCACTTGTGTGTGTGTGTGTGTGTGTGCAGTATATAATGAGAGTATGTTTTATGACTCTATCAATGATATAATGATTGATTAGTTTAAAGAGAGAGAGAGAGAGAGAGAATGAAAACTATTTTATTAATCGATTAATAATATTCAGCAAAAATTTTTGTTTGAAAACTCTTTTTCATTTGTTTTGACAAACTCTAGTGTAAAACTCAAAAAGTCTATTAATTCAAGATTGTAGTGAAAAAAAGAGAGAGAGAGAGATTGGAGTGAGAACTACAGTGATATAACTATACAATTAAGTAATGGGCAAACAATTGAGATGATATGGGTATGGGGTATGAGATATGGTATCTCTCTTTCTCTCTTATAGTCCCAGCCCTATAACTATAAGTGCAGAGCAAATGTGGTACCGATTTCCTGTGGAGTCTGTATGACGCGTGCCGTTCGTACGCTATGTGCCCATCCATTAGAGATAGTAATATATATATATATATGACTTAAGCACTTGTCATGTCTTTCATGTCGGTTCCACCGTCTTGTACTGTACTGTACTCTTGCTGTTGCTCTTCAAAGAGGGGATACTGTAGTAGTAGTAGTGTATAGATGAGTGAATAGCAATAGTAGTAGTAGTAGTATTAGTACTGTAGTTATGTGCTGTAACTGTTGTCTCATAGATAATGGGACATCCCATACGAGTGAGTTGATGCATGAGATTCATCGAGAAAGAGATAAAGAGAGAGAGAGAGAGAGAGAGAGAGAGAGAGAGAGAGATATCTTTAGAGATATATGGTGTGTATGTGTGGTGCAGTTGGTGTATTAGCTCTATGTGATGGGTGAATATGTATGTATGTATGGGTACTGATGCTGATAGTTGATGGGCTGCTGCTCTGTGCTGGGGCTTGTGCTCTGCGCTCTCTTGTCTGTGCCGTACACTCTTATATTGATATATATATATCAAGCGATACCATATAAGGCAAAGAGACGACACGATCGCATCCCTAGGCCTGGTATGTCATCATCATCTTAAATGCCTGCCTTTCTATCGCATCCTTGTAGTAGTTTTGAAGAAAAATCAGTTTTTGGGGTTCTTTGCCAACAAACAAAAATCTGGTGGTGACCTGACAGCAGCTTCAGTGTGCACACCGATTGGCTGCGTTAGGGCTGTGCTGGTCTCTGACGTCGTCGACAACTCTCATGCAACGAGTCTGTTGAGTCTCTCTCTCTCTCTCTCTCTCTCTCACTCACTCACTCACTCACTCACTCACTCTCATATGAGCTAATTCTCGATACATACATACATACACACTCACTCACTCACTCGCTATTACTGACTATTGCTGTAATACCAGAGCAACTCCAGAGTGAGAGAAATGCATACATACACTCACACACACAACACAACTATCTTTACGTTACTAAAGATATCTATGTTTTATAAAAAGTTTTATATCACTGTTTAAGAAGTGCCTCTCATATATATATACAGTATATATTAGACATACATATTATTATACATTTATATATATATATCATACTCTCAGTGTGCCTCACAAAATAGCATCTCATGTATCCATTGAATTTCCAATGAAAAATACATCACACATCTCATCTCATCATTGATTATATATATTTATATTTATATATAGTTTTGTCTCTTTTATTTTTATGACCTAAACAGTGCTCCATCTCATCCATACAAACACAAGAGTTGATTAATATATATTTTTTGCATAAAACTTATCGAAAAAGACGGGGAAACAAAACAAATTGATATAATAATAATAATAATCTTCCGTTTGGTTATAATTATGCTTTTAAGGTAAGCAATCATATTTAGATTTTATTTATTGTTTTTTACTAAATAATTATATTTATAATAATATTATTATTATTGTGTGTATATATTATACAGTACTACATATATATATTATAAAAATGTTTAATTATTATATATATATTATATATCTATATTTGTGGTGATATACCATTTGACTCCTGCGCTTTAATCAGTTATTTATATAAAACATTTGTCATCAATTATATATATATGTTCATCACACAAGTAATATCTATATCTATATATATATATTATATACGTATATATATACAGTTATATACTGTATATATATATATATATATATATATATATTGATTATCACCATAGCATATCCTCACTATTTGATTATCATTTATTTATTTCACTGATAACTATCAGTCTTTACCATATGTGGTACATGTATTAAAATGCAAACGTCAAAAATTATTTTTTTTCTCTCAAATTTAAATAATTTTTATTAAAGAAAATTTTTAATTATTTAAAAAAAATCATAATTTATAAATTAGGAACATAAATGAAATGCTATGATTTATAATTTTATTATTTATAAGTTATAATTTTACCTAATATAATATGATATATGTTTTACTACCGTATTCATATATTTTTTAATTTATATATACGTATATCTATATTACACACATAGCATAACATATATTTTATTAACTGTATATATATATATATATATAAATTTAATTTAAGTGCAATAACTTTTTAGTTATGAATACAATAGTAGTGTTTATATTGTATTGTTATTATTATTATTACTTCAGAGATGCTATATGTATGTTAATTATGATTTAGAAATTATAATTAATTGCAAAACTGTCTTAATTGGTGACTGAAATTTTTATAACTGTATGTGAAAACAGTTGAGAGAAAAAAAAGAGATGTGTCATAAACTTTATATATTATTGTATTGTATTGTATATAAGCTTATGATTTAAAAGGGGGTATAATAATAAAGAAATAAAATAATTTCATTTTGAAAACCGTCAGTGAATGTATTCAATAATAATAATAATAATAATATTGAGACTATTATTATATACAGTTTATAATTACGGACCTATTATTTATGTAGAATATAAACTCAATTTCTTATTCACATATCATGCGATGCTTTAACCCTTAAAAAAGTAGTATTTAGTAGTAGTAGTAGTAGTTGTTGTTATAGTAAAATGTAGTGTTAGTGGACTGGTATTATAAAAATTGAGTGAATGTGTTTCTCTCTACATATATGTTGTTTTTCTTATATATATATATATCTTATTAAATATGTGTGTGCGTGAGAGAGAGAGAGAGAGTCAGCAAAATTGATGGCCAGAGGCATTAACCCATATATCTATATGTTTAAGTCGTTTAAGTAAAACTACATACTAAACAAGCAGTTAAGAGAGAGAGAGAGAGAGAGAGAGAGAGAGAGAGAGAGAGAGAGAATTTTGAAAATTGGGTTATTCTGGTGAAGACAGGCATCAACGACCTGTGCTGAGGTTGGTGTCCGCTATCTAAGCAGTATTATTAGTATTATTATCATTACTATTACTAACATTATATTATATATATGTGCAGTGAAATGCATGTTTGTGGCAAATATGGCAAAAAGCACTTATCAGCGACAAGTGTGTGTATGTATGTGTGTGTGTGTGTGTACTGTATGTAGGCCAGGGTTGGACAAGGTCATCATCGGACAGCCCCAAATCGAGGCCAATGTCCTCTCAGTTACCAGTGTGTGCTCATACTGTTTCAGATCCATTAATAATAATAATAATATTATTATGATATGAATAGTAGGTAGAGTTAAATACACTTTACTCTCGCAGTGATAGTTTAATACTCTTTATATAAAAACAATACAATATACCATTGCTTAGTACATATACAGAGAGTATATATACCAATACAATAATACAATACAATAGAAAAGGTAGTGTAAAACTTGTAAAATGAAATAAGCATTTCTTTCTCATTGACATGTTTTTCATGACTACTATAGCTATAATAATAATAATAATATTAATACTAATAATAATAATACTAAATAATAAAAAGAGCTTTTTGTCATTTCATTAAACTCAGTGGTGAATCACAAGATATTTCAAATTTATATATAAGACTTTACTTTACTATTAAAACAAAATGCTTCTCTCTCTCTCTCTCTCTCTCTCTCTCTCTCTCTCTCTCTCTCTCTCTCTCTCTCTCTTAAAGATAAATAATTGAGATTTGGGATTCACATATAATAATTGAATGACAAGCAGCTGCTAGACATCAGATATGCCGCTTCCTGCCTAAAACTGAAGAGCCACCACAGCTCACAGCTCCCTATCCTATCCTATCCTTTCCCTATTCCTTAAAGTCAATGCCTTCCCTTTTCCTCCATTGCCTCCTTTTTTTCTCTGCCATATCCTTCACAATTATTACAGCATTTTACACACTCTACGGGCTCTCAGTTATCTTCTCGCCATTTAATAATTTAATAGTAATAGTAGTATTAGTCCAATAAGTCTCTCTCTCTCAAAAAAAAATTTAAAAGTCACACATAAATGACTTACATAGTGTATAAAAAATCACTCATCTTTTAGATAAGTAAATTAAAATAAGTGTTGGATTATATTATATATATTGTAGTTTCGTATGACTTTAATCTCAATTTCATTCACCAAAATAAATATTCCCAAAGAATGAAATCTTTATTTTGTTGAAAGATATGTGAGTATAGAGTAGTAAGATATGGGATACATTTGGTCGGTTAGGTTATGGGTATGGCATAGGAGAGAAAGAGAGAGAGAGAGAGAGAGAGAGAGAGAATCCGGTGCCTCAATCATCAGGGAGTCATCAAAATCTGAATTTTTCCTCTATATAGCTATCGTATCGTATGAATTGTCTTTTTTTCCTTATAATATGATTACTTACTTATAAAATGTTAATTGGATTCATCTGTGAACTTGTCCTCATTATCTCATTATTTATTTATCTCTTATTATTATTATTTTTAAAAAAATTTGCCAATTGTTATGTTTAACTACTACTACTACTACAGCATATGAACGGTACTACTCCCTAAATATCTGTACAAATACTGTATGAAATAAATAAATAAAATATCTCTTCAATGCATTATATTTAAAAAAAACATCAAATAATTTTTATTTTAAGGGTTACAACCAAACACAATATAATAAAAAAAGGTATTATAAGTGGGAGAGAGAGAGAGAGAGAGAGAGAGAGACGGAAAAAACTTCTGTCATATTTTTTCAATACTTTGAAAATTTATGTTTGCATTGAATGGATTGGCAATTGTTTTGCTTTGTTTTTATTGTTGTTGTTTTTTGATTTTTTTATTTATCGCACATTTGTTTCAGTCTAAACATCAAAAATCATTTATTATTAATATAAACCAATATGTATTACTGGAGTCAAGTCAATCAGTTATATATTTTTAACGGGTTGTTGTTGTTGTTGTTGTTGTATGTGTCATATGATTAATAATTATTAATTGTTTTGCTTGATATAATAATAATAGCAACAAAAAAAATAACAATAAATTATACTAATCATGTTGAACTATTAAATTTTACAATTGTTTTGTTTTTATAATTGACTTTAAATTATTAAGTTATTAACTAAAATATTTAATTAATATATAATTTTTAGCTAGCGGAAAAAATATTATTGTTTAATTATGGTTTTTACTTTAATAAAAAAATTTTTTTTCTTAGATTCACTTGTAAATATTTTAGAAATATTTTTAACTATTTTTAAAAATATATATACAGTATTAGTTTGTTTGTTGTTTTAGTATTTTTAAGTTTAAACATTTTCAAACTATGCATAGTATAAGTAATATTTGATTTAACTATTAGAAAATTATTGCAATCTATATATTTTTTTAAAAAATTATACAGTATTAATGTATATTAAGATTTTTGCACTTTTATATTTTACTATACATGTGATCTATTGGGGGAAAAACTTTAGAAATCATCCACAAAAAAAATTAACAAAACTTTTGATTCACTATTTTGACTGCAAGGTGTAGATAGACTAGTATTTAATGTATTTTTACCTAAAAAAAATTTATTAACAAAAAAAACTATGATTTGATTTCAATTTTGGTGATATTATCGGTCAACTAACTATACTACTAAAAATCACTCGGAAAAATAACAAGCGTTGAATTGAATTGAATTGAATTTAATTTTATTTCAATGCATTTTTTTTAGTATACAATTGTATGTGTGTTTTGATTTTCTCGCTGACTGTCTTTTTTCATTATTATTATTATCACTAATTCAGTGAACCCTAAAAGTTTTTGAAGAAAAAAAAAACTAAATAATTTTTTTTATATAACAATCGATTGTTTAGTTTTTTGCTGATATAATTAGTGATGTGCTGGTCCGATACGGTGATAGGGACTGGTAAGAAAGGGAACGGTATGTGTATGTGTGTGTGTGTACTGTGCAAAGGTATGCATTTGGTGTGTGTTTTGGTGATTCCCACGCGAATCCTTAACGCAATGAATATCTTCAAATGGTATTAAATGTGTGTTAAGTCTAGTGTGTCGTTGCGCTAAAACATAGCCACAGTGAGTGAGTGAGTGAGAGAGAGAGAGAGAGAGAGAGAGAGAGCACAGGTACACCACATGTATGTATAAAAATGGTTTCAGACTACAAATATATATAGATATACACCTGAATAATATTGTGAACACCTTAGCGTATACCTTAGCGATCGGTTTTGTGGTATTCTTCAATAGTACAGTATGTATATACGGTACTGTATATAGCACTGGTATGAAAGAGAGATAAGTGTGCAGCAAAAAGAAGCTGACCTCACCATTAGGTCAATGATCTGTAATTAAGGTTAAGATGGAAAAAGAGCACTAACTTTAATAGCAATACAACTAACTATTATTATTCAGTGTAATACCGCTACCAATAGGATCAGTGCCTCTCTCTCTCTCTCTCTCTCTCTCTCTCTCTCTCTCTCTCTCTCTCTCTCTCTCTCTCTCTCTCTCTCTCTCTTAGCTCTTGTGCTACTAATTTGATTCATTCAAAGCTCTCAATTCAACAAAAGTCATGAAAAGAAGAAATGTCTTGAAGTGAAAACTCTTCATAAAGTTTTTAACCACAATCTATGACAACAACTCACGTGTGACACTAATATTATACAACTTTTTCTTACATATATATATATACAGTATATAATATATATAGTATATATAAAACAATTTTTATTGCTTTTTCTGATTTTGTTGTTTTATTTTCATAATATAAAATACAGCACTAAATAATGCATTCACTGAACAGTGATTTCCTTTTTTCTCCACTCTTTCTCCCAAAAAAAAAAAGTTTTATTCAATCATTCATTTCTCCAAAAAAATCATATATATATAGTACTGTACTGATACACACACACACACACACACACACACACACACACACATAGATCTACATAATGAATGGACTATTATATGGGCAAAACATTAATCCTTTATATATATTTTTTTATTTTATTTAAACAGAGACTACTAATATCCAGAAAACATTTGTCGACAACAATAATAATAATACAATAACAACAACAACAAAAACCCAATAGAAAACAGGTGGCATTTCAACAACAACACAAAAATCCACCTATTATTTTGTATTATTACAACTATTATCATCACATTTTTTGGTAGCACTTTATTTGCGCGGTGATAATTGACGGAAGAGTGGCTACCATTAAGCACAGAGCAATGGGGAGGAAAAAGATTCAAATCTCTCGCATCACCGATGAAAGGAACAGACAGGTAAAGTACATCACAGAAGAAACACAAAAAAAAATATATTTAAAAAAGGAAAGGGATGGCAATGAATGGGAAATGGATTGAATCCAATACATACACACATATATATACTGTACATACACTCTCACAGATAGATAGCAAAAATCATATGTTTTTTTTTAAAGAGATTTGTATACACGAAAAAAAATCTTAGAAAGAAATTGTTTTTTTGTTGCTTTTCTCTTAATTTTTTAATATTAATGTCAAAAACCTTTTTCATTCATTCATTGAGTCAGTCATTCATTCATTGATTTAACTTATATATGATATATAGTTTAACTATGTATTAGATCGAGACGAGTGATGTTTTATTATTATTTAATTTTATATTTATTATCAAATGATGAGAACAATTGCTATAAGTGTTTTTAAAAAAAAAATAATTTCAAATATGATGTGAAATAATAGTATGTAATACATAGATAGATAGACAGACAACCGTTATATACAACCAACGAAAAAAATGAGGATTTAGTTGTAGTATTAGTATTACTATTATTATTATTATTCATAAATTCATTTTGATTGCAAGTGTATGTATGTAAGTGTATATATATGTATACCTAAGTGATTGAAAAACCTGATAATAACTACATTTTGTTATTTATTCAAAAAACTAAAAAAACTGCTTTATTTGGCTCTTTAGGTCACATTCACTAAAAGAAAGTTTGGTTTAATGAAAAAGGCTTACGAGCTGTCGGTTCTCTGTGACTGCGAGATAGCATTAATAATCTTCAACAGCACCAACAAGTTATTCCAATACGCGAGCACCGACATGGATAAGGTGCTGCTCAAGTACACCGAGTACAATGAACCCCATGAAAGTAGGACAAACAGCGATATCGTTGAGGTTATTAGACCTTAAGTATTATTATTATTTCAATAGTATATATATACAGTATATATATATATATATATGCTGTATGTATGTATGACATGACATACACTTAACTAAACTATAAAGTTTTTGTTTTGTTTTGTTTTTTTTTTGATATGAAAAAAGACAATCCACTTAAATAGAGTTATAATAAACTTTTTAAAATATTTATGAGTTAAGAGAGAGAGAGAGAGAGAGAGAGAGAGAGAGAGAGAGAGAGAGAGAGAGAGATCATAAAACTTTTAATATTTAAAAAATTTTGTGTTTCATTTTTTTCTCTACTATCTTTCGGCTACCCGTCCTCCATATGACCACCATTTCAAAAACAACAACAACAACAGGCACTAAACAAGAAGGAACACAAGGGTTCCAATGGCTGCGACAGTCCCGAACCGGACGACTCCCAGTACACACTGACGCCGAGAACCGAAGCGAAATACAATAAAATCAATGAAGAGTTTGAGCTAATGATGCAGAGGAATGCCGCACACATTAATGGCAATAGAGTTAGTGACACCTAAAACATTGAAAACAATATAATATAATATAATATATAAAACATACCAAAACAATATACCCTAACATACCTTTCCCCAGTCTAGTTATCACCTCTATTATAGTTTTTTTTTTGAAAAAAATACATTATATTAGATTTTATTACTTTAATTATCAATTATTTTTTTGTTTGTTGGTAATTGTGTTGCACAATATGTTTTGTGTGTTTGTATAACTAATCATTATATCAAACACTGTTATATTAATAGTATTAGTAATAATCATAATAACCGTTTTTTATAATAAAAAAAATTATTTGCTCCCTCTCTCCCAACACAACACAAAGCATATATATATATTAATTGTTATAATAATTTATTAAATTTATATTTTTGTTATTATCATTATTATAATTATTATTATAGTCGACGCCGACATCAGGATTGACACAATCTTCCGGAATATCACCCATTCCCGTAACATTACCCATGAACTCTTCGCCATACGGGCCCCAGGATTCTAGTCTATTGCAAACCACCCAACTATCACCTCATTCTTCATGTGTCAGTCCCCGACCCAGTTCTTCAAGTAATGAATCAGTCGATTTAAATGATTGTACTTTAAATTAATTTTTTTTACCATTTTTTTCAATGAATCAAATTATTTGTAGTACAAAAGCAAAAAATAATACTAATTTATTGAATTTATTTTTTTATTTTTTTTTTGTTGAAATTTATTACCCAAAAAAAACAAACAAACAAACAAATAACAGACGCAATGCTTGATATGACAAATCCGGCCGCAAATACCAATGGCTATCATCGCTCGTGCTCTCCGTCGGGAATGTCGGGCAGCAGTTCACCAAATTTGGTGGTCAACAACAACAATGTCAAACAGGTTCATGCGGTCAAAACATCAAATGGCACATCAGGTGTCAATAATAATAATAATAATAATCGAGGAATGAGAATCGTTATGTCTAATTCACACAATAATTTAGTTAGTATTTTAGACAATTTATTTTTATTAAAAAACAACTAATTTTTAATTTTATTTATTAATTTTCAAATATATAGTCACCGAGAAATGGTGTAATAGGGAATCCAGCAATCTCTGTGGCCACTACTATACCCGGTATGGCTGGCTATCCGTCCTCTTTAGGCTCCTTCGGTTCCAGTATGTGTCCTATTGCTATATAAATAATAAATTAATTAAAATATAATTTTAATTAAATATTTGTATTATTATAATTTATTTATTTATTTTGTTACATCTAGATGAATTTCAAATAAATTCGGAGCTAGCACTGGCCGGTTTTAATTCACCCGGCATACTTCATAACTGGTCTCAACACTCACTTACCGGTTTAACGCATGGAAGGTATGGGTGCGCACAAATTTTTTTTGACCCTTTAATTAATTAATTAATTACCGTAATTGACAAATGGTGTTAATTTTTTTATTTATTTATTTATTATATATTAATTTAATTAGCGCGTCAACGCCCGGCAACGCAGGTCTTCCCCACTTATCTGTCAGTAGTAGTACACCCCCGCCCTCATCATCGCCACTATCGATAAAAGTGAAAAGCGAACCAATATCGCCGCCGCGTGACGGTTCCCACGGTAATCTGGGTCCTCTACAGAGGCCACCGTCGAGCACAACCGGTCATCTATCGCCGGGACATCCATTGACACCATCGACATCATCGTCACCCGACCCATCCGGCAGTTCCGATTACGAGGGACCCATCCAGAAGCGGATCCGAGTGACGGCCGATGGATGGTCTGCTTAACGCTAACCATACATACATACATACAAACAAACGACACACAAATTTTCAAATTGTCGATCATTTTTCTTGAAATTAAGAGAAAAAACTAAATAATTAATAATTAATAATAATAATGAATATATATATAAATATATTATATCAAAGTTTTTCATAATAATAACTTCTTGAAGACATCAAATCTAATCTAATCGACTGATTTGTTGTTTTTTGAACTATAGCTGAGAAAAACTGATTGTTGTTATTATTAATTAATAATAATAATACAAAAATGACTTTTTTTTTGATAAAAAAAATTGCAATCAGTTCCTCATAACTAAACACAAACAGACAGACACACAAAATACACAGATTATTATAATAATATGTATGTAATGTAAAGAAATTAATTAATTAATGAATTAATATTTAAGTAATTTTTATGTTTGTTAAAGAAGTGATTTTTTGATTGTTATAAATCAGATATTTGTATCCGAAAAAAAAATTTGGGATACAATTCAAGTGATAGAGAGTCCACACAATTTATAATAATAATAGTAATAGTAATGATAATAATAATAATAATAAACATTAATTAAAAACATAATAATAATAATAACGAAGAAATACTGAAAAAATTTTATTAATAATTGTGACAAATGATGGCTAAGATAGTAGTAGTAGTAGTAATAGTAGTCGTGCTCTCAGATGAAAATGAGCTGATTTTGATGATGAACTACTACTACTAGTTATGTATTATACATGTATATCGTATTCCCGATTAGTTTTTTATAAATCATAAGAAAAAAATTAAATTGAAGACAAATATGAAGAAAAATTTTTGGCTGCCTTTCAAACCATCAGTATATATATATATATTATAATATATATATATAATTATGAAAACACTTCCAGTGTTGTGACACATGAAATCTCATTTGATAATGCCTTTACAAATAATAATAAGTAATATCATCCTTAAAATAATAACTGATAATAAAGTGAAGGTGTTTTGTAATTTCGTTTTTCTTCTTCTTCTTCTCTCTGAACGCATTGACCATCGATGACATACACCATCTTTAACAGATGTATTGTCTTGAATAGGAGAGCCAATTAACCAACTAAACCAACCAAACCGATCGCTCACATCTATTAATGAGGACCAACCAAGTGTTTGACAACAGTATATCTATATTTAAAAAAAAAGACAAAAACTCACGGATACATACTCTTACACAAACACACACACCATTACAGTTGCCTTTTATTTAATTTATATTAATTAATATTATATATATATATAATGATTGTAATTAAATTGTTTTTTGATTATCTAATTGTTACACACATAGAGAGTTGTTTAAGAAATATTGATATATTGATATTATATATACCGTATATATACAGTATATCCGATCACTTTGTAATCGTTAACTGTTTTTTCTATTAATGTGCTAATTGTTAAATATTTAAAAACAAAACAAAATCATATATTAATATCATTTTTATTTGTCAATTATATTTGTACTAGTTTATATAATATGTTATATATATATATATATATATATATATATATATATATAATATACAATCCATTATTAGCCATCTTATATAATGTAATTACAACTATTTATATATACATATATATAATGGATAACATCATTTTTAATGGCCTTTTTTATTAATATTATATTATTACTATAATATGAATAATATAATATAATATTATACGAAATTGATAATATGTGACCAACAAAAACAACAATAACAACAAATTGTTAACAACTTTATACTGTATATTAATATAATTAATGACAAACACATTATTATTGTTATTATAAGACACTAAAAAAACCGACAAAACTAAACACTTATAAATATATATATATATATATATATATCATAAATATAATATTTAATTATATTATATAATATATATATATATAATTGGGATAATTAGTGAGATTTTCTTCCTAGTGAAATTAGTGATTACAAAAAAATAATAATTAATTAATTAAATGCCAATAGTTTAGGTGTGTTTTTACAAACAAAAAAAAAACTAATCAAATGCTTATACCGTGTATTTATAATAATTGAATTTTCACTATTATTATTATTATTATTATTATTACGACAAAATAAGTTTAGTAGTAAACAATGATTACAATTATTATTAAGATAAATAAATAAATAAATAAATTAGAAAAAACACATTAAGTGCCACATCTGTTGAAAATTTTAAAGATCTATTTAATATTATTATTATTATTATTATAAATATATATATAATTGACAATTACTTAAACAAAATCTTGTCATGGTCATCATTTCTACATATTTTTAATTATTGAAAATATTTATATATATATATAATTTTAAATTTTTTAAATTTTGAATGCTTAGTTAAAAATTGATAATATCTTTACATCATTTTATATCTCTATTATTAATTTAGTTATTTATGACAGTATTATACCATAAATAATATAATTGATATTCAGATTAAAAAATAATTATTAATTACTTAATTAAGTACAATATATATATATATATATAAATTGTTGAATGCTTTTAAATTATTATTGTTAACTATTTGTTTACCACAGAAAATATAATAGCTAAAACAATTATTTTTTAGACAATTTAAATATTATCGTAAATAATTTTTCAGTATATATATATATATTGATATATAAAGTTTATTATTATTATTATTATTATTACAAATATTATGAGATATTTTTTTTTTAAAGTCACCATTAAATAACACACAATTAATAGTTCAAAAAACTAATATTTAATTAAATGATAAATACATTTATGTTATATATATATAAATTTGTCGTTTGATAATTATAAGCTTGAAACGAGCAATTTGGGCTTAAATCAAAAAAAATAATTTATTAATTGTGTACCTGGATACTCTCTGTTATTACCACAATTATATTGATAAATAATTATTATTAGTAAATAAATAAATATATAAATAGATTAATTATATTTGATCATTACATACATACACCACATAGACATAGACACACAAAAACACATACATACAGTACTTATAAATCATTAAATATTATTAATTAATTATTATTGTATTATAATTATTGTTAGATGTATTTTATTTCATATTATTATTATAATTATTATATTAACTATTTGTGTGATTTTTTTTCGAAAAAAAACAAATGTTTTTTTTTAAAAATAGGATATCTAATCAATTATATATAAAATAATATATTTGATTTAATATTGATGTCTATCTCTATATCTCTATAACTATATTCTCTTTATCATTGATAAAATATTATATACTTTTTGTAGTTTCATATTGTTTTTTGAATCCATAATATTTTTTCCTTTATATTATTATTATATAAAAATCTAACACAACTTTTTTTGTCAAACAATTTTCATGTTAAATAATTGTCATTATTTTAGTAATTTTATTCATCAAAAAATTCATTGAATCAAAAACAAACAAAGAGTCCATTTGACATAATATTATATAATTTCATATAAATCTATATATATATATATATGATATCAGATTTTTAGAGCAATTTGTGCAGTGATTATTGAAATATTATTATTATTACATATATATATATATATATATATAGAAATTGTTGAATTTTCAGCTAAATTAATTGATATATATATATATATATTAAAGAAAATACAAATTTATTTTCATCTTTGAGTTGTATAAATGAAAAAAATAAATGTTATATATTTTAAATTTATCGACAAAAGTAAAATAAAATAAAAAGTCTTTATATATAAGATTGTTGAGTTAACTAATTAAATATATTAAAACAAAAAAAACAAATGAGAAATATTATTATAATTTGTTAAACAAATTTAAAAGAAATTATAACATTTATTTAAAATACACATAAATGTCTTTTATTTTCAAACTTTGAAAACAAAAATTAATTTTTGTCACAAAACAAAACAATTTATTATTATTGTTTTTTTCAATTAGACAGTCTTGTATTTAAAAACATTACACTAAAAATGTTTTTAAAATAAAAATAGGCTGAGTTTGATATAAAGGCAGCTTATAATTGAATTAAATTAATTAATTAATATATATATATAAATATATAGTTTGTTGGAGTTTGTTTTCCCCCTTAAATTTTAATTTGTATATATTTAATTGTGTAGTATATATAATTATAATTAATTTACTTATTATATAAATATATAAATAAATATATATATATATTAAAAATTATTTGATTCTTTTTATTATTAAATTTGATTTAATTGTAAAATTCATTAAAAAACAAAAATTATTATAATTTGATTATTTGCTAAATTTTAAAAAACAAAACATTTGAGTGTATTATTTTGGTTTCCCATTTGAAGTAAAAAATAAAAAAATAATTATTATTAAAAAAAACTTTGTTTATATTATTTAATTATACTATCTCTCTATTATTCTCTCTCTCTCTCTCTCTCTCTCTCTCTGAACTTTCTCATCATTTATATAGATATCGATGTCTTTCAGGTATATTAATATAAAACTCAATGCGAGTCTATTGGCCGCCTGACTGTGCCTCACCCGCCCATACATTAAAAATTTTGGTTTAACACTACAAACTGATGCTGAGATATATAGAGATAGAGATACACACAGACGCTGGCAATTTGGCGGACAGTCAGTCAGTCAGGTCTGGGCATCAATGAGTCGGTTATCGGTTGTATTAATAATATTTAATAATGAATTATTAAAAACCAACTATTATATAATGAAGACATGCATTTTTTGTGTGAATACATTTTGATTATTATAAAAATAATTGTTTAACAATAAAAAAATGTAGTAATAAATAGCTGAATTGTGTGCAAAATAATAATTAATGATATATATAATAAATGAGTGTCAATTGGGATTATCTTCAGTAAAAAAGTTTAGACTAATAATTAATTTTATTTTTAAAAATAATAATTAACTTTTAGTATAAAAATTATTAATTTTTATATATAATATTTATTAGTTATTTGAATTATGAGTGCAAACAATTTTGGATTACTTTTACTTACATTTATAATCTATATTCCGTCGGTTTTAACAATTTGGTGGTAAGAGTTTTTAAACTAAATAAAATAATTAAATCTAATTAAATTAAAAATAAAATTAATATAAATAAAGATATTAATAGTTTTTTTAAAAAACAATAAATTGATATAAGTTTATAACCAATTTGTAATCAAATATGGTATTCAATTTTTATTATATTCAATGTTTCATTTAAGAAAATTGAAAAATATTATAATATAAAAGTCAAGTGATTTTTTATATTGGTAATTTCAATTTGTAATTTTAAAAATATTTATCTCAAACTACAGCAATTGTTTTAAATAAAAAAAAACAAAAAAATAAAAATAATCATAATGAAAATAATTAGTTTATATACAGTAGTATAAATTTATATTGGCTAAAATGGTGTACATTAAAAATGTAAAAAAATGTAAATTTAAAAATTAAATATAAAAAAAGTAATTTCAATTTTATAATAAACATTAAGCAAATTGATTATAATTAAAATAACAAAAATAACAATTTATTTTTCAATAAAAATGTAATCAATTTATTGCCCAATGATAAAAAAAACATTATATACAAGTAATTGATTTTCTCTGTGTCTAATTGATTGCAATAAAATTTAATAATAAGGAAATACAGGTATCATATAATGTAAACGCAAAATCTATTTACTATCATAAAAACACAACAAATAAAAAACTTTTTCAATTTCAATACAACCTATTATTTTGATCAAAATTGAAGTTTTTATTTTTTATTTGTGTATTTATTTAGTTTATAAGATAAAAATTATGATTTTTGAATGTTTTTTTAAATATCATTTATATTTTAAACATTTTAGCACATTATCCAAATCTTATGCGTATATATTGCTAATATATTGATAAGATTTAGACATAAAATAATTGTTTATTATGTATATTCAATACATAGAAGTGATGTTTCCACTAAAATCTTAGTTTAAATGTAGTAATGTTTACTAATCTAATAAGATTTCACTTTATAGTAATTTATTGAAATAGCCTATTGATAAAAATAATAATAATAATAATAAAATTTAAAGCCATAACTCATAACTAAGTGGTGGTCGATGTATACAAAATATATTTACTTTTGGATTATTAGGAAACATCATTATGCGACGTCTAAATATTTTTTTGAACAATGAATACAAAAGTGATTATAGTATTATATCTAAATATACTATATAAAAAGTTATAGTATATTTTTCAACAATAACAAAATTAAATACATTGAAATTTTTGTTTCTGTTTTTTTTAAATATGGACTTACTTTTCAAGCGCCCCCTCAATATGCCCGAAGCTATCTTAATAAATGTGTAATTTATCCGACAATTATTGTTAGGATACAACTAATAATAATAATAAATAATAGATATTCTCTCATATACTGTAGCGTATAATTCTCATATCAGCAGTTAGACTCTCTCTCTCTCTCTCTCTAACATAATGTGAACATAAAATATATATGCATTATATATATATAAAACACATAAAACATATACAAAATTCGTGATATTAGTCAAGATTTTGCGATAAAGAATCTATGGTTTTGGCTATGATTTAGCAAATATGTTATGAAAAAAAACTAAATAAAAATAAATTACATCCAAACAACTATTATTTATTGAATGTATTGTAAACTTTTTTTATATAAAGAATTTACTAAATATACATATATTGATAGTTTACTACAATTATCTTTCTATTATTTATTTTAGTAATAAGTTTATTGTTATTAAATATATATATATATAATAAAATTAAATACTTTAAATAAAAAAGTTTGAAAATAAAATTACTAATCGATTTATATATCAATATATTGCATATTTGAAATGTTATGTCTAAAATAATTTTTACAATGTATTGTATATTTAAATTATGTTTTTCTTTAATGTAAAAATATTATTTTCAGTTATAGTTAAATACTTAAATAATATATTTAATAATAACAAAATATATATTGTACAGTATAATGACATTGGAAATCCCAGTATATTTATATACTGTATATTTATGTCACTGTTTTGCATAGTTTTAATGATTCATTTCAGATCAATAATACTAATAATAATTTTAATCATATTATTAGTAATACGTTAATAGTTACATATCATTAAAAAATTATTTGCAAATAAATATTAATACTAAAAACTATTTTTAGCTAATGTATAGAATAAATTGAATTATTATTACTATATATTATTTCTTATAACACATATTATAAAATAATCAAAATATTTTGACAAATTTGTTTTATTAGTAAAAAAAATAAAAATATTAGTAATTTATTGAATGAAAACATTTTGAATGATTAAGTATTTGTAATAAAAATATAACTTATATAAGATTTACGCGTTTCATAAGTTTTGACCATTTGGTGAACAGCTGTCAATATATAGATATGTAATAAATTATATAACTAATGAAAAACTATTTGGCAATAAATATAATTACATTTTCAAGTCAAAAGTCTCAGTTAAAACAAAGTCAGAGAGAGAGAGAGAGAGAGAGAGAGAGAGAGAGAGAGCTACTTATAAATATAGGAAACAGTAGTCCTTATTGTTGGTGTTTTCTTCTTCATAATCACTATAAATATAAAACAATGAAACTATGAAACTATCGGTGAGAGTAATACAAAGTCGTTATATATATATAATAATAAAAAAATAAAACTTTTTTTATGGTCTCATCATTTCTTAACCAATAACTACTACAATATACTGCAATATAAAGCGTACCAACAAAAAAAATTTAGTGTTTTAGTGTGTTATCATATCATTTCAACCTAAAAATTGTTTTTATTGTCGCTATGAAAATCTATGGTCCGAATTAGGGGTGAGCGTATAGGGCGTTGCACTGTTATAATATTATGTCACATCCCTGGCCTGTCGTATCGTATATACTGTATATATATATATATATATTTAAAGTATCAAACAGTTGGATGAGTCAGCGGACCGACCAATTTATTTATTTATCCGTTTATTACACACACACACACACACACACACACACACACACACACACACACACACACCAAGTCGTTAAGGCAGAAAACCTAACCAATAAATAAAAAGTAGTCTAATATATCTTTTCCATTATATCTCTTATTGTCTTTTTTGTTGTTGTTGTTGTTATTGTTGTTGTTGTTGAGGTATTCCTGCCATTTAATGAAAGTGCTATTCACCATACAGTAAATTATATTATACATTACCATTAGACCATTGCCTTTCAACTGACTGTACATTTAGACATTTACAAGACTCATAGGGAACAGCTGCCAAATTATGTCTGTCCTCTCTCTCTCTCTCTCTCTCTCTCTCTCTATATATATATATATATATATATATATATATATATATGTTGGCTGTTGCATCACATTTTGCACCATAAATGTTAAGCTTATTATTATATATTATGGTGTTATACCCGGTCGTATGTGTATAAATGTGTGTGTGTTTTGCCCATTGACTGAATTGTGTGACTTTATGACTGTCCCGGGAGTTATAAATGATAATCCAGTAGTAGTAGTAGTAGTATTACGGGTGCCAGTTGTGTATGTGGGAGTTATGGCCATATATTATCAATGGTATTGACAATTTTGAACACATATAATACTATACGATATTATTATAAACAAAATTCACTGAATTTCAACAAAAATTTTCCGCTAAAATGTTGTTATCTCTCTATTTATCTCTTAACTCTTCAAATAATAAATTTATATAATTGTATAAATTTTGCGACAGTAATAAAAACCAATAGATATTTACATTTAGAATGAAACAAAAAGGTTTTACTATTCAATAACATTGAGATTTAAGTAAATTTTAGTATTATTTTAGTATAAAGTAATTATTATTAATCTTTTTTTTGGTTATATAAAACACATTTTATTAAATTTATTGGAAATTTATTTAAAATGTTTCTTTTATTTTTGCAACCGTTATACTGTATTATTATTTTTTATGTGTAGTTTGGTTAACAATAAAATGTTATAAACTTTACAATAATTAAAGGGTGTTTTTTATTATTATTTAAATATTCAATAAATATGCAAAAATTGTAACATTTTCCCAATAAAACAAATCTTATGAGCCAAAAAAATACTATAAAATAGCTTAACAATTGAAATTTAGTGAATATTAAAAATATTAAAGATTTTAAAAATGTTAATAAAACTTATATTTAACTTATAATGTAAAAAATTGTAAAGTATACACTGTATAAAGTGATTAAAAAATATCTATTAAATAAAACAAAAAACAAACAAAATGTTTAGCTAACACTGTTTACTAAAACTATTATAATTAATTAATCAATTAAAATATATTTAAATATATGTTTTTAATCATAATATATTAATGCTATGTATGTATTAATACAATACATTTTAATTTATATATCAATCAACTTTAAATAAACACACAATAAAGTATAAAATGCATGACAAATATTTTATATATTAAATTTTAGTTTATTATAATAATTTATAATCGAGTTATTAATGTAAAAATATTTTTTTAAAAATTATATTACAATTATTATATATTTAAATGTATAATAAATAGGTCTCTGGGAACACCTAAATACTTTGACAGAGCCTACGACCTCAAGATCAACACATATAAGAATGACTGCCAAAAGTTTGACTTTTTGGCTGATAAACAGCGAGAATTGTGTTCATTGAATCGTAACATTTTGCAAACGGTGGCCAACGGTGCCCGACTGGGTATCGACGAATGCCAGCATCAGTTCCATATGAACAGATGGAACTGTACCACATATGACGAACCACAGCTCCGGGTGTTTGGCGGTGTACTTGATATTTGTTAGTTGTTTTTTTGTGTCTATTTACACACATTATGTCAAAAATTATATATTACCGGTAATTGATATATTGTATATATATATATATATAATTAAATAGATAGCAGAGAAAAGGCATTCATTCACGCCATAACCTCGGCTGGAGTGGCCTACACTATGACCAGAGCGTGCAGTAAGGGCGAGATTTCCGATTGCGGCTGCGATGTCAAAGTACGCCACAAAGACACCAACGGCAAGTGGGAGTGGGGCGGCTGTTCCGATGATGTCCACTATGGCTCACAGTTTAGCAAAAATTTTATCGACACCATTGAGGCCAGCGATTCGCCGCAAGGACTTATGAATTTGCATAACAATGAAGCCGGCCGTCGGGTCAGTCATATAAATATATATACAGTATAGCCATTGTGTAGTCCACTAACTTCAATGCGATCTTCATCTGAATGGTGATACCAATCCTTAAGTTTCCTATTTTTTTCTCAACACAACAGGCTATCCGATCAAATATGGAGCTCATCTGCAAATGTCACGGCGTTTCCGGTTCGTGTACTGTACGGGTTTGTTGGCGAAAGTTGAAACAGTTTCGCGAAGTTGGCAACCAATTGGTCCGCAGATTCGACGGCTCCACTCACGTCAAACCAATGGACAGAAAAAACCAGTCGCGACTTCGGCCAACTCGTAAGGACATCAAAAGGCCATCGAAGAAGGACTTAGTCTATTTGGAAGAGTCGCCCGATTTTTGTTTCAAAAATATGTCGTAAATAACCATTTTTTATTATATTATAAAAAAATCAATTTTATCATATAATTCATGTCAAACATAACAAAAATCGTGATATTTATTGACACAAATACTAATTTTAAAAAAAATTAAATTCAATTTTAATAATTTTATTCACACATATATATTGGCAAACAAACAAAGGGCCGGTGTTTTGGGTACAAAAGGACGGGTATGTAACGCCACGTCCTACGGAATGGACGGCTGTCGGCTGTTGTGTTGCGGTCGCGGCTATCAGACTGTCGAGAAAGAGGTCGAAGAGAAGTGCGACTGTAAGTTCGTCTGGTGTTGTAAAGTCCAGTGCAAAGTATGCAAAAAACAAAGGGAACACCACTTCTGTAATTAAATTTGAATTAAATGTCTGTTTATATATATATTATAAATCCACCTAATAGTGGATAACCAATTAACGGACGGATAAAGTAAATAATTAAATATTTATGTTATTTATTAATCAATTGTTGTCATTAAGGGGTCATTTGATAGCTATTTATATGACCTCTCATAAAGTAATGTAAAATTTGTAAAAAATTTGGACACAAATTCACAATTAGATCCCAATTAGGACAACGTCTGGTTAACGCAATAGTGGATGAAATAAAGGGTAAGTTTGAAAATTAATTATAATTAGATTAATAATTAATTAATCAATTGTTTATTTTTTATATACAGGTTAAATATCTAAGAAAATATTAGTAAAGACAACAAATTTTTTAAAAAATTAAAAAATAGTTTAATTTATTTATTAAATTACTTTTCTCTAATCCCCATTCAACGGACGGACCACAAAACATTGAATTAAAAATTTTTGTCCATAAATTATGACCCAAAATTAAAAATTATATAAAACTATTAAATTATACCGTATGACCTCACATTTAAATAATATTCACAATTTTTACCGTATGACCTCACATTTAAATAATATTCACAATTTTTACCGTATGACCTCACATTTAAATAATATTCACAATTTTTACCGTATGACCTCACATTTAAATAATATTCACAATTTTTACCGTATGACCTCACATTTAAATAATATTCACAATTTTTACCGTATGACCTCACATTTAAATAATATTCACAATTTTTACCGTATGACCTCACATTTAAATAATATTCACAATTTTTACCGTATGACCTCACATTTAAATGATTTTCACAATTTTTACCGTATTACCTCACATTTAAATGATTTTCATATTATTTAATTAAATTAATATAATTTCACAATCTTTACCTTATTTTATTATATTTTAATATTAATGAAACTAATTTATAATACCGTATTCCCTTAACTAATAAATTTTTATAGATTTATACCATATTTTATTGCTATTATATTCTTACATAAAATACTATCTTATTTTTATATTATGACTACTTATTTCCAATGTAATACCGTATATCCTAAATTACTGTTATAGATATATGGTTGTTTTTTGTGTGGATGTATTGAATAAGGGAATACGGTACTTTTTAAAAAAAACTGTTTTTAATATGGGAAAACGGTACTTTTTCAAAAAAAACTATTTTTAATATGGGAAAACGGTACTTTTTCAAAAAAAACTATTTTTAATATGGGAAAACGGTACTTTTTAAAAAAAACTATTTTTAATATGGGAAAACGGTACTTTTTAAAAAAACTATTTTTAATATGGGAAAACGGTGCTTTTTAAAAAAAATTGACATTATTGTGGGTAGACGGTATTAATTTTAAAAACATGAGTTAACTATGGGAAGACGGTAATATGATATGAATGCTTATAAGATTGTTTAAATGTATATATTGAGTTATTACGGTATTATTTCATATATAAATTAAAAAATATTATTTTCTTAATTAGTAACATAATTGATGCCCATTTTGATCGATAGATGTATTGTTTATATTATTTGTTATAATTTATCCGTCCGTTAAAAGGTTGATATATCATATATATATATCAGGGTTAAGCAAAGTTTTGGATTTTAGGGGGTAGACTGGGGTGAAATCTGCAAAATTCTCGAAAAATCTTGGGGGGTATTGGCCTTACCCCCTACACCCCCTTACTTAACCCTGATATATATATATCAAATAAAACCTAAATGTTTGGTTTAATTTATGATAAAGTTTACCACCAAAAACAACTACACTCTGTATTACCTATTAAGACATCAACTTTTTTTAAACAAACAAAAAAATTAATCACTCATTCAATTCATTAATTAATACATTTTTTTAATAAATAAATATAATTATAAATTTAATATTAAATATAATAATAATTCATACTATTTATAACAATTTACTCGTTTTTTAAAAATATATATAAATATTTAAATCAATTTTATTAACATTTTTTTTTAAAAACTAATGTAAATATTTATCAATTGATATACTTATATAAGTAATTATTGTATAACTAAACCATAAAATTTAATTATAAATAATAATAAAAAACATTTCAACTTTATATTAAAAAACTTTTATTTTATAATTAATTTCTATTTAAATAAATAATTAATAGTTTGTATAATAAAAATAATGATAAAAAATATTATATAAATTATGTATTCATTTGATTGTCGTTTTCGCAGCTCTTTATCACCGCTGATGTCTCACTCACTCACTGTATGTGTTGATTGTGATCTATATTGTCATTGATAGCGGTATTTGTTTGTATCGTTCAATCAATCAATATATAGAGTACTTTATATTAATGCAAAACACATGCATATCATTGAAGATACGGACAAATCATTTAATAATAATAATAATAATTACCAAACATTTTGTGTCCAATAATAATAATCATTAAATCATATGACAATAGAATACAATATTACAAACAATAGTTGATTCCATTTAGTCATACAATACAAACATCTAATGATAATAACAATCAAAACAAACTTACGTTTCACTGATATTTGTGTCCAAACTATTGGTGTTATTGTTGTTGTCGTTGGTGTGAATGACAAGTGTTGGATGTGTTAAATGTATTGATTGTCACACATATACTCATTGGTTGTCTACTGTGTGTGTGTTGTTAGACATGTATTGAGTTGAGTGAGTGAGTGAATGACTGACTGTGTCTTCAATCAAATGGTTGTCCTCTCTCTCTCTGTCTTTCGGTCAGAGAAACAGTGCATCAATTGATCGGATAATACATACAAACAATAAACTAAACACACATTTGTTTTGTTTACCACTAATTGTTTGGATAATTAAATTAAATTAATATATTATTGTTATTGTAATGAGTGGTCCGTTAATACATTGTAATAGTAATGCATTCATACAGTAGTAGTAATACATGTATTAGTTATAAAAGTGATGGCTGTGTATAGTCACGTGACTACTATTACTACTATTACTATACATATATTGAATACAACTGAGTATTAAATTTTATATCGACTTAAGTATAAACACCACAAACAACGTCAGTGTCTGTGTATTGACAACAATCACATCATTGATATCCAATTGAATCCAGAAATAAGTTGATTAATCACAACAACAACAAACTCATTGGTCATCAGCTTATCAAAGATGAGTCTGAGGTCGACAACGACGACAACTGTTGACTCAATACAACATTTGAGATCACAAATGATGAAAATAAGCAGAAATCGTATCATTCGTCTATTGAACACAAGTCGCATCAGTTCTGTCTTATTGTCGACAAACTTAATAAACAAAATAATGAATAATACCGTTGATGAAGGAGTTCTTGTGGTGGTCAACAATGTATTATCAAATGCAATGGCAATTAATGCCATTAATAGTGAAGAGTAAGTGGTGGTGACGGCTGATAGAGTGATTTAAGGAATCAAAAATCCCGAATAGTGATGGTAGCTCAGACCCCCCTGAGTCTACCCATACCACCCACATAGCTGTCCGACCTCCGCAATTCGAGATATTCGACTTTAAAGTCGAAAATTATTTTTGACGTTATTTATGAATATGACACATACTTTCTATGTATTTTTCAATACTAATTATGATTATAAAAACTAAATCACATTATGTCAAATAGTTTTCGATATATTCGACTTTAAAGTAAAAAATATGAATATGAGATATTATTTATGCAATTGTTGAGGAAATCCATTTTATATTTAATTTAATTATAATATTTTTAATCATTTGGTTTTAATTTATTTTGATTTTAATTGTAAACCTATTTTTATGCTTTTAATCCTTTTTTCTTAGAATTGTTGATCGATTTGATCGATCAATATTTATCTGTTCTTAGAAGTGATCGCTCAATTGCTGTCTTCATGGCACCAGTTGATCGATCACTGACCTCACATACATACAGCCAACCAATAGCTCCACTTTTCCTACACATATATACCTGTTCTCAAATACAGTATAAATACTGCTGTATTTATAGTATACTCTCTCTCTCTCTCTCACACTTTTACTACAGTCACAGTCACTGCTACCCATACTGCCCAATCAGTACATACCGGCCTTCAGTGCCATTCATACCATTACTCCATTATACACATCCATGTGCTCTGATAGTCCCACTATCCATACATTTCAACCATTGTTTTAATTATCATTTAAATTGTGTTATTATAATAAAGTATTATATCTGAAAGTGTGTCTAATCATTGTCTATACTATTCATCACTTGATCGATCACCAGATCTACCATTCCTTCACCGCAAGCTGATCGATCACAGTTTAAGACTACCTCTTCGCTGGCCTTCCAACAGTAATAGAAGTTATCAATAGTACTACGGATCGATCCCTGGCCTACACTCTGGTCACCACTACTGCAGATCTGTACATCACTTTGATTGACACATAAAGTGCCTCTCAGGTTATTCTTAATATCAGTTGATTAGTCGTTGACCGATTAATTGATACCGTAGTTGTTAGCGGTTAGTTGTTGGTCTCACACCGACCCACGCTAGACAACCGATCCTTTTCAACGACAACACAACACAATTTCTAATAATAATTATAATTATGAAAATTCATTTTTAAAATTCATTAAAATTCATTGTCACATAGTTTTCGAGATATTAGACAATCAATTTCTTTTGAGGTTATTTATTATTAATATATATATATATATATAATATCAAACAATTTTTCCGATCACTAATTATATTATTTTCTATTAATTGATTTATATAATAGTCTGGAGCATTGTTATATAGTTTTTGAGATATTCGACTTTAAAGTCGAAATAAATATTTGTGTAAAAATAATTTAAGCATCTTAAATAATAATTAGAATTATTTTAATTTTAAATATTAAATTTAGAAAAAACAATTAAATATAATTTGATTATGAATTAAAAATTAGATTTAATACAATAAAAATAAGAATTATATTCTAAGTATTTTTAAATGTAATAAATAATATGTTTATATAATAAAATTAAGTTTATAAATTATTTATAATGTAATTAATAAAATTTAAAAAAAATAAATGCAAAGTTGATATAAAATTAATATAATGAAAAAATAATTTGTGTTAAAAGCTGGCGCTCAACACAACATTGACAGCGACAGCATTGCATTATATCAACGACACTACCATTTTCGCAAAAGTAGTAGTCGTTCAGCTTTCATAGCGTTAACTCGCATATTTAATTTTTAATAAAATCGTTTACTTTCATATAAAAACGTGTACTTATTTCGTATATTTTACCGAACCCGAGTTAATGTCCACCTGATAGCCACTCAACTCAAATTAAAGAATTTCTTTAGATATAATAATAATAACAATTTATTCTATAAGTAAATTGATAGTTAGTAGACAAAAACATTGGTCTAACAATTTTTGGTGGATTATATATACCACTTCCTGTGGTTTTTAATCGAAAAGCACTTCGATTGCCATTTAGACATCATGCGGAATTTTTATTTTTTCGACTTTAGTCGAATATCTCGAAAACTATTTGAAATAATGTGATTTAGTTTTTATAATCATAATTAGTATTGAAAAATACATAGAAAGTATGTGTCATATTCATAAATAACGTCAAAAATAATTTTCGACTTTAAAGTCGAATATCTCGAATTGCGGAGGTCGGACAGCTATGTGGGTGGTATGGGTAGACTCAGGGGGTCTGAGCTACCATCACTATTCGGGATTTTTGATTCCTTAAAGAGCTCTACCAACCGGTGGTGACAATTGAAAATTTTGCCATTTATTTAATGAGTTTTTATTAATCATATTTTTTTGTGGTTTAGACGAATGATTACATTAATTGACTGTTTGAGTGAATTATTGGCTGGAATTGGACACCAAATACCAGATAATTGGCGAGAATTGTATGTCACTGAAAGCAATGTCCGACACTTCAGGGACTTATTAAATGATATGTGGATTCCACACTTGTCTCACGTGACTCAAGAAGACACTGCCGTAAACAATGTTATCACTCAAATCGTTGAGACTTATCGCAGGCCTCTAAACGGACAAATGTCTTCACCAGAAGCTGTGGACACTCCTTTGTCTGTAGACTCTAATGACTCGTCCAATAATACTGAACAACAGGTTATGCCCGCAGCCGTACATGCATTACGACCATCTGATGAGTGGTCAGACATCTCAACCGATCCGTTAGAGTTGGACCAATCGGTTGGTTCTAGTAATGAATCGGATAAATCCATCAATACATCAATTGAGCCGAAGTCGGACTCATCTCAAGACTCTCCGAAGCCGTCGACATCAAGAATTGATTGAATTTTTATTGAATTATAATTTATTGAAATTAATTGGTTATAAAATACAGTAAATTGTTTTATAAAAAAAAATTATTTTATTTTTTTCAAACGCCTCTTAATTATCAATTGTTTTTGTATTTTATCCCAAATCAAGTGAATGTAATGTCGACGACAACTGTAGACTAGTGTCCATCAGTTGACGGGTAATTTCTGCCGGATTGTGTTCGGGTTCGGTAATTACCAAATAGTATGATCGGGACTCACATAATATATTACAATATACTGTCAATACTATGTTAACTATGTTGTCGTCATCGACATCATCACCACTACTGATACCATCATTGATACCGAAACAGCAGTAATCGGGAAACTGTGTCCGCATTCGATGCAATAGTTTGATAGCTTTAGCAAACTGTTGGCTGACAACCAACTCTTTTAGATGACATTCGTAATCAGTTAACGAGTTATTGCCGTCTAATGTACTGTTGCTTGAAGTGGTCGATGTCGTCGACGATGACGGTTGTGGTGACGCCGAACACTGCGATTGGCGATCGCTTTCCGTGTCGTCTGCGGCCGTCGTTATTGTCTTCAATAGTTCACACTTTACGGCTGTCACCTCTTGAGACAGATTAGACACCTGAAGAGTAAGAAAGAAATAGAGTTAATATGAAATCAAACAATACTTCTTTAACCTTATTATGACAACAACGACAACAACAATACTCACCAAAAGCATTGAACATTGACTGGTGTTTGTCTTCAACAAACTAATCAGTTTTAGATAGCTTTCGATGAGAAGCATGAGTTGATAATGCATTTTGTATAGACATTTGCAGAGATCAGTGCTCGTGTCAGTCATATTAGTGGACGCGACGGCAATTGCTTTCAATTTCTGGTGATTCCTGAATGAGTCCAAACTGTCCAACAATTAATCCTTTTTTCTCTTCTCTTAACTTGACGATCATTATGCCTATTGTCTGTTATTGTTGTTGATGTTGTCATCAATTGATCCACTGGTGATGTAGTTGAGCGCATGCGCTGCCAAAAACACAATGTTTGTCAATACATGATGTCTTCACTTGTGTGTTGTGTTTGATAAAGTTTACCACAAAAACAACTACACTCTGTATTACCAATTAAGACATCAACTATTTTTTAAATATAATTATAAATTTAATATTAAATAATAATAATAATTCATTCATTTATAACAATTTACTCGTTTTTATATTTATCGTTATCGTTATTACTTTATATTAAAACTTAAATTTTATAATTAATTTACAATCAATCAGTCAATCAATATATTGTATATAACCGTAAATGCAAAACACATGCATATCATTGAAGATACGGACAAATCATTTAATAATAATAATAATAATTACCAAACATTTTGTGTCCAATAATAATAATCATCAAATCATTTGATAATACAATACATTATTACAAACAATTGATTACATTTAGTCATACAATACAAACATCTAATGATAATAACAATCAAAACAAACTTACGTTTCACTGATATTTGTGTCCAAACTATTGGTGTTATTGTTGTTGTCGTTGGTGTGAATGACAAGTGTTGGATGTGTTAAATGTATTGATTGTCACACATATACTCATTGGTTGTGTTGTTGTTGTGATTCACACGACATCATTGATGTCAATCAGATTGAATCACACAAGAGTTGCGTTTTTCAAAATAATAATAATAATAATAATTCATTTAAACTGAATTTGTTTCAAAAATTCAATAAATATGACTAAAATTTTTCATTCATTATATGACTTCAGACGTGTTATGATTGCGATATCATTAAGACGTCTCCAAAAGTCAAACACAAGTCATAGTCATAGTCTCAGTAAAAAATTAAGTCCTTTAGCGAAGAGAATAATGGACTCTACTCTCGATGGATATTTGGCTCAGCAATTGATCCATATTTACATGGATTGTATCGGCATTACTGATGACAATCATCCAGAAGATGTGTAAGTAGTTGCGGACCAATTGATTTTCTACGATAATATTAACTATTTCTCTACATTTGTATTGACTTCAGATATTCTGTTTATGGCCAACAATTGGGCCAACTATTGTTGGACAACGGCTATCAACTCCCAATCGTAACACCAGTGACGGGTCGTTACGCTCATCGCGTCCGACAAGATGTTCAACGAGAAACCGACCGAATTCTTCAAGAGATCCAATCGGATACAGAGGTGATGTCACCGGACAGGCGTCACATCTACAATGAAATATTGAAAATTATCAGTGATTTTCGAGATACAACATCACGGCTATCGATACCGCCGACCACTGATCAAATGGAAGAACCTGTTGCGGGTCCGAGCAGTCAAAACTCATCGACAGTAACCATTGGTGATAACGTGGAGGTGGCGGCGGACAATCAATTTCTTAATTCATCCGATAGTGACATATCGGATGAACCCATCGATATTGTCGTCGTCGCCGCTCACGGACTGGTAGAACAACTGTCCGATGTTTCCTCCGATTCTCTACACATATCTTCAGATTCTGATCAAATGGTACCGAATCCTTAAGTGATAATTAAAGTGATTAGTCGTACAAAGTATACCATTAAGAAAATGATGATTTTATTATTATTATTATTATTATTATGAAATGTAATGAAAAGTTATTAAACATAAAAAAAATTGTTTGTTTGTGTGTTTTTCATTGGATATAAATTTATTATTTTATTTATTAAACTATTAATTGTTTTATAAAAATTTTATAATTTAAATATCAATTATATTTCTTTGGAAACAATCTAATGAATACAACAATCCATAAGAATGTGAAGACAACTATAAATAACATAATCCACAGCCAGTATTGACACGAACGGCGAACGTATTCCGATATCTTTACTGTATTTCCCTTAAGATTATCGGTATTTCGTTGGGCAAGAGATGAACTTTTTTCCAATGACTGAAATCATAATTTAAAAAATATTTGTTAAAATCAATTACAAAATATGTTTGTTTTTTGGTCACAAACTTCAGTATCTTTTTTGATAATCTCATTACTGAGACTACAGTTTTGTTTGAGATTATGAACTAATGTTATCATCTCTTGGGCCACCTTTTCCTGAACCGATTGATGAAACCGAAGTATGGCATCGGAATCGACAGATGAATTGGTTGTGTCGTCATTTGCCACTCGTTTTCTCATTTGAATCGACGACTCTTTATTACCGAACAGTTCAGTTCGGACATCGTTTTCGAGTCGCGACTTGAGATTCAAATGAATTTCTTTTGTTTTATCACTTCTTATGCCGCCATCGACTGGTGTAACACTAATCGGTGACATGATTTCCGTTTTGATCAACTGCTGATCCGTACTGTTGTTGTTGTTGTTGCTGTGGTTCATGAGTTGTGTTTCGAGTAATGAATTAAAAAACGACACTTTTTTCTTATAATTAGATAAATTGTTTTCATTGACTGGACTACAAAAAAACAGCAGAAATTGTGGTCATTATATATGATATCAATTGGATGGCCAATCACTGACTGACAGACCGATAGGTTAGACGGATCTGATGATCACTTACCAGGCGTTCAACTCTTTCAGTTCATTGAGTCTTTCATTTAGCGCATGAATGTACTATAAATTGGGGATTAATTAAATAAACAAAACAAAAGATCAGAAACTATGGACAATGATTGTGACCATAAATAAGATGATTGGATGATATCATATATGTGAAGACATACCCTCTCGAGTCGCCAATTATTGTTGCCATTGTTAGTATTGATGTTGTCTTTCATATGCTTTTCAACCAATTGTTCGCATTTCGATAGAAGACGTCGAAAGTCGATCTCTTCTCTTGATTTGACGGTCATTATGTTTATTGTCTGTTATTGTCTGTTATTGTTTGTTGATGTTGTCATCAAATTGATCCACTGGTGATGATGTTGTTGTTGGTGTTGAGCGCATGCGCTGACAAAAACACAAACACAATGTTTGTCAATACAATGATGTCATCACTTGTGTGTTGTGTTTGCCATTCAATCAATTGATTCATTCATACGATTACTTGTTTATAATAATAATAATAATAATATTGGATCTAATGTTGGAATTAACAGCTGATGTCTTCAACCATAACAACAATCATTGAATCAAATAATAATAATAATAACAATTTGAAGAGCAATTCATACAGTGGTGACAATCATTATAATCTTCAGCTCAATTGGATGGACGACATGATGGGCAGCAGTGGCGTCGGCATCGGAGGTGTCAACACCACCGGCGATATCGGCCAACTGGAGGGCAATATGAGCGACGACAAGAGTGCCGACAATAAGCACAGGCCATCGGCGTCGGCCAACGTTACAATCGGTAGTGTCGGCGTCAATGGTTCAGCATTGGACTCGTTGGCCGATTGCGATACACTGGACGAGCCTATCATCGACACACTGATGCGGGATCTAAGAAGTATTTACTTGAAACTCAAGTTCATTATAATACCCGTTTCGTTGGCCGAAAGTTATCGAAACGTACTGAAAGACTGGGATCTTTGGGGACCACTACTGGTGACCACATTTCTGGCACTAACACTCCATCACAACGAAGAGTCGCGCGACGGCCAGATTCTGGTTGGTCCGCACTTCGCACACATTTTTGTATTGATTTGGTTCGCAAACGTTGTCTTAAGTCTCAACTATAAACTGTTGAACAGTTGCCGCAACAAACGCGGACATTCAACGACAGAGAAATCGTTGGCCAACAACAACAGCGGTAATACTACGGCATTCACGCCGACAACATTCCAACTGTTATGCGTTTTCGGCTACTGTCTGGCGCCGCCCTGTCTTGGAGTCATACTATTGAAAGTGGTGTCCCTATTGACCGGTCTGGCCGTACGCGAACTGTTTTACCAGAAACTTGTTGTCGGCATTGCCCTGGGGTTTGTTTGGCCAACATTTTGTTCGGTCAGAATTATCGGTAAGTATATATCGTCCGACAAGAAAGCACTGGCCATATATCCCATCGCATTGTTTTATTTTGTGCTCAGTTGGGCACTGATTACCACTCATTAGATGTGTCTGTGTTTCTGGTCTTACCAATTGATTGACGAGTTATTTATTAAATTAAAATATTTTTTAAAAATAAATAATTATTTAGATTTTTATTATTACCGGTAATAATAATATATTATCATTATGTTTGTCAATAATTGATTTTTTTAAATAAAATTGATTTTTATAATTTTGATTAAAGTTAGTATAAATTAAATAACTTAAATAATATTAGGTTTTGAATTAATTGTAAATACTTTATGAATTTAATATGTTAGCTAAAAAAATTAAATATTACCCGTAATTATTTAATTATACTTTAATTCCAATTGATTGGATATATTATATTGGATTTTTAAAAAATATATATATTAAATAATTTTTTTAATGAAATAATTTTCAAAATCTATGTATTATTATTATTATTAATCAATTTGTAATATTTGTATATTTGTTAATAAAAAAATCAATATTGAAATAAATGGTTATATTAGTCAATGAATTTATAAAACATGTATTTTACTAATGAGTTATTTATTTAATTTTTTTAAAATTAATTATTTATAGATATTAATTGTTTAAATTCAAAATATTTTTTTTTACTTATTAACTATTATTATAATATTTATCTATTTATTGTTTACTAGTTTATTATAATTATTGATAATTATTTTTAATTAACAATTTGTGTACAATATTAACTTTTTAAGTTAAACTTGTATTAGTAGTGTATATGTACAGTAAATTACTCTATAAGTAAATTACTGTAAATATTTTAATATTCAAATTATTTACGTTAAACTACACATCCAATAAAAATTATCTTTTTATACAGTGATTAAAGTGATTAGTCATACAAAGTATACCATTAAGAAAATGATGATTTTATTATTATTATTATTATTATGAAATGTAATGAAAAGTTATTAAACATATAAAAATTGTTTGTCTGTGTTATTCACATATATCTATATATTTTTATTTTAATTTATTTGCCAAACTATTATTTGTTTTATGAAATTTAAGTTTTACTTTTCGTTTTAATAATTTTTTTTGTACTTATATTTACTTTTTTTTAAAAAATCATTTGCAAATAATATGTCTACTATTAAGGTAACATAATTTTGTTGTTGTTGAATATATTTTACTTAATAATTTAATTTAACTTATTTAACTACATTACTAACTAACATTAAAATTATTATTAATAGTAGTACATAATGTACTTTTTTATATAAAAAAACTTATTAAAGTATATAATTTATTTTTTTAAAATTGATAATAATATCAAAAAAATAATTTGTTTATAATTTTGCAAAAATTATTGATAATAATAATAATAATAATCTAGCATATTTGTTGTTACTATTTTTTAAAAAAATTGTTTTACACAAAAATTTATTAACATGGTTAATAGAAATTGTTAATTATATTTAATCTTATAATTTAGACAATATTTTTTTCAATCATCATCTAATGTAATATTAATATTACAATATATTTGTTTAAGAAAAATACAATATTGAAAATATTTACATGTATATCATCGAGAAATTTTTGTAAAATATATTTATAGAAAATATTTAAATGTCATATATTTATTATAATATATGAATTTGACATTGGTCAATTTGGAGAAAGTATTTATTTTTTATTTTAATTTACTAAAAAATAAGTATAGTAAAAGTACAATGTTACATTTCCACGGTTTTGAATTAAATTAATTTAATTGTATATATATATAGTATATTTGCAATGATTTACGTTTTAACTAATGTATAATTTATATATATATAAATATATTTACTACTAATTGAAAAAAATAAAATTTGACGCAAACTAAATATTTAAAAAAAACTTGTATATTAAGTGTACAGTAAAAAAATAGTAGTTATTATTAATTATTATTATAATATTACATACATTATATATTTGAGGCAATAATGATGGCAACCAATGGCAACACATTTTTTTCAGTGCCAATATGTGTGTGTGTAGTGTGTGAGCGCATAGTATGGTTGCCAATTAAAAAATTGTCATCACCCTGGACAATTGTCATTAACTAACTACCTACTACAAAATAGTTAGTCTAGTATAGAGAAAAATTTGAACCTCGATATAATTTATATACACTATATATATAATGTGTATGAAATATAAAGTGTAAAATTACTCAAAATTATTTTAAAAATAAATAACTATTTTTTTTGTTTATATTTTTTAATTGATTTATCAATCGGGAGAGTTAAGCTTTATCTTAAAATTAAAAAAAAACATCAAAATCGGTCTATTATTTAAAAAGATATTACTATTTTCCCAGTATAAGATATCAAATTTTCTGAGTGTATATATATATAATTTATATATTATTATAATTATAATATATATATATATATATATATATATATATATATATTATTATTATTATATATAATTTTTTGTTTCATAAAAAAATTATTTGTCAAAATTATTATTTAATCAAATAATTTCTAATGTACTAATATTATTGTTGTTGTCAATGTCAACACTATATGACATTCAAGGATGTTATGATGGGATGATTGGCAACTCTAGAGTTAGAGCATCACTGTTCACGTTTGAAACGACACATGCATTTAAAAACATTATTATTATTATTATTTAGTATTAAATAATTTTTTTTTGTTCATATTTACTATACATAAACATTTTATTATAACATTATTGTGTATATACATGCTATACATGCTCTATACATGTTAAATGTTATGTAGAGTACATTATTTACACTTATAATAATTTATTTTTAAAAAATTATTTTTAATGAAAATAAAGTCAACAAATTTATATTTTAACTTTTAGTTAGATATATATATATATATAATATATATCTATATAAAAATATCATATATTGATTATTTTACATCTATATATTTTATATTTATAACTACTGTATATATATATATTTATTTATCCCCTTAAGGCTGTTTTTTGTGAAAATAAATAAATATCTCAATTTATATGCACTTATAATTTCAATTTACATTTTTAATGACACATTAATGTGTTTGTCTTTTTTTTATATACAGTTATATACTGTATGTGATATGTTATGTGCTATTGAAATCTCATTTAATTTAATGATCTGTTTTTTTTGCTGATATAAATTATTAAACATTATATATATATTATATATTTTGTATTATTATTTATATATTTATATCATATACCGGTATATATATCTAACATCATAATAATTATATTAAGTGATAATAATAATAATAATATTGTAAATTAATTGTCAAACTGGAAGGCATAGAGTCGTTAAAAGTAAGTCTCGTTTTATTTGCTTTATATAAATGTTTTTGACATTTATTTGTTGTTGTTATAAGTTTTAATTAGTCACTAAATTAGTAATTAGGTTAGTATTATAGTATTTAATATACTTTACTAATTATACTAATAAAGTAATTTACAGATGATTTGCCAATAAAAATATTAATTATATGTTTGAATTGAATTTTAAATAAAAAATAAAACTAAATCTCATAATCCATATCATAGTATAACTGTAATGTGTTTTATCGTAAATGTGTTGAAACGATATAATATAGTATTATTGTTATAATAATAATAATAATAATTGAGATGACAATTGAGATTAATATATTCATTGATAATATACATTGAATATATTTTTTATTTGCGCCAATAATTAATATTTAATATGAAATTGTACTGTAAATGGTATTTTACAATATTAAAAAAAAGATATATTGAAAGATAATAATAATAATATATGATAATTATGATAACAAAAAAAAATTATGAATGATATTTTAATAATATTCAATATTATTAATACTAAATAATGATAAAATATTTGCTATTTATTTTACAGTACATATTAATTGCATATAATATATATACAGTATTATATTATATGGTATTATATAGTATATGATATATTTCAGTGATTGTCATTAGGTTGATGATTATAATTTCATATATATATTTAATTTACTATTGTATAGTATATTATAATAAAAAATAATAAATTATCAATTAAGATGATGACTCAAAAAAAAAAACAAAAATAGTTTTCTCTCAATTTATTTTACTTATTTGCACACTTATTTTGTAGTACTCTATGTAGTATAAAACAATATACATGTTAAGTGTATTGCAAATTGCAATTATCTAAAGTAATTGTTGTTGAAATAAATGATAAAAAATATTTTTACTAAAATTATAATAGATTTAATAACGTTTGCATTGATTAATATATATATATATATATATATATATATATATATATATATATATATATATATATATATATATATATATATAACATACATTTTGGGACAAACCTAATAATGTATTTTATAAAAAAATACTTCAAATATTTTCAAGTTTTTTATTTGTATTTCACAAGTATTTGAAATTGCATTCTGAAATAGTTTAGTACATTATATATATATAGTATATTATATACTGTAGTATTAGTTTATAATTAGTTTTATTTAATTAGTGCAGATATTTAACTGGCATCTCATTGTCTAAGAGTGTGCGGATATTATATATATCTAAATATGTCATTTAAAAAAATGCGATATAAAGTATAGTATTATTAATATTGCTATATTGTACTGTACTTTACTATAAACTACAAATATGTGACAATTATTAAATTATTTATTTGATAAAATACCAAGCTAGTATTGTTTTTTTGTCGATTTTAATTAAAGGCTTTATTATATACTGTATATATATAACAAAAAATATTACTGATATATGTGTTGGTGTGTATGTTTGGTTAACACCCAATCTATATCACAACTTTTAGTATCATATATATACAGTACTGTATAATATGTAGTGTTATTGTTGGCGACCGATGCTTATACAACAAGTGTCGGCTCAGTTGTTCAGTTATGGCCTAACAGTCCTCCTCTACTCTCTCTCTCTCTCTCTCTCTCTCTCTCTCTCTTTATTTCTTACACATGACTTGTGTAATATTATCGCAAAAAAACACTTCACTTACAATTTTTTTAATAATTATATTTATATATAAAATATAAACGATATATTATTTCATACTATTTCTAACATTTTATTTTAGTTTATTTTTATTAGAAATGTGATTCACTACTATATTAATAAATTTATTAACTATAAAATTAAATAGTTTGTGAATTATTTCATAATATATATATACATTTATGGAAGTGTTTTTTTGTTGTTGATTGAAAATGTTTTCGCATTTCAATCAATAATATATTGTATTTAATATATAATATACTTTTAATATTTTGTTTTTTTTTTAAAATTACTGATTTTGGAAAATCAAAGGTTTGTTTTATTTTTATTAGTTATCTAATTTTTTTTTGTTGCTATCAATTTTTAAATTTAGATTATAATTTAATCTAACTATACTAAAATTATTTTTATTAATAAATGCATTGAATAGTCTATAATTTATAACTAAATAATAACTATTAATATAAATTAATTATTTAAAAAAATAATAATTTAATAAAATTAATATTTTTAATTTATTAGATATGTTTTTTTTAAATATTTTTTAATTAATAGTTTCAATTAATTATTTTCCTATTTTTTAGTATTAAATATGTATTGTTTTTTATTAATTTATATTAATATCTGTAGTTAAATATTGTTTATTAGTTATAAATTATAGACATTTCAATGCATTCATTAATCAAATGAGTTTATAAACTCATATCCTCTCGTTTTTTATAAATAAATTGAAATATTTTTCGCTTTTGATTTATGTTTAGATTATATAATAAACCATTCATTAAAAATTGCAATTTATAAATAAATTAATATAGACTGTGTTAATACAATACTTTATTACATATACTAAATATATATATATATATCTAAAATTTTTTAATGTATTTATATTGTTTATAAAGTTTTATTATTAATTGTATTAACATTTTTCAATGCCATACCATTGTTATATAAATATATATATATACAGTACAGTACAGTATATTTATTCACAGACAACCAAAAGGGATATATATTTATTTGTCTATTGAAACGATTCATTAATTTCCGCTAAAATGAATTTTAATCTAATAAAAAAGCTTTTATTTTATTTATTATTATTATTATTTAGTAAAAGAGTTATTTTTAAAATTAGTTTGAAAAATATTTCATCTATATATAATAATAATAATAATAATAACGATAATAATAATAATAATATACATTTAAACCATTATTATAATTGCTATTGAAATCATAAAAATAATTGAAATTGAAGTTTTGAAATTTTATTTTTCAACTTTTTTTGTGGTTTAATTTAGTATGAATGTGTATAATATTGACCGGTATATACTGTATATATATATAGTGTATATAAAATATAGTATATAAATACAATGACATTAAATAATTAAAAAAAATATTTGACAAAAAATTTCATCAAAAAATCTATATAATGTATATATACAGTAGATATATATGATAAAAATATTAACTATTGAGATAAAAAATTATATATTTGATTTTAATGTATTTTAAGTTTTTATTTGAAAATTTATTACACAATTTTCAAAATTATTATTATTATTATTACTATTTTTTATCATAAAATAATATATTACGTTTCATATAACTATTAATATAATTTATATTATTGTAATTTTTTATTGTTTAATAGTTATACAATTTTTCAATCATTTAGAATTAAGATTTTATTTTTAAAAATATTTATACATTAAATTAAATGCTAGACTAAAATGTGTTAAAATTGATTATTTTTGCACTCAATATACTGTATATACTGTATTTATTAAATATTTAGATATAATTTTATTAATAGTATTAATAATAAATAGCAAATTTGTCACTAAAAGTCATATAAGTAAAGTATAAGTACTGTATGTCTCTCTCACTAAAACATTTAATCATTTATAATGTATTTTATTATTATTATTATTATATATAATATTTTCGGATAAAATCATTTCATATCTCTATAGAGACCTATGAATTATAAGTCGTTTCAACTAAAAAATAATAACTTTGATTTGATTTTGTTTTTTTGCTTTTATATATATATATAAATTTATATACATATATATTATATGTGTTACGATAACTACAGTAGATTTTTTTAATACCTGATCTTTTTAATGTCACTTTCAATAAATATAAAATAAATAATATTTTTGCTAAACATATATATATATATACATGTACACTATGTATACATAGTATATTAATATTGAATATACAGTAAATTATATACTACAAGAGTATAATCTACATATAATATATGAGCTTAATATTAATGATATATAAAAGTTATATACAGAATATTTTTTCCTAAAACTTTAATATTATTGATATATAATATATAAACTTATATATACAGTATATTATATAATATTCAAACATTTTCCACTGTAACCAATACTCTCTTAGTGTATAAATAAATAACTAAATAAAAAATAAATTTCAATTTAAATGTAAATAAATTTCTATAAATAAATAAATATCTGTATATTTTTCCACATCTTCTTCTGTATGGTCACCAAACCAACCAACCAATCAAAACAAATAATCAAAAATCAACAAAAAAATTTATAGCAATTATTGCAAAAGATTCACAGTATGAGCGAAGACAGAGACGACGAGTTCTTCAATAAGTTTATCGGCGGACGTAAGGGTGCACTGAAAAAGAAGAATGTCTTCGAGGTTCAGGAACACAAATTCATTGCCCGATTCCTACGACAGCCGACCTTTTGTAGCCACTGTCGGGAATTTATATGGGGATTGGTTGGCAAACAGGGCTACCAGTGCCAGATCTGTGCGCTGGTTGTTCACAAACGATGTCACGAATTTGTCGCTTTCCGTTGTCCCGGTGTTGCCGACAAAGTACACGATCCCGAAACCGATCCGCGAACCGTTCATCAGTTTCAAGTTCATACCTACTCGAGTCCGACATTTTGCGACCACTGCGGCTCAATGCTCTACGGTCTCATCCATCAGGGACTCCAGTGTCGGGCCTGCGATATGAATATACACAAGAAGTGCAAAGAAAATGTTCCCAATCTTTGCGGTTGCGATGCCGTCGAACGGCGCGGAAGAATTGAACTGAAGATACACACCGAGCCTAACAACGATCAAAACCAACTCAAACTGATTTGCGAAGTCAGAAGAGCTAGAAATCTGTGTAAAATGGATCCGAACGGCCTGAGCGACCCGTACTGTAAGGTTAAACTGTTTTCCGCCAATTCCCGAAACTCGTCGTCAAACAAACGCAAGACACGGACAATCAAGTCGTGTCTGAATCCCGAATGGAATGAAGTCCTGACATTCGACTTGAAGAATGACGACAAAGACCGGCGATTGTTGATCGAAGTATGGGATTGGGATCTGACCTCACGGAACGATTTTATGGGCTCACTATCGTTCGGTGTTTCTGAACTAATGAAGACACCAGTAGATGGTTGGTTCAAATTGTTGGGCGCCGAAGAGGGCGAGTTCTACAATGTTCCGTTACCGCCGGCCGGTCAGGATATCATACAGCACTTGAAGAAATTGCAAATCGGATTCAAATCCAAGTCTACGTCGGATACGATGGGCATCGCCGCCACCGACGGCAATGCTATGGCCAAATCAATACAATACACATCGTTAAGAGTCAAATCGGAAAATATAGTCCGTTTCGAAGATTTTACAATACTTAAGGTCTTAGGAAAGGGTAGTTTCGGTAAAGTATTATTGGCAGAGAACAAGAAGAAACCGAACGAATTGTTTGCCATTAAGGTTCTCAAGAAGGAAGTGCTCATTCAAGACGACGACATCGAGTGTGCAATGATTGAGAAGCGAGTGCTCGGACTCTACAATAAGCCGCCGTTTCTCGTAGAACTTCATTCCTGTTTTCAGACCAAAGATAGACTATACTTTGTCATGGAGTACGTAAACGGCGGTGATCTCATGTATCAGATCCAGAAGTGCGACAAATTCAAAGAACCTGTTGCCTGTTTTTACGCGGCCGAAGTCGCTATCGGACTCTTTTATTTGCACCAAAAAGGCGTTCTCTACAGAGATCTCAAACTAGACAATGTTATGCTGGACAGCGACGGTCACATCAAGATTGCCGACTTCGGAATGTGTAAAGAAGGTATTGTCGGCAACGCCAAGACGCGCACATTTTGCGGTACACCAGACTATATCGCACCGGAAATTATCAAATACGAACCGTACAACAAATCGGTTGATTGGTTGGTGTCTTGTTTTTTAGCTTTTTTTTGTTGTTGTTTTATTTCCCGATGAAACTAATGTATGTATTGGTTGGTTGTTTAGGTGGGCTTACGGTGTACTCGTCTACGAGATGCTTGTGGGTCAGCCGCCATTCGATGGCGAAGACGAAGAAGAATTGTTTGCATCGATTACCGATAACAATGTTTCGTATCCGAAATCCATGTCGAAAGAGGCCAAAGACCTTTGCAAAGGATTGCTGGCAAAGGATCCAAAACGACGGCTCGGTTCGGGCACTAATGAAGAAGAGGACATAAAAAGTCACCCGTTTTTCCGGCGACTCGATTGGCTGAAGATATATAATCGAGAAATTCAGCCGCCATTCAAACCCATTGTTAAGGATCCGAGAAATGGCGAAAATTTTGACTCTGTCTTTACCACAGCCCAGACCACACTCACGCCCTGCGACCACACGATTATCAACAATCTAACCGGCAATGAGTTCCAAGGCTTCTCTTATGTCAATCCATTTTTTGACAAAACACTTGCGTAATATCATATGATATCTTAATAATAATTGTTATTATTATTAATATAATTATCAAAAAAAATAACCCTATCATCCTATGATTACAATAATACAGACATAAAATTATAATAATTTTATAATACTGTATATTGCGATACATATATTTTTTACATATACGTCAATCATAATTGAATTGTTTTTTTAAAAAAATATATTTTAAAGTGTATATATAAATGACAAATAATGCCTTATTTTTTATCATCATCAATTAACATAATTTTTTTTTAAAAATATAATATTTATATTTACTTCATACCACAATTTTATTTTTTATTCAAAATATCAAAATTATTTTTATCATTGTTATAAATATTAAATGTTAAAAATATTATATACTTATTATATAACTTTACTTTAAAAATATCCCACCAGAAATCTTATGAATATTTTTACAACAAAATATTTATTAATTTTACATTTAAAATAAATAATTAAATATATTATCATAATATATTAATAATAATATCAAATATATCAATAAATATTGCATGTGTGTGTGTGCGTAACTGAATTATCATTTAAATTTTTATTTATTAATATACTGTATATACTGTATAAATATATCAATATATATATATATATATATATATATATATATATATATATAATTTTATTATCATTGATAGTGACATTAATTAATTTTAATTGATAATTACCAATTAAAATATTTTTATTGGAAATCTATTATAAATTGTTGACTAATGTTTTGTTAAATATTTGTAATGTAATGTTAAGATATATTATTAACCTTTTAATAATATACAGTACATATTTGTTATTATAATGTAAAATTGACAATCATTATTAATTTTATAAAAAAAACTATAATTGATTTAGATTAGCACAAATTATAATGATAATTAAATATGAATTTAATTTTTAATTTTTTAAACATAATATTTACGCTGTTAATTACATTTTTTCATATTTATATTGTTCAATTTAATATATTTATTAAAATATAAAATTATTGAAATACTAAATAAAATTAAAATAAAATAATAAAGCGATTAATATTTATACTGCACTATATACACTAATAATTGAAACTATTAAATTTTTTTTTAAAAAAATGGTATTAAATTTGTTAATATAAACAAAATTTTATTTGTAGATTAATTTTTTTAAATAACTTTAATTTTTCACGTGATTTATATTTGTCAAATAGTTTAATAGAAATATTATTTATTTATTTTTTGTATATTTAATTTATGTAATCTAAAATATGATATTTAATATTACTATCACTGTTTTTTAAAAAAAATAATTTTAATACATTTATTAATACAGAATTTGATAACATATACAGTAAAAGTTTTAAATGTCTATATTTTTTCAGATAAAAGTAAATTAATTTATTTTTTCTTAAACTAAATCAATTATATCAGTAAAACATTTGGAGCCATGGATTCAAAAGGGAAGCAAACATTTGATTTTAATGGTAATTATATATTAAATGAAAACTATTAGAAATTAAAAATATTAATCTTAAATAATATTATTATTTTGTTTTTGTTTGTTTTTTTGGGGTTAATTTCTAAGAGCATCAACACATTCGGTACAACCCGTTAAAAGATGACTGGGTTCTGGTCAGTCCTCATCGCATGTATGTACTGTACTATTTGGTCATTACATTTGAAATTGTTATTTAAAATTAACAGTTTTAATAAAATAATTTAATAAATTAAATATAGGAAGCGTCCCTGGGCTGGACAGGTAGAAAAACTGGCCGAAGATGATGTACCCGAACGAGATCCTACTAACCCATTATGTCCCGGTTCTCGTCGGGCCAACGGTATCGTCAATCCTGAATATACCGAAACGTTCGCCTTTGACAATGACTTTCCTGCTCTGCTCGACGACTGTCCTGAACTGAACGACACGTCCGACGATCCGCTGTTTCGTACAGTCCCGGCCCGGGGCAAGTGTCGGGTAATTTGTTTTCATCCTAATTCAAACATTTCGTTACCTTTGATGACCAACGCCGAGATACTGAAAGTTATCGACACCTGGATTCAGGAAACTATACAATTAGGTCTGACCTACAATTGGGTTCAGTTGTTTGAGAATAAGGGCGCAATCATGGGCTGCTCTAATCCGCACCCGCACTGTCAAGTATGGGCCAGTTCTTATCTGCCAAACGAGATCCGTATTAAGGATCAGATGCAACAAAAATATCTTACAAAACACGGCAGACCATTGCTAATGGATTACTTGGACAAAGAGTTGAATACAAAAGAGCGATTGGTAGTCGAGAACGACAATTGGGCGGTTTTGGTACCATTTTGGGCCGTCTGGCCATTCGAGACAATGATTTTACCGAAAAGACATGTACAGCGAATTGAAGACTTGACTAATGAAGAAAAACGAGATTTGGCTGACATTATGAGACAATCGCTTATTAAATATGACAATCTATTTGAGACATCGTTTCCATATTCAATGGGTTGGCACGGTATATAACCTACCCGTCCCTCCTATACACTACTAATATGTACCGTATATATAATTATATGTATAAATTTATATATATCCAGGTGCACCCACTGGACAATACTATACTACCGATACCTCTCATTGGGTACTTCACGCCAGCTATTATCCACCGCTGTTACGGTCAGCCACTGTCAAGAAGTTTATGGTCGGCTACGAACTGTTAGCTCAGGCACAGAGAGATCTAACACCGGAACAGGTATTTAACACTTACTGTATATGTACTGAATATTTATACTTTTATATATCATTTTATATTACTGTATAATTAATTTAATATTTGTTTGGATTGTTATTACATCTACTATTTACTTAATATTTATATAAAAAAATTATTATATATAATATTATAATTACTAAAATCACAGACCTATTTAATTTAATAACTTTTTATAATTAATAATTAATTAATTAATTCAATTTGATTTTTATCATTACAGGCGGCACAACGTCTAAGAGATTCATCAGATGTTCACTATAAGAGAAAATGAGATTCAAATCAAATCAAATAAATAAAACATTCAAATAGTCTGTTGTTAAGTGTTTTAATAATAATATTTACAATTTATTAATTTTTTTCATCATTTAATTTTTCTTTTAATGAATTCGAGTAATTGATTACATAATTTAAGATTAGTGTACTTTATAATAATAATAATAATTCAATTAAAAGATAGGGATATAATTTACTCTAGTGTTGTTGTTGTGTTGTAGTAATTAAATTATAATAAAAACAATTAAATATCTTAAAAATTAAATAAATAAAAATGCGTTTATAAGATGTTTAAATTTTTTTTTTAAAAATCAAATGAAATTTACTATCAATTAAAACAAAAATACAATATTATTTTGATCGCAACCATTACTCTCTATCTCTGTTATAATGTATATTTAAAATTAATATTTTTTTCATCAAAATTTTTTTTTATGTATACTGTATATGTCTTATCATTTTTTTGTGAAGCAAATTATTATAATTATTTTTATTGTTTATAAATTAAAATTTAAGTAAATCAATGAACTCAACTAAAAAAAGTGATAATTAAATTGAATAATAATAATAATAATGAGAAGTAATAAGCATAGGGAGCTATTTCTAAAATTATAATTTATTAATATTAATTTAATTAATCACGATTTGATGTGTAATTTTTTTTATCAATATATTGTTTTTTAAATTTATTTATAATTAGCTAATTATCTCAGATGATTTTTTTTGTCAATTTTTGTATATATATATATATTTGTTTTATAAGAAAAATATGAAACAATTACTTAGTATACATATATCGTTTATATATAATATATTCACTATAATTATTATATATTTTTTTGTTAAATTATTAAATAAATTCAAAGCATTTATAATTATCATTATATTTATCACATATATAGATATATATTTTTAAAATATTTATTTTTTTTCTATATATATATATTTATAAAAGAGTAATTTATTGATAATTAAAAAATCATCTGAGAGTAAATGGGATTTATTTATTATTTTTTATAATTAATTTATGGCAGATATGGCTGATGAGCACTGGATGTAAACACAATAGTAAAACACACACTAAAACAGATAACCGGTTTTTTATGTTTGTTTGATTGATTGATTAATCCGATTCACCATAAAAATTATTAGTCGATACACTTTGTTTTTTTTGAATGCAAATATTATTACAATTTGTTTGTTAAAAAATATTCGCACGTATTATACACAATAATAATGATAATAATAGTCTTGTTTTTTTCAGTGATGATTAACAAAACAAAATAAATGATTGAATAGAGAAATTACTGTATATTTATATATATATATAATTACTGTATATATATTTATATGTATATTATTGATAATAATGACTGACATCATCACGACTCTCCATTACCACTGTCTTCGTTATCTTCATCATTATAGTCTTCGTCGTCGTCGTCATCATCCAAATCATCGCCATAGTCGTCGTCATAGAAGTCGGTCATATCTGCTTCGGTTTCTGCCGGCTTAGTGCGATGTTTTATACAGTACTCCTCGAGAGTCATCGGCACAACAACGTTGTCCTTTTCGGCCTCCAAACGACTGGCCGCCACTTGTTTTCTGATTTAAAAATAAACATAAATTATATCAATAATTAATATGTTATAAACCAATTAAAATATATTATGATTATATTATTATCAGTTTGTTTTCCAATACCTAATGATATTTTCATATTCTTTGTCTTTTCCTTTAGATTCCTTCCAACGCCTATACATTACCGATGCGTCCACATTGGCCGGCGAGAAGGTGTTCGGCTCATTGAGCAATGAGATCACACTTAACAACACAGTCCTATATAATTGATATGTGAGTGTGACATATATTTTAGATGTTAATTATAACAATTATAGTTAAGATATTAACAATTATGTTAATAATAATAATAATGAGAAAATAATATACTGTATTACCACTTCTGTGTCTCATCAATTCAATTATATATTTTTAGACACAAAAAGAAAAACTAGACTAAACTAATAATTACCTGACATTTTGTGTGGGATTCCAGCGCTCGCACGGAAGTTCACCACTTTGCGGGTCGTCAACTGGCGGGTGCAATATCGAAATGCATAGATCACCATTCTAATAGGTAGTATAGGGCACAGTTAGGTCAGGGTTAGATCAGATGAGTTAGATTAGTGATTAATTTTAAAAATCAATGTTAACTTTGAATTGAATGTCTCATATTACCTCATATACGTTCGGGTGCCACACTTTGGTCAGAAACTTGAGTACAGGCGGATTGTATGGATAGTCGTGCGGAAAGGTGACCCGTGCCTGATATACAAATAAATAAATAGATTACAAATCAAATAATAATTACCAGTATGTTATTATTATCTATAGTTTTGTTACACAACAATAAATTAAATATAATATTAATTGAATAATTGATACATCAGTTTAAAAGTGTCACAATAGTGATACACTTATTTTTTTTAAATAAAATTTTTTATTTGTGTGTCCCATATATTCACTGACTTTTGAGGTCACACTTTATATATCATATATAAATATATATAACGACAATGATATATACCAGTTGTACTGTAGTAGTAATATAGTTATTTGTTATATATATTTATATGTATATTAATAAAGTTATTTAAAAATAAAACAAAATTTTCTATAAATAAATTATCAATAAATTAAATAAAAATTAAAAATTTATAACTAATAACTCAATTAACAACTCTTTTGACTAATTAATATAGTGTCGACTCTTTTAATTATTATTACGCAATCATCACTTTGTCGTTAAATCAGCTGATAGTCAGTCAAACCAGGAATGAGGTCACTGTCCGGAAAGACATCGCCTGATTAAGACTACTACTACTACTACTACTATCATATCTATGATAGTATTATCAATACCGACATAAATTATTTGATAACAAACTAACAAACAAACCAATAGATACCTAATTGGTTTCAATCAAATCAAATCCATAGATCAAATAGCAAACAATATGGCAGAGAGAAAGAGAGACAATAACAACAACAAAATAAAGACCACATAAAAAACGAACCTTGAAATATCCGCCCTCGTAGAGTGTCTCGGGTGGCCCGAAAATGGCCACTTCCCACTCGTATAGGTGATCATCGTTTACCAGTTTTACTCGAAAGCCTTCAACTGGTTCTTCTTGTAGACTATAAGTTTTTAATTGGGGACACAATAAGACACATTAAATAGTTATATAATAGATATATAGTGACTACTAATCGGTTTTCATTGTCTGCAGATAACAACAACAATAACTGTATAATTATGGTAATGGATTGGGACATATAGTATTGATGATGATAATCATTGTTTGGTAATAATCATTGGTGATGATAGTGATGGTGATGATAGTGGACAGACATACCTCTTAAACTCGAGCGCCAGTGCCCTCAGCGCACTGTTGGGCTGACTCGCCATTTAAATGGCAATTACTTTCGTAGTCGTCGTCGTCGTTGTTGTCGTCGTAATCGCTGTCGTCTGCAGAGAGATATATATATACACAAAATATATGGTTTGTTTGTTGTTGTCGATCACCTAAAATTAGATCCCAATAACAACTAATTGTGTTCAGACAAACAATTTGATGCTTAATAATAATAAAAGCAATCACTTAATCATTGGTCACAACTAAATAAAACACTATTGTATTTATGCTATGAATTCAATACATAGAGAGAGAGTACTACTACTCAACAGTAATGTGTGTCTCACTGTTTGCACAACTTATTCATACTATTAATAATACATGTATTATATATACGCTATTATACTGTACTGTACTCTCTCTCTCTATCTCTCACTGCTGTTACTGTATGTCTATGCATAACAACAACAACAATAACAACACATACAGAGTGTGTATTAATACCTAAAGTAATTATTAGTAGTGATTATTATAGCCAATAGAGTACACTCTAGGATATTGCGTAACATTTTACTGTACAAATAGATTGAATAAATTTGTAATACTTGTAGATTATATAACTTTTTGTGTAAATATATATATTATTTATTTATTTATCTGTATATTTCATTAAAATCTATAGATTAAATATTAATAAATGTAGTTTTTTTTTAATAAAATAACTTACTTTTAACTTAAATTATATAATTGATGACAATGATCTTATAGATTATACAGTAGATATTAATATATAATTTTTATATATATAATCTTTAATAATAATTTTTTAAAATCTTTATATATATAATTATATTTTATTTTAGTATAAAATATATAAATTTTTTTGTACAATAGTTCACTGGACTTTTTTTCTCCTTTTATACTCTTTATATTTTTTTTATGTCTAAATGTTTTATTTATTTATTTTTATATATATATAATATATATTTAATTTTTTTAATACACCAGTAATATTATACTATATATGTGTGTAAATACTATATACACTGTAAATTTATATTGCAATTTACACGCAATAGTGTTTAGTTCATCGACCAAATTAGGTTCACATAGAAACATTAAACTTACCCAGGAGTGTATATTTATAGTAATTATTATTAGTATATTATTAGATTGTACAAGAGTGTTTATCTTATTTTTAATAAAAATAACTTTTAATATTACCATATACTGTATATGATTGATAAACATCAAATATTTTATCAATCAATCAATTAATGAGTTACTATAGTATAATATGATAAAAATGTTTTATTATTTTTATTTCTCTACTTAAAAAAAAATTGTTAAAAATGTTTAGGTTATTAATAGTTTTAAATAGTATTTTGTAAACTAAAATAGTTTTTTTTAATAATTATTATCTTTGTTAAATTGTTTGAATAGTAAGAATTTTATTTTAAAAAATTAATATTTTATTATTATATCAATACAATAACTTATTTTGTTAATCATTAATAAAAACATGATTTATGAATTATTTTTGTAATGGTTAATTTTCTAATGTAATTTTTTTATGTTTGATGACTATACGTATATAATAATATAGAACAAAATCAGCCTACACATTTCCTTTATTAATATAATAAATTATTAATATATATACAGTTTTATCTGAGTAATAGCAACAACAAAAATCGAAAATTCCATCATCAAGTAAAATTAAAACTTATTTAAACTTAATTGATACTAGTACATTTACCCAGGCCATAATAAATTATTCAAGTCAAATTAGTATTTAATAAAATTTTTATTTATAAAATTAATAATATTGTTTGTATTTGTTATAAATTAATTAGTATAGGATTAGGGAAAAAATTATGAAAATAATAATAATAATAAAAGTTAATAATATAAAAATTTATATATAAATTATATTAAATACAGTGTAGAGTGTAATAACTTTATAGTTTAGTCACTTAATTAATTTATGCCCCCATTTCCTGTCCGAGTATCGAACTCTCTCTCTCTCTCTTTATTTCTCTTTCTCTTTCCAATTGAATTAAAAAACTTTTTTAAAAAAATAAGCTTAAGTTAACGTGTATAATATTAAAATGTATATAATTTTTGTTGTTGTAGTTTTTTTTATTAGTAAAATAAATTATATATCATAGTTATATTTACTGTAATTAAATATAAGTAAAAGTGAAAAGTACACACTAGTATATATACAAAATATAAATAATATAATTTGGTTGACAATCCCAATCACTAACAAAAAACCCACTGTTCCACAGTGTGTGACCATTTATATAAAAAAAATTAATAAATTTTTACTTTTCAGTGTTTATTAAAAAAAACTATAGATACTCATCTATTTGGGGGTATGGGTGGGAATTTCACATCACAAAGTTATTACTTATTTAATATATAATTATAATATTTCTACAGAAAAAATTAATCAAACTTCATGATTATATTCCTGATAAAACTAAATTTGTATATTATATATACATTAATGACTTATAAATTATTTAAAGCTATACTAACAATTGCACAAATAAAAAAAGTTTTATTAACTTTTTTTTAAAACAAAAAATACTAGTTGTAGTATTATAATTGAAATTTTTATTTGATATTGACATTTATAAATGATTTTTTTTAATAATCTTACAAAACAATCATTTATTGAAACTTTGACAATTTTATTATATTGTATTCATGATTCATAGTTATAATTAAATATATATAAATTAATTTATTACTATTAATTAAAAAAATTGTGCAAGATCATTTTTGCTATAATAAATATGTTTATATATATATATATATATATATATATCTATGCCAATTAGTATGTATATTAAGTGTTGATAAAAAATATTGATTTAATTTAATTTTATTATTATATATATTGTTATTGTCATCACTGACTGATGAGGACATCCATTCATTCATTGATTATTAAAGGCATTGAAATAATTTAATATATAAAGAGAGAGAGAGAGAGAGAGAGAGAGAGAGAGAGAGAGAGAGAGAGAGAGAGAGAGAGAGAGAGAGAGATCAATGAAAATTAGATTACTTTATCAATGATTAGTAGACAACACACTCTATACTGTATTAAGTATATTAAGTTTGTAAACACATTGTAAATATTATATACAAATACAGTACACGAGTGAGTGTTGTGTATATGTTTTATGTGAGACACTGAGTGTCTGAGTCTAACAATACTAAACAATGCTATGATATGTGTGTTAAGCGAGACGTTTGAATGTTTTCAATGAGTGAGTGAATGAAGTGAGCAATCAATTCAATTGAATGAATGAAAGGCCGGAAATTGAAAGATCATCACTAAAACAGAAATACAATTATTATATGATTTAGACATACATTGATGTCTTATTGTTGTTGTTGTTGTCATAATCATTGACACTAATTGATTAGATTTGTGACACCTCTTCTGCATTTAGTGTTATCACTGGTCACACACAACACACACAAACATTGTGGTCAACATTTTGCATGACATCCCGAGGATCCGACCACAAGATCATCGTAGTTGTTAGCAAGTGATGGTGCATTGGGATCAAGTGTGCTGACACATACAGTTGCCAACACAATCATAATGATGTTTAAGACATTAATGACCACAATAACAACAACAACAACAACAACAACATCTTAATTGATCCATTTGTTGTGGTTATAGTTGACATTATTATCACCGATAATGACATCTATGTTGTTTTTATAATCACCGACGGGATGACAACGAGAGCATATTTTTGAGGACAATATTTTTTTTGAACGGCTAATCCGTCAACTAAACAGTTGGATCACCCGAAAGCCATATATCATATGTGATATATCCTATCATTGGATATAATAATTCATATCAATTGCCATAAAAATCATATTAGAAGACAAAATCATGGATCTAAATCTTACGGCTCAAGAAAAAGAGGTAATAATTTTGTTTTTGTTTATTATTTATTCATTGATGATAATAGTTGTCAACAATTTGTTTTATTTGTTTTTCATCTATGATTTTATTTTTCCCGTGAAGTCATTGGACGCCTTCCTCAAGATTGTCAATGAGATTCGTATTCAACACAATACTACTCATATGTCGGCCAAAACGGCTCTCAAGTTTCTGATGGCCCGCAAGTTTGACATTCACCGAGCTTTGGCTTTATATGAAGCGCACGAAATTACCCGCTATCGGGAAGGTTTGGCCAAATTTGATCCCAACTCGCAGCCATTGAAGGCTGAGTTAGAGACCGGAAAGTTTACCGTTTTGGTCAGTTTTGTAATTGAAAATAAAAACATCAATTTTTTTTAATTTGTTTTATCAGTAAATAAATTTAAACATTTTCTTATAAACTTTCTATCTATCATTTGTATAGCCCGTTCACGACAGTATCGGTGCGGCCATTGCTATGTTTTCTGCGGGAAAACATTTTCCCAACGATACGAATCACAAGATAACACTTCAGGGTATATTTGATGACGACTTTTATCTTTTAATTTAGATTTAAATTTATTATTTTTGTTGAAATAATTTTTTAAAAAGGTGTTGTCTATCAAATGGACATCGCTCTTGAAGATGTCAATACTCAACGATCGGGTATTGTCTTCATCTACAATATGATTGGTTCCAAATATTCAAATTTTGATTACGAATTGAGTCAAAAGATCCTGAGTCTGCTGAAGGGCGCATATCCGGCTCGGCTGAAGAAAGTCCTAATAGTAATGGCACCGCTCTGGTTCAAAGCGCCGTTCAAAATATTGCGATTGTTTGTACGCGAAAAGCTCAGGGATCGTGTATTCATGGTTAACGTATCACAGCTGCAGTCACACATACCGTTAGCAGCGTTGCCGCAAGATTTGGGCGGACAGCTGCAGGTCAACCATCAGTCATGGCTACAGCATTGTCTTCAATCGCAACAGAGCAGCGACATCAACGAACTGTGTTCGTTGACATCATCGAAGTCGTTCTCATTGAATCCAAACGGTGGCCAAACAACAACAACAGACAGTGCAATACTAGCAATGAATCTATCAAAACATTTTAGTTGTGACCAACAGACTAACAGTAGCAACGGATTCAGCGATGATGACGATGAAGACAATAGTGAAAAGTGTTCACAAATATTAGCCAACAATTTAATTGGTGACAAAAATAACGGCTCAATACTTATAACAAATTCGTCGTCCAATTCATCGACGACGACAATATCCAAGACAAACAAATGCAAACCAGACATAATATCGGTGCCAATGTATAATACAGGCCAAGAAAAACTAGACTACAATAATAAATTTAATAATAATAGTAGTAATAATGATAAACAACTAGTGATGTTTGATGAGGTGGTGGTAGACCAGGAGGAAGATGAAGCTGAAGATCCAACAAAAGGCATGACTGTTGAAGAGTTTATCCAATATTTGAAAGACAAAGGAAAGAAAGGACTTCAGGACGAGTTTTTTGCCATCAAAGCGCACGGACCCGACGGCACGTTCGAGGCGTCCAGACTTCGGGCCAATCAAAGTAAAAATCGCTATTCAGACGTTCCCTGCTATGATAGGACCAGAGTTAGACTGCCGATCATCGACGCCGACGATCCCAACTCTGATTATATTAATGCTAATTATGTGAACGGCTATAAACATCGCAATGCATTCATATCAACACAAGGTATTCAAATTGATTTATTAGTTTAAATAAATATTTTTAGTAAATAATTGTTTTGTTGTTGTCTTCACAAAAAAACACAACAAAATGATAGGTCCGTTGCCGAAGACATTCGAAGATTTTTGGCGCTGCGTTTGGGAAAACAATTGCTGCGTTATTGTAATGACCACTAAGACAATAGAAAGATGTCGGGCAAAGTGCGGCCAGTATTGGCCACTCGATGAGGAAAGTAGTCTGGATTTCGGACAATTTCATGTTCATAATAATGGTGTCGACGAACAAAACGATTGGATTATTACTTCGCTTGTCGTCAATGATACCAAAGTAAGAAAGTTGTTTCAATGCAATCAATTTGAAAGTTTGATTTTTTTATCGATAATTGAATTAACAAATTATTTGATAACTAATAATAATTAAAGTGAAAATTGTTTTTATTTTTTTAAAATATAATTTACCGATATATTGCTAATTTTTATAGTTCATAATAGATTAGGTTAGTTGTGTAAGCTAATAGATTAAACGTAATTGCCTAATAACTTACGGTAACTGTAAAATTATAGTAGTAGTAGTAGTACTAGTAGTAGTGCTAGTAGTAGTAGTAGTAGTAGTGCTAGTAGTAGTAGTAGTAGTAGTGCTAGTAGTAGTAGTAGTAGTAGTGCTAGTAGTAGTAGTAGTAGTAGTAGTAGTGCTAGTAGTAGTAGTAGTAGTAGTAGTAGTAGTAGTAGTGCTAGTAGTAGTAGCGTAATAGTGGTAATAAATTTTTTTTAGTTAAATAATTTTTACAATTACGGTAGTTTCTACAAGTATAATGCAAATTGTAAATTCCTATGGGATTACAGTAATAAAAAATTTTCCCATTAACTATATGGTCTAATATTACAGTATTATTATCTATATAATAGTTGAAAGATAAGGTTTTTGTTGAATAATAATGGGTTAACTTTATATTTTTTAAATTTTTTCTTGCTTATATTGCTAGTTTGTTGGGCGATAATTGTTAGTTATTTATTTAGTTTTTTTAATGTTATTAAATATTCATAATAATTCATATAAACTATTTGTGTGCATAAATAATTAATTTTATTTTTCATCCACAATTTTAAATTAGCGGTATTTTTTTGTGGTGCAATTTAAACAATTTACTGTAATTAACAATAGATACATTGTTTTTAATAAATTATATTAATTAAACGATTTTATTAAACATAAAACTAATGATAGATTAAATATATAGTAGAAATGTATTGAAGTTATTGCTTATTTTTTTTATTAATAAATGATTATTAAACAATAAATTTTATGGATATAATACTAATCTTGTAATTTATAGTATAGTAATATAAATTAATAACTATTATTATTATCCTATTAGACTGGTATGACTCGTGAAATAAGTCATATGCAATTTACAAGTTGGCCCGACTATGGTTAGTACCAAAATATATATATAAATAAATCAATTGAAAATAAATGATTTGGAAACATAGGTTTTTTAATAATTAATTGATGTATTGTTATATAAATAGGTGTTCCCCGATCGGCGGTTGCAATGTTAGAGTTTAGAGTAAAAGTCAGGGAATATCAGGCAAACTCTACAAAAGCCATGGGATCGTTATGGAAGGGACATCCATTGGGACCACCCATTATTGTTCACTGTAGCGCTGGTATTGGTAGAACAGGTATGTCTACTGTATTATTATTATTTATTGAATGCATTAATTTAATTAACAAAATTTTGTTTTTTTTGTTGTTTAAATTATGAATAACTATTGTAACTTTATTTTTTTAGGTACATTCATAACGTTAGATATAAGTATTCAACGATTAGAGAAAACCGGACGAATAGATATTAAGGGAACGGTAGAAAAGATTCGTCGGGAACGGGCACACAGTATACAGATGCCCGAACAGTATGTGTTTTGTTATTTAGCTCTACTCGAGTACGCTCTCTGTCAGCGATTATTAAGGGATGTCGACCTATCGGGCTTTGATGACAGCGAATCGGAACTCGAAGAATAGGAGGTGTTGGGTCGCCCCCCCTTTCCCATCAATTACCGCTTAATAATGTACAGATGATAATGGATGGTATACTCAATGATGATGATGACGATGACGATAGTGATGCATTTTAATAATGTTTTATTTTTAATTTCTAATTATTTTATATTTTATATATCTAAATCAAAATAGATATATATATATAAATTTATATTTACTGTTATTATAAATCTAAAATTTACTTAAATTTATGATAACTATATGTTATTATATTTTATTTTGTGTTTTTTTTATTAGTATAATAATTGCTTATTTGATTATTATAAAAATTAATTTAGATCTCCTCTTTAAAAAAAATTTAATTATGGTAATTTATTAATTATAAAATTTTCTATTTATTATTTATTTATATAACTTATGTATACAGTATATACTTGTATAAAAATGTAAATTTTTTATTTACAAATACCGTATATTGTAATTATATATTATATATATACCGTAAAAACAATTATATAATTTATAAGTTATTAATTAATTATAATAATTGATTGACTTTTTTTTATAAAAAAAATACTTAAACCCGAAAATCAAATTGTGTGGTCATATCTTCCCTGAGTCCAAACCAATCAAATAGCTGTACAAGTATTTCATCTAAAAAATACACACATATTTGTAATAATGTTATAAAAATGATTTCGAGATTAATTTATAACTGTAATAATAATAATAATATAATTAACACAATTTATACCTAAAATGTGATGATAATTTTTTTTTAAAAAATTTAACACTAACATAAATTTATATATATATATATCTATAAATTAATTATAATAATAATATTTAAATTAATAATAATAATAATTTCCAAATAATTGCATTATAATTGAGTTCATTATTTCATTTGCCATAATATATATATATACTGTATTTAATACAGTATATAAATAATACACACAATTAAAAGTTAATTTTTTTGAAGAAAAAATTTATTTCAAATAAATAATAAGTTGATAATATTAATAATATTCATTTAATATAAAAAAATCTATAAAATGGATAATCAGTAATGAATAAAAAAACTCATAAATGACTCAATCGGGGGGTTATATCAAGCATTTACCGTACAGTTTGTGTTTGTTGGGTATGCAAAGCACTGGTCCCAAAACATATGACCAGTTTATTGAAAAATTAAATTAAATTTTTTTATAACGAAATTTATAAATAAATAAAACAAATCATTTGATTGTGAATAAAAAAAATTGATTATTAAATTATTAGTTATAATAGTTTTCGTTCCGATTCGTTGGCAACAACACCAACACCGTTGGCCGCGATGTCATTTGGCTGTTCATTGTTGTCTTCACCGTCGACGACACCATTGTTGTTGTCGTCGTTATTGTTGTTGTTATTGCTGTCATTGTTGGCTTCAACCAGTCCGTCGGCTTTACGATCGGCTTCGGCTAAGCCATTGTTGTCCGATGTTGGCAACGACGGACCAGATTTTTCTGGTTGTGGCAAAACTCCGGCGCCGACTACCGGTGCCGGCGGCGCGGCTTCGTCTTCTTCGTGCGGTTTACTTTCATCGGCAGCCATAAGAGGCGCCTCTAATTTGTTGGCATCTTTATTATTGGCGCCGCCGTCGACGGCAATGTTATTGTCTTTGTTATTATTATTATTACCGGTAATGTCTTGGTTTGTATTTTTGGAACCACTGTTCATGAGAACAGGAGAATCGATAACATTATTATTAGTATTGGCGTTCAGATCATTGTTAGCCAACTTATTATTATTATTATCATTGATAACAACAGCAGCAGAATTGTTGGCTAAATTGTTATCAGATTTTTTGTTGTTTGTCGTTGTATTCAACAACTGGTTGCTCTTAATCTGATTCTTCAATGAATTCAATTCAGTTTCCAATCGTTTATTTTTGTCCATCAGTTCGTTGAGATTCTTACTTTTGTTATCAATAGAGTCTTCTTGTTGTTTAATTGTCTGCAATTTGGTCAACACGTCGGCCAACTCTTCCGACTTTTTGCTTAACTCTTCTTTGCATTTGTCCTGAAAAAATCAAAACTAAGACTTAATCACTTTATTAATTAACAGCAACTGTTGTTGCCATACATTAGTATCTTTAAGTGAGTCCAACTGATCTCTCATGGCGTGCATATCATCGGCCTTTGTCTTGACATCAGTTCGGGCAGAGTCTAAGTCCACCTGATTTTGTTGAATCTTGAGCTGTGCTTTACTAAACTCTTCTTCACGTTTACTCAGCTGACTCTTAAACAGATCCAATTCTTCTTCGACCGAATCCTTTCGCATAATTGTCTTCTTAAGCTGTTCTTCCAGACGATTATACTCTTGCGATTGACTCCAATAGCTGACCCCAAGTATACCCAAACCGACACAGAGAGCGGCCAACAGAAAGGGCGGACTACGGCCCGAAAAGTGCGGTCGCAGTTGACCTCTGGTTATGCCATTAGTTGATCCCATATTACACGGGTATATATATATATATCAGCGGATCCACAAAAAAAATTTTTTCTGAACAACTTCTTTTAAATTACAAGACTTTTTTTTGTTTTATAAATTAATATTAAAATTATTGAAATAAATTATTATTCATTTGACAACTGTTTTATATATTATATATCAGATCCATTAGGTCATCATCAGTACCACAATAATAATAATAATAATAATAATAATTGTCTTTATTATTGACTATCAATAATAATAATAATGTTTTTAATTTATTTTTTATTATTAGTAATAATTTAATTGTTTTGTAAAATTGTTTTTTTAATTTTTAAAGCATTGAATACAATGTGATGTTTATTATGTGTATTATATTTGGAGTTGACTTTTAATAATAATAATAATAAAGGGGTTTTTTCGTTAGAGGTGTTTGCGGTATTCAATTAACTTATGAAAAAAATGCTAATAATATCCGATATTTTTAAAATTAATATTTATTTTTATATTATTTTAGTGTACATCTACTGTATTATTATTATTATGTTTTCATAATAGATATTATTTTATTTTTTTTAAAAACCGGTATCCAAAACTGATATCCCTGTAAAAAAAATATTTTTTTTATCGGTTTTAATGTCGAAATTTCGGTCAACTATAAAATTTAATAAAATTATTCAATAGTTTTTTTGGTTTGGTTCCTATTATTATTATTTTGTAATTATTATTTATGGGTTTCGGGTTTCATATTGTCGGGTCCGGTAAATCGGTTTTACATTTCACAATGATTTCCTCTCTCTCTCTCTCTCTCTCTCTCTCTCTCTCTCTCTCTCTCTCTCTCTCTCTCTCTCTCTCTCTCTCTCTCTCTCTCTCTCTCTCTCTCTCTCTCTCTCTCTCTCTCTCTCTCTCTCTCTCTCTCTCTCTCTCTCTCTATTGAGGCCATAAAGAGTTGGCTATCAATTAATAGTTAAATTATTTTTGTTTGTTTAAACTATATTAAACAAAAAAATAAAACAAATATATAATAAAGTATTGCACTAATTGTAATCACATGAGACTTACTGTATTAAAAAAATATATATTACGCTAAAAGCCTTTACTTGTTGTAATCTAAATGATAATTATATGTATGATATATATTATCTTATCATATCTTATATCATTGATTTGTCAAAAAATATGGTATATTTAAAAAATAAAGATTAAATTAATTATGTATTTCTTAAACAAACAAAAAAACACATTATCCTGTTATTCAATATCCATAAGTAATCCGAAACCATTATATATATATATCCATATAACTGTATATAAGTTAAATATAATATAACTGAATATATTTCAAAAACATTTTTGAAAAAAGTTTTTTCTAACTATTTTTTCAGAAATTTAATATCCAATTTCAATAATTTTTTTTTTTTGAAAAAATTGTTTTGTTTTCAAATCTACTGTATGTGTCCATAGAATTCAATGAACAGTTGTTTTTTAAGACTATAATTGACAATTGAATTGAATTGAAAAAAAAGTTTTCACACAATTGAGATGCGATAGAAAAAAAACTAAACAATTGTTTTATTGTATTTCTAATTTGAAATAAACTTTGAATTAACTATTAATTTAAGGACTAAATATAAAAACACACCAATAATTATTTTTTTTTGATGATAAATGTCAACCACTGGTGACCCCCGCGATATATACACGTATATTATGACGTATATATATCCCCAATGTTTGTGTCGTTAAGCGTTTATTATTATTAGTGTCGTCATTGGCGTCAATGTTAGCACAGAAACGATATTATTTCAGTCAATAACACAGTTTTTATTTATTATTAGAGAATCAAATTAAAGTTAGAGTTATTTTTACGGTTAAATTCTTAGACTTAAACTTAGATTTATAACGCATTAATACTGTAGTAAATACATTAAAAAATTATTTTTAAATGTTTATACATTATTTAATTAAATTATCTAGATATTAAATACAGATCAATGGGTGGTAAGTAATTTTTAGTAAGTAAAATAATTAAAATTTTTAAAAATTTTAATATTTGTAAAATAAATTTTTAGTGAGAGAAACATAAATGATATATAGTTAATGTAAATTTTAATTCAAATGTTAATTATTAAAAAATAATAATATTTATCTTATTTATAAATATACATCACATTTTTTTAAAACAATAAACTAGATTGAAATAGTTGAGCAAATGTTTAAAATAAGGATTTTTATAGAAAAAAAGCTACAAAAACAACAAAAAAAAGGATCATTTATTGTTAAAAATTATATATATATTTAAAATTAAAATAATATTTATTTCGATATACTGTATATTTTTTTAAAAAAAAGTTATTGAACATACAGTTTGGACAAAAACAAAAAAAAAGTCAAATAACTATTACTATAATTTGATTCTCTAGTTATTGAATATCAACAGAGAGTCTTTGGGAGAAAAAGAGTCGCAAAATTCTAACACAAGTCTCTCTCTCTTTCTCTCTCTCTTTCTCTCTCTCTCTCTCTCTCTCTCTTTCTCTCTCTCTCTTTCTCTCTCTCTTTCTCTCTCTCTTTCTCTCTCTCTTTCTCTCCTCTCCTCTAAAAAAACTCAAACTAACAGTCAAAGCACTGAACATCTAATTTAACGCTTACTTCGCGGCTCTAACTCTCCTAAACACTAACTGTATGTCTAATATGTATCGTTCACTCACTAACTCACTCACTGTATAACTGACTTCATTGACTGTACTGTATATGTGATACCCATTTGAATGCTATAATAATATATTTAACGTATATTTTTTCCGTACATACAGTCAAACCATACACACAATAGAGAGAGAGATAGAGAGTCAGCTATATATTGGATAATATTATTATTATAATAATATTTAAACGATATTTTTAATTATTATATATTTATTATAATAATATTACAAATATATATATAATTATTTTTTTCTGTGTTGTTATTTTACAAAACAACTTATTATTATTATTATTATTACAATTATTGATAACACAATTTTTACAATCATTTTTGTCATTTACTCCATATATTTTGTGAATTAATATTTATTTTTTTTGTTGAATAAAAATAATAATAATATTTTGAATAATATTTTTTTGTGTGTGAATTGAATTGAAAAAAAAAATTCATCTATTATTTAGTGAATTATTTATTTAAAATCAAAAAATATTGTTATATAATATATATTTGGTATGTTATTGTGTGTTTCAAATTGAAATATTAATATCATATATACTGTATATCATATAATAATTTTTCAAATATATTATTTGACACAAAAATAAAAAAAAGTGTTGCTAAACATCACCGCAAACTGATCCCCAAAAACAACATGGCTTTAGCAGGATTTAAGAAACAATTAAATAAAGCTAATCAGGTATTTAAATCAATTATTTAATTATTATTATTTATAAATTTAAATATCATATGTTATTATAATTATTACTATTTTGTATTTGTATTGACTATTAATTTAATTACTACATGTATTTGCCATATAATTTGTGTTTATAAATGTTTATGATATTAATTATTATTACTTAAACAGTATATGATATCATATGATTTATCATATATGCAATTATTTCAATTTATTTATTGATGATATAAGCAAGATAATATATTATACTATTAAAATTATTTTTAATAATAATATTAATTTGCCTAGCTGTTTTAAAATTAAATATATATTTTTTTAAAGGTATAACCTGATGATTATACAATAAATATAAAAAATAGTGTTATTTAATTGATAATTATTATGATAATAATTGCTTGTAATGTAATAAATTAAATTAAAATTAAAATTTAATTACCCTAATTATCCTAGGTTATTAATCAAAATATTATTTTAGTATATGAAAAATGTAATTAAAATTTTAATGTATGTCTCTGTATATATATATATATATAGTTATATAGTTATGCCAAATGATAAATCAAATTTAATTAATTATTATTATCGGATAAATAATTTATTAATTTAATTTTTTTTGTTTAAATTAATTACTAGTATATGAGCGAAAAAATTGGTGGCGCAGAGGGCACCAAATTTACCGATGATTTTACGCTTATGGAACGGGTAGGCAATCTATCTAACCATCCATCCATCTAACTAACTGTCCATTTAATATATTATTTTGATTTATTTTGTTGTATAGAAAACCGATGTCACCAACGAATTGGTTGAAGATTTAATGAACAAGACTAGAGAGTATTTGCAGCCTAATCCAGGTATTCTGGTTATTGGACTGATTAACTAAACATAATATTAATTACCCGTAATTACCCGTTTGTCTATTACTTTATAGCTACCCGCGCCAAGCTAACGGTTAGCTCGAAGATAAAGGGCTCGAAAACGCACAGTTATCCACAGCCAGAGGGAACTCTCGGGGATAGTATGTGTAAATATGGCAAAGATTTAGGCGAAGACTCATCTTTTGGTTAGTTTTTATTATTATTATCCAATCAATCAGCCAATCGATTGATTTGTTAATTGATTGATTAGTTTGAAGTGATGATATAGTTGTCTTAAATAGTTGTTTTAATTTTAATATTTTTCATTTGAATGATTAGCCCTAAGCCTTATAGAAATGGGTGAAGCCTTAAGAGAAATGTCAGAAATCAAGTACGCATTGGAAGATAATGTTAAACAAAATTTTTTGGAACCATTGATGCACATGCAGTCAAAAGATCTTAAGGATGTTATGCATCACCGAAAGAAATTAGAGGGACGACGGCTGGACTATGATTGTAAAAAACGTAAGAAATGCAAAGGAACTCATATTACTGAGGATGAGATCAAATTGGCTGAAGACAAGTTCGAAGAGTCATTCAATTTGGCGTCAATGGGAATGCATAATCTTCTGCAAAACGATGTCGAACAGGTCTCACAAATAGCCGCTCTTTCCGAAGCACTATACGAATATCACAGCCAATGCGCCAACATTTTGGAGAGTCTAACATCACGTCTAATGGAACAGTATGTCTTTATTTTCGATGATAGCCTACCTATTTATGTGTGTGGGGGTGGAGTGGGCACCGGTAGATTTTGTGTGTGTGGGTTAATTTTGTGTGCTTATTATCATTGTTGTTTATAGGAAAAACGATGCAGGCACCAAGAGCCCGGAGCCCTATGTGCCCAAAAAGCTACACGAACTGAATCTGCATCTGAATGTGGCCATCACTGGAGATGACGTATCGCCCGGCACCGACCAGAGCCCGCACTATAATGGTTGGCACGATTATAGTCAAACTAACGGACAACTATATAATCCCATTAGCACTACCGCACACCTACTCAACGGTAAAACCATTGCCAACAATCATCATAACCGTAACAGCCATTATAATAGCAGCCATAACACCAATAACAGTCATTACAACTATTATGACAGTCATTATAATAATAACAGTAAACGATTTTTTTAGCAATTTTTTTTTATTTTGTTTAATACCAGTGCAATGCAATTGCAATTACAGTATATATATGTTTATCAATTACTACTACTAATTCTCTAGACTTATTACTGTATATTAACTTTAATTTAATTTAACTATTAATTTATGTCTCAATCGCTCTCTATCTCAAAAAAATCGATTGTTGGTTCTGGTCTTTAATCGTAACATACCTTTCCTAACAAAAAAAACATTAATAATTATCCATAACATTGCTTTTAATGTGAATCAATTTCTTCTCCATCCCCTCTCTCACTGTTTTCCCACACAAATGTATTGTCCATATAACCAGAATCTCCGGTCGAAACTCCGCAAAAGCCGTCAAATCTATTCTTAGACACAACTAATGCTAACTCAAAGATGCGCTCTCCAAACGGTATCTCCAGATAAATTTATAACTAACTAATTAACTAACTGTCCACTTGAAAAAAAACTAACAGTGCTTTTGCTAACTAACTGTTTCTTTCTTTTTTCTCTATCTCTCCAATATTGCCAATTGCTTTGTATTGCCAATAATAATATCTATAAACACAAACATATGATGATAAATGTAATGAAAACAATAGCCTCACCACTTCCATCTCCTGTTCGCTCTCCAGCCCGATCTCCAGAGCAGAGGACGCCCTGCTGTCAGGCGCTGTACGACTTCGAGCCGGAAAATCCAAACGAATTGCCTTTCAATGAGGGAGATGTCATACAATTGAAGAGTAAGATCGACGACAACTGGTTCGAGGGTACAGTCAATGGAAAGAGCGGTCTGTTTCCCATCAGTTATGTGCAAGTGTTGGTACCAATTGGTCATTAAAATGGATTAAATTATTTTTAATTATTATTATTATTATTAAGATTATTACAAAAAATTTTAAATGTGTTTTAAACTTTAAACAAACAAAATGCGAAAAAAACCAATGAATTGTTAGTCTTTCTAATCATTTGGTGACCGTTTTTAAAAAAGAAAATAATTTTGTTGGTGACTACCCATTATTCGGGTAATTGTTTTGTTGTTATTGTATCACTTAATTTGTTAGAAAGTTAACTATTTTTATTTTTAACTATACATTACATTATTTAAAAAAAAAAGAAATTATATCTCAATTTCATAATTCTCATACCAAAGATAATTGAATTACAAATTATTAGTTAATTTATCTCTCGAAATATGATATATATATCATATATATATATTAATTAATTAATATATAAGTTATAACTTATAACTTGTTTTATTTGCTCACTAATTTGTTATCATCAAACAATTTAATTAATTATTATGTTTTTTTAATTAAGTATTAAGTTTTTTCTCCTTCAAAGTCATATTTTCTGGAGTTTTGTGTTAAATCTAATCAATGCATAGATTTTAATTTATTTGAATTATAATTAAATTAATATAATAATTAACTAAAATTACAAAACATTTCCATTTGGGATATTTTAGAATAAACCACATTATATTATACAATGTTGTTAAGTTAATGATGATGATATTGATAAAATAAAAATACATATTATAAAGATATATAGAAATTACAATAAGTGATTAATTGGTATCATTACAAGCAAACAGACAAACAGATAAAAATTGATTAAATATATATAATTTATTAATTAATTAACGAAAAGATAATCGTTACTAAATGCAGTGCAATCCATATGATGTGTGATTTTCCTCAATATTTTTGCGATATTATATATATATATTATATAAATATTCAATATGTATATGATTATTGAATTTATCATTATTATAAATTTAAACCAACAACAACAAAAATTAACATAGCTAAATAATTACAATATTTGGTGCTCTATCATTAAAAAAACAAACAAACATTTATCAATTTAATATATGAGAGTTTAAAAATTACAATTATTTTTTATCATGGATTGAATGAAAAAAAACTGACAATTTAAATATAAATTTATTTTTTAATTAACTAAAAAAATACAATAATTTATTTATTGGGAATTATCAACTAGCTAGAATATCTTTTAAAAATATACATTGCTTATTATTTATTATATTTATCTATATATATATATACAATTAAAAGTTTCAATATTTTTAATGAGAAAAAAACAACAAATATTAACCAAAAAAATTATTATTATTATTATTCCATCCTTTTTATGATCTCTAATGAGTATATAATACAATATGAAATAAATTATATATATATTTGTGTTGTAATTATTATTTTTAAAAAACAAACAAACATAAATATAATTATTAATAATAATAATATATATGCTAAATATAAACTATTTTTCCTGTCTCTGATGCTATTTAATTAATTTTAATAATAATAATAATAATAATTTTACTAAATATGATATCTTTTAAAAATACGAATAATTATTAAATATCAAATTGCATATTAATCTATAAATCAATCGAGCATTTAATTGTTCTCTAAATATATGATAATAAATACATATAAATTTTAATAAATAAATTTATAGTATATTAATATAAATATATATTACAGTATATACTGTATACTGTATATACAAACACATACACACACACACATACATACATACACTGTTGACTATAATAATAATTGTTGGAAAAAAATTATTATAGTTTTATGTTTGAATTATTAAAATTATATAAACTATTAAAAAAGCAATATTAACGATAATATTAAATGATTGTAAGCCTCATATTGTGATTAAATAAAAAAAACAATTTATTTCAATCATATCAATTATTTGAGTAATTTATTAAAATATTCAATAATAATTACAATAATAATTATAAAGATAAGTAAAACCCGGTTATAATAAAAAATAATTTAAATTAATAATACAATAATTGAATCAAAAATTAGTTACAATCGAAAGTTTTATTGTTATTTTTTTAATAATAAGTAAATATATTAATGATAAACTATAAAACAATTATTTCTTTCAAAAATGTATATTTAATATTATTTACAATTTTTAATATATTCAATAATATGCTAATATTAATGATTAATATTAGAGATTCACAATTATGTAACTCAAAAAAATATATAAACTATTTATATTTATAATATTATTTTATATTTTATTTTATTATTATATATATATATTTACTGTATATCTTACATATATTAATATTTATATATATATATATATATATACCGTATATATACTATATGTTTTATAAGGGGTTAGGGATTAAAGTGTCTGACGTGCAAATTAACCACATATTCAGCATTAATACGCTGAACACTGATCAACAATGGATCAGTTGGATGCAAAGTAAATGCAACCAGTCTTCTGGCAGTTGATACAGTGGTCCGATGGTTCTGCAAACCGGTAAATATCTTAAACCTAAGTATACCTGAATCGCGTGCATAGAAACGTATGGGATGATCGCCACAGGATCGGGGTCTTTCCATCAATGTTATCCATTTGTCGTCATAGCTAAACAGTGACAGATCCAGATATGGACTACCGGTGCATCAAATTGAAAAAAAAACAATATTATTAAACTGTATAAAAATATTACCCGATTATTATTATTATTATGTGTGTAATTACCTGCACGTAAACGATTGAGCGCTAATCGGTAACTGAGCCAACAGTCGTCTAACGGCTTCGGTTTGGCCACCGTTACGGGCATTGACAATGGTTTGCTTAAACCGTTGCTGCAATAGTCGTGAATGTATGTTATTAGATGGCGAACAAATCAATTGCTGGGAACTCTGTAGGGAACAGTTACGGAACAGATCGCAAAAACTTTCAAATAGTTGCAACAACTCTTCCGATGTATTCTCGAAGACTGAGATCACACAACTGGTATTGATATTGTAGACAACGAACAGCGACGGCGGACTATTGAGATCGGACAGACGTAAAGTGATTACTTCTTCGCTGGCATACTTGAGAAGCAAATGATTTTCATCTAATAATTGCATTTTCCATATACGAAGCGCACAAAACTGGTCAAAGTTCTGGTAGAATCGGCGAAGTGGCAAATTGTTACCATTCAGTTGACTTTCGAGATGAGCTTTTCGATAGAGAAAAACCATTAATCGATGTTTAAGTGAATTCAGTGTCACTTCACGGAATGGCCTAATAATATTCGACTGGTGATGATGGTGTCGGCTACCAGTTGAAGCCGACCTCTCTCTGGTTGCTGCCGATGATACAAGAAATTCGTCGTCTTCGTAACAAAATCGGCCAATACTTTTGGCATCAATGAATTGGCCCTCTTTGGAGATCTGAAACACATGAATGGTCTGATGTTGGACAGACAGTACGGCCAGAGTATTCCGATATAAATAGATGCCCTGGTTGTGGCTCAGTATGATTTTATCGGTTTTGAACACACGCTTATCACATACTCTACCATTGATTATGTCAATCAAATGTAGGGAATAGTCTTCAAGTGGCGACCGTTGGCTCGGCGAAACAGATTCGTTGTTTCGATAGATATCAAAGTAGACGGGCGGCGACTCTTCGCCGACTAATGCAGCCGAACAAACAATAACAAAACGGCTGTCGTCTGTAAACAGACTGCACTCGCGATTCAATTGTTCGCCATTTGTGGTCACATTTACCACATTCTTCAACTTGAATAATGTCTCAAATACTTTGCTTTTGAGTCGTTGAGACTTTTCGTCGCTTCCATTGGTTGTGAACTCTTGGGCAGAGGGGATGTCTTTCAAGAGATGAGATGCGGCCGACGGACCCATATATTGGTAAATCTCGATACAAGTTTGGTCGGCACTGAAGGCCAATAAGTGGCGACCGTCGGGCGTAAACTTGCGTAGAAAACAGTTTGGTTTTTCAATGTTAACAATCGTAAAGTTCGGTACAATATTCTGGTGCAGTGACCTCAGGCCGTGGCGACCGATACCGCAGCCGCCAACTGGTCGACCGTAGCTCACTTCGCGTCGCAACAAACGGATCACCAGATTTTGTGGACAAATGCGTCGCCTTTTAATACCTTCCCAATCGTTGAACTCTTGGTCATCGTTAGCGGAGGCGTCGATTGGCCTCTTAGTGGCCACCAATTTACGGGGAACAACGCTAACAGTGCTGACCTCATTTCGACGGCAGCCGTCGATAAGCGAGTTTTGATGGCCATCACAGGACTCACACTTTTTGCACATCTCTCTCTCTCTCTCTCTATTATCGGTAATTATCGGGGGCTCTTAGTGGTCACATTTAGTAGTGGTCACACACTCACACACATCGTATACTATAGTGAATAACATATCCATACGGTTATTGAAGCAGTGGTCGCGCGCTCGCACACAGAGGTCACCGACCCGTTAATCCTTTGTTCGGGTGAATGATTTGGTCACCAAAAAAATAGATAAATAGATAACCAACAACCAAAAAATGGTCACTTTATTATCGGTAAAATAATTTGTTAGACAACTCTTGAAGTATATATCAGATATATAAGTGTGTGTTTGTGTCTTGTGTTTCACTGTTTGTTTACTTTATATAAAAAACAATATATAATACTCTATACTATACTATAGTATAGTTTATGTCCACAAAAAAAAGTTTGCGTCAAAAACTCTGTATATTATTATTAATACTAAATAATAATAATTTTTTTTTATATTTAATAAAAAAAACTAAAACGTCATATGATTTTGTGAGTCAAACACACATTGAGTTTCCTAATGAATGGTATTTATTATTATTATTATTATTATTATTTATAATAGTATTTAGGACTTTACACACAAACACAAAACGGGTTCAACCAATCCATACATACATTTCAATTCAATTGAATGCAATAATAATACGTCACTCAATAACATACACTCAACACAACATATATAGTACAACAATGCAATCCTTTTGTGTGTTTATAGTGTTATGTAATAATAATACATGTATTAGTGTGAAGGTCATCAACATCACTGCACACATCTCTACTAGTACTACTGTATAAAAAAATAATGAATCAATGAGTGGGTCAGTAAAGTGCATATAAAATATATATATAGGCGCACATCTCTAATCTTATTACGAAATTTTGCAGAAATTATTTTGTTGTTAATACAGTATGTACTCAATAACTATAAACATAAATAAATCAATTGAAACAAATTGATTATTAAATTCACGGAATCTATTATCAATAATAAAGTGATTATTATAAATGTAACAAAACTTTTGTTTGTTTGTCGACCATACGATGATTTGCCGAATCATTCCAAGCGTTACTATTAGCGAGCGTTCGTTTGTATCGATACCTAAAAAACAGCTGTTATTATGTTTTATGTTTTTTGGCGCTTATTTGAAGTCAATATTTATTATTATAAATGTATTAATCATTTGATTGATCACATGGTTTGCTGGTGTGACTGACCATCGATGACGATATTAAACAAATGAAACGACGACAATATTATCAAATTATCAGTGAATACCGCCGATTGAGGTCACTATACGGAACCGATTTGAGACAAATATGTTTACAACTGATCCGACAATTTGGTCACTTAATTGCTTCGTACAACAGTAGCGGTCAGATCGCCGCAACAGTTGCCGACGATAACACCGATCGTAGTGATGATCAGCATTGGATTCATTGTGTGATCTATAGTTTGGCGGCCTATGAGTTCAAGTGTGAGGTCAAACCATCGTCGGCCAGTGTGACGGCTGCTATTGCTTCCTATGGCGTGTCCAACAACAACACTAAGTCGTTGATGAACATCGCCCAAGAAATCGGTATCAGTTACACAATGGCCGCACAATACGTATTACAGAATCGCTACAATCACGACAAAAGTTTGACAAAAACAATGTCCGCAAACACCAGTCATATAGCGGACGGTCGACTGGCCGTCGATGTAATGCTTTGTCACTTAAATGATATCGTTTTTGGCAATCATTCCAATCATATGACAAACAACTCGGGACTGGTATTCGAGTCGGAGGTCAGCCAACTGTTACATCGAAACGACATCTCATACGTTAGCGAACGTCAGCTGCGAATAGACGACTGTTTCGATGTGACCCCGGATTTCAAACTCAATATACCGCTGATCGTGAAGACATTAGGCGTCGTCGCCAATCATTGTACCCATGAATCGGATATTTGTTTGATTAAAGTAAACAACTATTTTGCAAAAAACAAAACAAAGTTTATCGCCGACAACGACAGTACCGCAAACTATACGCCAATCAATTGGATTGAATGCAAATCAATGTTTGCATCGGATTTGTGTCACTCAAAGTATTACCGAAATCAGTACTTAAATTATGTAAACCGTTTCGGTTCAGGACTTGTCATCTATAAGTACGGTTACGTTAGGCCAGTGCCGGTACAATACACACAAAATATTATTATTACCGATAGATTGCCTAAAATTTTGCACACATTTTAGGCTATATTATATATTAAGTTATTAAACTAATTGTAATAAAATATAACTTAATGTTATAAATATATATATATTTTTTTAATTAAACTAATATTCAATGAATTTTATGTCTTTAATGACACTTTATTCGTCAATTAAATATATTTAAAAATAATTTGTAGCAAAAAAATGTTTTTTATGACATTAAAAAATATAATTAACTGATTTTTAAAAATAAAATAATAAATCATTTAGTAGTAATAAATACAATCAATTAAAATAAAAATATATCGTTAAAAAATAAGTGACATTATAATGAAATGAAATTCAAAACTAATCGATTGATGAATCAATTATCTGATAAAACGATGTTTTAATGAGTAAATCAATTCAAGTGCTGATAATATATCGATGCGATCATTAAATCGGCAATAATTTAATCCTTTTCCATGTTTTGGCCATTCAGTCACATCAATGAAAATATTAGACGTCTGCCAATCAATCATATAATTAATTACATTATAATTAACTTATTATAAAAAATACCTGAATATAATCGTCTGTATAATCAATGGTTTGATTCAATTGTTGACTCTTCAAGTGTTTGCCATTAATTGTTATTTCGAAAAAATGAAATCTCATTCCTCTTATTAATACCGCATGTCTTGTGTTTAATATTTGTTTGTCATAATTATGAGACAATACACCAGAAGATGAGTCATTGACTAAGTTATTGAAGAAACTTGTGATTCCATAGCCAACAGTCTGAGCCTTATATTTCTCGACCTCCGAGTAATTATCATTCGGTTTCTTCAACTCTAATATAAGCCAAATGTTGTCTTCTTTATCAATAAATAATAGATCAGGTCTTCCACTGAGTCGGACGGGTAGGCTCTAAGAAATTTAATATTTATAAAATACTTGTGATTACTAAATATGTTAATAATATTTACATAATTATTCATTAAATCCATTGATATCTTGTAATTAGGAGTCATGTCTTTCCAACCGATACCAAACAACAGATTCAAAACAAATCTTGTGACAAATGCCTCTTCATTGCCACTCTTTTTCTTAGTGTTTACTACTCGAGACACTGAACTCAAGAAGTTGATGGCATTCTCATTGTCCGTAAAGTTCTTCATCTGAGTCGTCAATGAATCGGTCGTGAAGTCGATTCCATCGCTAATCACATAATTAGCGATATTTGCTATAAAATTAACACAAAAATAAAAATTAAGACAAAATATTAATTTATAAAAAATAATTACTAATAAATTAATTTTTTATATCAAATACAAACTTTTCATCGATTTCATCGGTAAACAACTAAAACAAGAATCAGTTTTATTATCAAACTTTAAGTTTGAAAACAAATATTTTAATTTAGATTCATTCAAATTTGATATAAATATTTTTTGAGTATTGAATCTCAATATTTTAGTGTAAAACCTTTTACTTAACAATTTATAACCATTTGATAATTTTAAAAACATTGCAATAACTTGAAAATATTTAAATCAAATATTTCATTAGATATGCCGCCAAAAAAAAGACAACATATACTACTGATTGTTAAAAACAAATGATTCATTAAAATATAAAAATAATTGTAAAATAAAAACTTGTTATACAGTAATACCTCTACTGATTTCACGTGTCATTAAACTATTGAAACAATTGGTGTTTTTTTCATTAAACTTGATATTCAGTAAACTTAATGTTTTTGGTGTAAAATATTTGATATCAAACAGAGAGACATCACTTTCATAGTTAATCTCTTCAATGAAATGTAAAAAAAATAGAGAAAAACATTAAAATTTAATACAATATTAAAAATCAAATAAATATTTCAGTATTGATACTAATGTCTGATTTAATTGTCACCTCTTTCCTCATCCATTAGATCTTCAATGAACTGATTCTTGTCTAATGTGTTGACCAACGAGTGAATTGTAAAACAACTTCTTCTGAAGCAATCATTGATTGTCCAAACATTGTGTGAATACATGACATGTTTGTTGACATTCAATGTATTTCTCAATATATGAAACATATCTCTAACTATCTCTCAGTTTTGATAATCTATTTATATATTAAAAAAACTATTAATAAAATAATTAATTAAAAATTTATATCAATTTTACCGTTAATTATATGGTATTTGTGTTGATATTAGTATTTATAAGACAACTGTTGTCTTATTGTTTACATTCAGTCAATGTTTAGACTCATGTATTCATCGATTGATTTATTGATTGTTTTAATTGAATTCAAAACAAATTAATTGTCGTTTAAATGGAATAACAATTCAATTAAATGTTTGTTTTGTTTTCATTTAAATTATGTGTAAAACATATGATGTAATCCTCAATAGTCTGCGCTATCGCTAGGGTTGCCAACTGAGTGCTTAATAATTTAAGGATAATCTTATTAACATAAATGGCATTAAAATCAATATTATGTATATTTTTAAAAGATTAATCTATTTTTTCTGTATTTATTATGATTTTTATTTAAATAATGTAAAATTTTTTTATTAATTATATATATTTTGATTAAATATGTCAAACATTTCTTAAATTTAATGAACAGTTGATAACTATATACAGTATATAATGATTGTTTGATTCAAAAATGTTTAATATGTGAGCCATTCATAACTTCAGTGTAGACTTTGTGTGTATTAATGTGTTAATTGATAGGCAAGTATTGCGAGTGAATCGGGTCTCACAACCCGTATATCCGTCCCGTCCGGTCAGTGGACACACAAAAACAATTGTTATTTAAGCAATTGTTTTACTGACAAAAAAAGTTATTACACATTAAATAAAATTTTTTTAATTTATTATAATAATAATATCTGCAATAAGTTTGACTTACATATTACAGGTATAACTTTATTATAACTTTTTTTAAAAAAAAAGTGATTTCTATACATATAAAAAAACTAATATTAATTAATTACCTAAAAAACAACAACAAAATAATAATAATAATTGGATATAAAATTTTGTTTAATAGTTTTTAAAAAAATCAATCGCTAAACACTCGTATAATTATCGGTAAAGTGATGGCAATGAGCGCATAGGTGACCACAACGGTAGTCAAACTATTGACTTTCATCTTATACTCTAAATTGGATTCAGTGTTTGCAATGCATTCAACAATCTTATTGTCGTCATCTCTTGTTGTCGACTGCGGATCAGTCTGTGTTTCATTTGTCGTCGTCATCGTTATTACCGTACTCTTAGCTATCGTCGCATTGCTGGCCATACTGTTGTTTTCGTGAGCTAACGGTTCCGAAGTAGTTGTTGCGACACTACTACTACTACTATTGAGTGCCACTTTTGACGCGTTGGACGTCTCTATCATTTTGGCCAACTCTTTGAAATCGCGCCGTTTGAATGCATGATTAACACTGGTGGCTATAATGCCGAGACAGGCGCCGATAATTGTGCCCAACATTGACAAATATTTTGTCTTTTCCTGGCGGACCCGTTCCACCTAAAAAAAAGTATATAAACAAACAAAACAATCATTGATTAGTCAGTAAATCCATGTCATTAAAAATTTATGCCACAAATCTCTGAATATACTATACCTCGTGAGCCTCTCTTAACTTATTTGAAAATTGCGAAAACAATTGTCTTTCTGTTTCCTCCAATCGGCGAAGTGTTTCCAACAGTTGGATCTCTTCTTTGATAAACTGATGCTCTCTTGTAATTAGCGTCAGATACGACTCGTCGCTTCTGTGCGTAGAGTCTATGAATTTTAAGATAATAACCACAAAAAAAACAAAAAATTTAATGATATATCAAAAAACAATTGGCAAATGTTATCGCAAACCGAGTTTTTGTCTGATTTGTTTGAGTTGTTCCTGAAGACCAATCATCTGGTTTTGGACATCGCGTCGGGCTTTGGTTGAACCGACAAACTCGGACTCACTCTTCATATACAAGAAATTTCAATGACAAACGATATTAAACTAATAAAATGTTTGCTTATTATCGTCACAACAATTGATTGACAATATATTGTTGTATTTGATTGACACCTACTTTGAGAACTGCTTCCTGTGTTTTGCGAACTTCTTTGACGCCAATAAAGTCTTCGTAAATATCGAACCATTTCTTAAACTTTTGATTCAAAGAAAACGAAAAGTTTGGCTTCAAATGTCTGCCCAATGATTGTATGTTTGATGAATTGATACCAAGTTTTTGCATTATTTTTCTTCACTTTTAAAAATAAAATGATTTTCAGTTTTATAAAAAATAATTAAATAGTTTTTTTTCGGTGACTGAAAACTTTAAGTTAAATTTGGTTTAAATCGATAGTTAATAATAAAATAATAATAATTTATAATAAAATAAAAAATAATTAGTTGTTTAATATCAATCAATGTTTTTTTATAGTAGTTTTTAATACAAATACAAAGTCAATGGGGTTTTTGTATTTTTGTTGTTGTGATTATAACAGTTGTGACAACAATTATTGTACAGTAAATACATAATATTGAAAAACTTCTCTCTCTCTCTCTCTCTCTCTCTCTCTCTCTCTCTCTCTCTCTCTCTCTCTCTCTCTCTCTCTCTAAATAATTACAACAAAATATAACTACAAATAAATAACTAAAAACGTAACGTTATATTCAAGACAAAAAAAATTATTTTTTATTTAGTTTTTTTTTTTGAAGTCACAAATAACGCAAATATATTAATAGCCAAACATATGATTTGATTTTTTAAGCCAATCAATGGTTAAGACATAGCAATAGCATTGCATTGCATTACATTACAGTCAGTTAGTTAGTCAGTGATTGTCAGAAAAACATAACACAAACGCAAACACAACACAAGCAGTCAATACTTATTATTATTATATAAAAAAAATCATTTAATTTAATAAATCAATCAATTGATTGATTGATTGATTATTTTTTTTATTGAAAGCACCAGTAGTTTTGTCTCTCTGTGTGTGTGTCTGTATATGGGATCAGTTGTTTGTTGGATGTCATTGTGTTGGACATCAACAAAAAGATATGTCAGATCCACAGGAAATTGAAACAAATTTTAATTAATTAATTATTTTTTGTGGACATTTACCGCCCGAAAAAAATAACTATATTACCCAATGAGTGACTCGACTGCCGCACAGTTTGCGCTGCCGACGCTGCCCGCGGCCACAGCCGAAGACACTGTTGACGCAGCGGCCACTATAGCCGCCGCCTCCGATGTCAAGTGTGGTAATATGCGATCGTCGTGTCTCAAGAGTGGAGACTTCAAAGGCATGAAAAGCGACCCAAAACCGGGCGAATTCATTCTGAGGACACTGTTTGCCGAGTTTGCGGTGTTGGCCCAGAAAAAGATCGATTACGTACTGTCATCGGAACCATTGGAGCGACCACTGGCCAAATCGTTACAAAGAGGCGAAGATCCAGTATTTGATCAACTGTTGACCGCTTTTGGATCCGTAGCCGAACACTGTTTGCCGTCACTGTTGCGTACATTGTTTGCCTGGTATGACCGTCAGTTAGAGGACAGACAGCTAACAGCATCGCAGTCGTCGCAGGCCAGCGACCACAAGTCAGTCAAATCGTTGACCGATTCGCTGTCTAAGGCAACCGGTAAATCTTTGACCAACAGCGAGAGTCTCGAAAAGGCCGAACACTTCTATTTGATGGAAAAGCGTGATTTGGCCGTTGAATTTATTTTCTGTTTATTTCTCATCGAAGTACTCAAACAGTTGTCACTACATCCCGGCTATGAAGAACTGACAAATCATATCGAAGCTCTGGCTTTTCGTCACTTTCGCTTCCGCGAAGAGGCCCAAAACGATCCCAACCTACAGAACATCAATATGATTGCCGATCTCTATGCCGAAGTGATCGGTGTATTGGCTCAGTCCAGGTTCCAGTCGGTACGCAAACGATTCATGAGTGAGTTCAAAGAGTTGAGGGCAAAAGAGCCAAACAATCCGATAACTACTCACAATATCATCAGTTTGCTGATGGGTATGAAATTCTTTCGAATCAAAATGGTTCCCATCGAAGAATTTGAGGCATCGTTTCAATTTATGCACGAATGCGCCCAATATTTTCTCGAAGTCAAAGACAAAGACATCAAACATGCATTGGCCGGACTTTTTGTCGAAATACTGGTACCGGTGGCGGCCACCGTCAAGAACGAAGTGAACGTTCCGTGTCTGAAGAATTTTGTCGAAATGCTTTATCCGCCAACACTTGATTTATGTACGAAAAAGAAGCACAGTCTGGCACTGTTTCCATTGGTTACCTGTCTATTGTGTGTCAGCCAAAAGACATTCTTCCTGATGAATTGGCACTACTTTCTGGCGATGTGTCTCCAGCAGCTCAAAATCAAAGAAGCGAAGATGAGTCGTGTGGCACTGGAATCACTTTACCGTTTGTTGTGGGTGTATATGATTCGCATCAAATGCGAAAGCAATACGGCAACACAGAGCCGATTGCATAGTATTGTCAACTCTCTGTTCCCGAAAGGATCTAAAGCAGTGATGCCCAGAGACACACCACTCAATATATTTGTCAAAATTATCCAATTTATAGCTCAAGAACGACTAGATTTTGCTATGAAAGAGATTGTCTTCGATTTGTTATCGGTTGGCCGTCAGATAAAAATTATTTTGACTCCCGAACGCATGTCAATAGGTTTGCGTGCATTTCTTGTAGTGGCCGATAGTCTACAACAAAAGGTATATCTTTTTCTTATTGTCATCAAAGATGATGTCTTCAATTAAATAATTAATTTTTATTGATTGATACACAGGATGGAGAGCCACCGATGCCGCGAACAGTTGGTGTATTGCCTTCGGGCAATACTTTGCGCGTTAAGAAAACATTTTTGAACAAAATGCTTACCGAAGAGATGGCCCGAACTATTGGAATGAATCATTACTATCCATATGTTCGCAAAACACTAAGTGATATATTGCGTGCACTCGATGTCCAATTTGGACGCCCGCTGATGATGACAACCGTCCAGAATATGAACAAAGAACCGGACGACATGATTACCGGCGAACGTAAGCCAAAAATTGATTTGTTCCGCACGTGTGTGGCAGCCGTTCCGCGACTTATTCCCGACGGTATGTCCAAACAAGATTTGGTCGACCTATTGGCCAGACTTACCGTCCATATGGACGAAGAGATGAAAGGTCTAGCGTTTCAGTCATTGCAGAATATGATCGTCGATTTTCCCGACTGGCGTGAAGACGTCATCGAAGGTTTCATTCATTTCTTATTACACGAAATTAACGACTCGTTTCCAAATTTAATCGACAATTCGTTGCGAATGTTACTCCAATTGTTGACGAGTTGGAAGAATGCTCTGCAAAACTCGACAACAAGTACTAGTGGTGGCAAAGATCAGACCACCTCTGGTGCCGCCGAATCGGGTTCGGCTCTGACCAAAAACGAACACTTGGTTAATGTTTTGCATAATGTCGAAGCACTGGCATTGGTTATGCTCTGCTACTGTCGCCAACCGGTCCGCAGAATTGCTGCACACATACTGAAAGAGGTTAAGGTTTTGTTTAAACTGTTATTCGCCGGCAAAGACTATGACGAACCGGTAGCTTCGGTTATGGACAGAATGTGTCCGCAAATTGTTGAACTATGTTTTCCGTTTTTGCCGTCCGGCGAAAAGTCGGCCATAATATCTGTGTCGTTGAATGTCGACCTTCACTGGTTAGCCGAACGCAGTGGACCCGCTTGGGTGTCCGGACAGAACGATAATGAATCGGAATCTTTTAACAAAACAACAGACCAATCCATACATATATTTCAATTGAATTCAAATGCAATAATACTTATGTACAGTAAAACAGTGTTTACATCTATAATAATACGTCACTCAATAACATACACTCAACACAACAACAATGCAATCCTTTTGTGTGTTTATAGTGTGTGTGTGTGTTATGTAATAATATTAATACATGTATTAGTGTGAAGGTCATCATCATCGTGACTGCACACATCTCTACTAGTACTACTGTATAACAAAAATAAATTAATCAATGAGTGGGTCAGTAAAGTGCATGTATTTATTATAGATATATAGGCGCACATCTCTAATTTTTGTTACAAAATTTTGCGTTTCAATTGTGCAAAATTTTTTTTTTTTATTAATACAGTATGTACTCAATACTATAAACATATATAAATCAATTGAAACAAATTTTGATTATTGATATTAAATTTTACCGGAATCTATTATCATTAATAAAGTGATTATAATAAATGTAACAAAACTTTTTGTTTGTTTGTCGACCATATAATGATTGTGTGTCCGAATCACTCTCCAAAGCGTTACTATTATCGAGCGTTCGACTGTATCGATACCTAAAAAACAGCTGTTATTATGTTTTTCATGTTTTTTGGCGCTTATTTGAAGTCAATATTTATTATTATTATAAATGTATTAATCATTTGATTGATCACATGGTTTGTTGTGTTGTGACTGACCATCGATGACGATATTAAACAAATGAAACGACGACACTATTATCAAATTATCAGTGAATACCGCCGATTGCGGTCACTATACGGAACCGATTTGAGACAAATATGTCTACAACTGATCCGACAATTTGGTCAATTAATTGCTTCGTACAACAGTAGCGATCGGACCGCTGCCGCAACAGTTGCCGATAATGACACCGATCGTAGTGATGATCAGCATTGGATTCAGTGTGTGATCTATAGTTTGGCCGCCTATGAGTTCAAGTGTGAGATCAAGCCATCAGCGGCCAGTGTGACGGCCGCTATTGCTTCCTATGGCGTGTCCAACAACAACAACATTAAGTCGTTGATGAACATCGCCCAAGAAGTCGGTATCAGTTACACAATGGCCGCACAATACGTATTACAGAATCGCTACAATCACGACAAAAGTTTGACAAAAACAATGTCCGCAAACACCAGTCATATAGCGGACGGTCGACTGGCCGTCGATGTAATGCTTTGTCACTTAAATGATATCGTTTTTGGCAATCATTCCAATCATATGACAAACAACTCGGGACTGGTATTCGAGTCGGAGGTCAGCCAACTGTTACATCGAAACGACATCTCATACGTTAGCGAACGTCAGCTGCGAATAGACGACTGTTTCGATGTGACTCCGGATTTCAAACTCAATGTACCGCTGATCGTGAAGACATTAGGCGTCGCCAACAACACTGTTGCAGCCAATCATTGTACCGATGGATCAGATATTTGTTTGATTAAAGTAAACAACTATTTTGCGAAAAACAATACAAAGTTTATCGTCGACAACGACAGTACCGCAAACTATACGCCAATCAATTGGATTGAATGCAAATCAATGTTTGCATCGGATTTGTGTCACTCAAAGTATTACCGAAATCAGTACTCAAATTATGTAAACCGTTTCGGTTCAGGACTTGTCATCTATAAGTACGGTTATGTTAGGCCAGTGCCGGTACAATACACACTAAATATTATTATTACCGATAGATTGCCTAAAATTATGCACACATTTTAGTCTATATTATTAAACTAATTGTAATTGTATTAAAATATAACTTAATGTTATAAATATTTTTTTTTTTAAATTAAACTAATATTCAATGAATTTTATGTCTTTAATGACACTTTATTCGTTAATTAAATATATTTAAAAATAATATGTCGCAAAAAAATGTTTTTTATAACATTAAAAAAATATAATTAATTGATTTTACAATCAATTAAAATTAAAATATATCGTTAAAAAAAATAAGTGACATTAAAATGAAATGAAATTGAAATCTAATCGATTGATGAATCAATTGTCTGAAAAACGATGTCTTAATGAGTAAATCAATTCAAGTGCTAATAATATATGGATGCGATCATTAAATCGGCAATAATTTAATCCCTTTCCATGTGTTGGCCATTCAGTCACGTCAATGAAAATATTAGACGACTACCAATCAATCATATAATTAATTACATTATAATTAACTTATTATATAAAAAAAATATAACAAAATACCTGAATATAATCGTCTGTATAATCAATGGTTTGATTCAATTGATCCAAATGTTTGCCATTAATTGATATTTCGAAAAAATGAAATCTCATTCCTCTTATTAATACCGCATGTCTTGTGTTTATTAATTGTTTGTCATAATTACTGGACAATACACCAGAAGATGACTCATTGACTAAATTATTGAAAAAACTTGTGATTCCATAGCCAATAGTCTGTGACTTATATTTCTCGACCTCCGAGTAATTATCATTCGGTTTCTTCAACTCTAATATAAGCCAAATGTTGTCTTCTTTATCCTTAAATGATAGATCAGGTCGTCCACTGAGTCGGACGGGTAGTCTCTAAGTAATTAAAAAATTACTTTTAATTACTAAATATGTTAATAATATTTACATAATTATTCATTAAATCCATTGATATCTTGTAATTATGAGTCATGTTATTCAAACCGATAGCAAACAACAGATTCATAACAAATTGGGAGACAATTGCCTCTTCATTGCCACTCCTTTTCATTTTCTTCGCCTCCATTACTTCAGCTATAGATCTAAAGAAGTCGATGGCATTCTCATTGTCCGTAAAATTCTTCAGCTGAGTCGTCAATGAATCAGTCGTGTAGTCGACTCCATCGCTAATCACATAATTAGCGATATTTGCTATAAAATTAACACAAAAACAAAAATTAAGACAAAATATTAATTTAAAAAATAATTAAATAATTTTATATATCAATTAATACAAACTTTTCATCGATTTCATCGGTAAACAACTAAAACAAGAATCAGTTTTATTATCAAACTTTAAGTTTGAAAACAAATATTTTAATTTAGATTCATTCATGATATAAATATTTTTTGAGTATTGAATCTCAATATTTTAGTGTAAAACCTTTTACTTAACAATTTATAACCATTTGATAATTTTGAAAACATTGCAATAACTTGAAAATATTTAAATCAAATATTTCATTAGATATGCCGCCAAAAAAAAGACAACATATACTACTGATTGTTAAAAACAAATGATTCATTAAAATATAAAAATAATTGTAAAATAAAAACTTGTTATACAGTAATACCTCTACTGATTTCACGTGTCATTAAACTATTGAAACAATTGGTGTTTTTTTCATTAAACTTGATATTCAGTAAACTTAATGTTTTTGGTGTAAAATATTTGATATCAAACAGAGAGACATCACTTTCATAGTTAATCTCTTCAATGAAATGTAAAAAAAATAGAGAAAAACATTAAAATTTAATACAATATTAAAAATCAAATAAATATTTCAGTATTGATACTAATGTCTGATTTAATTGTCACCTCTTTCCTCATCCATTAGATCTTCAATGAACTGATTCTTGTCTAATGTGTTGACCAACGAGTGAATTGTAAAACAACTTCTTCTGAAGCAATCATTGATTGTCCAAACATTGTGTGAATACATGACATGTTTGTTGACATTCAATGTATTTCTCAATATATGAAACATATCTCTAACTATCTCTCAGTTTTGATAATCTATTTATATATTAAAAAAACTATTAATAAAATAATTAATTAAAAATTTCTATCAATTTTACCGTTAATTATATGGTATTTGTGTTGATATTAGTATTTATAAGACAACTGTTGTCTTATTGTTTACATTCAGTCAATGTTTAGACTCATGTATTCATCGATTGATTTATTGATTGTTTTAATTGAATTCAAAACAAATTAATTGTCGTTTAAATGGAATAACAATTCAATTAAATGTTTGTTTTGTTTTCATTTAAATTATGTGTAAAACATATGATGTAATCCTCAATAGTCTGCGCTATCGCTAGGGTTGCCAACTGAGTGCTTAATAATTTAAGGATAATCTTATTAACATAAATGGCATTAAAATCAATATTATGTATATTTTTAAAAGATTAATCTATTTTTTCTGTATTTATTATGATTTTTATTTAAATAATGTAAAATTTTTTTATTAATTATATATATTTTGATTAAATATGTCAAACATTTCTTAAATTTAATGAACAGTTGATAACTATATACAGTATATAATGATTGTTTGATTCAAAAATGTTTAATATGTGAGCCATTCATAACTTCAGTGTAGACTTTGTGTGTATTAATGTGTTAATTGATAGGCAAGTATTGCGAGTGAATCGGGTCTCACAACCCGTATATCCGTCCCGTCCGGTCAGTGGACACACAAAAACAATTGTTATTTAAGCAATTGTTTTACTGACAAAAAAAGTTATTACACATTAAATAAAATTTTTTTAATTTATTATAATAATAATATCTGCAATAAGTTTGACTTACATATTACAGGTATAACTTTATTATAACTTTTTTTTAAAAAAAAAGTGATTTCTATACATATAAAAAAACTAATATTAATTAATTACCTAAAAAACAACAACAAAATAATAATAATAATTGGATATAAAATTTTGTTTAATAGTTTTTAAAAAAAAAAAATCAATCGCTAAACACTCGTATAATTATCGGTAAAGTGATGGCAATGAGCGCATAGGTGACCACAACGGTAGTCAAACTATTGACTTTCATCTTATACTCTAAATTGGATTCAGTGTTTGCAATGCATTCAACAATCTTATTGTCGTCATCTCTTGTTGTCGACTGCGGATCAGTCTGTGTTTCATTTGTCGTCGTCATCGTTATTACCGTACTCTTAGCTATCGTCGCATTGCTGGCCATACTGTTGTTTTCGTGAGCTAACGGTTCCGAAGTAGTTGTTGCGACACTACTACTACTACTATTGAGTGCCACTTTTGACGCGTTGGACGTCTCTATCATTTTGGCCAACTCTTTGAAATCGCGCCGTTTGAATGCATGATTAACACTGGTGGCTATAATGCCGAGACAGGCGCCGATAATTGTGCCCAACATTGACAAATATTTTGTCTTTTCCTGGCGGACCCGTTCCACCTAAAAAAAAGTATATAAACAAACAAAACAATCATTGATTAGTCAGTAAATCCATGTCATTAAAAATTTATGCCACAAATCTCTGAATATACTATACCTCGTGAGCCTCTCTTAACTTATTTGAAAATTGCGAAAACAATTGTCTTTCTGTTTCCTCCAATCGGCGAAGTGTTTCCAACAGTTGGATCTCTTCTTTGATAAACTGATGCTCTCTTGTAATTAGCGTCAGATACGACTCGTCGCTTCTGTGCGTAGAGTCTATGAATTTTAAGATAATAACCACAAAAAAAACAAAAAATTTAATGATATATCAAAAAACAATTGGCAAATGTTATCGCAAACCGAGTTTTTGTCTGATTTGTTTGAGTTGTTCCTGAAGACCAATCATCTGGTTTTGGACATCGCGTCGGGCTTTGGTTGAACCGACAAACTCGGACTCACTCTTCATATACAAGAAATTTCAATGACAAACGATATTAAACTAATAAAATGTTTGCTTATTATCGTCACAACAATTGATTGACAATATATTGTTGTATTTGATTGACACCTACTTTGAGAACTGCTTCCTGTGTTTTGCGAACTTCTTTGACGCCAATAAAGTCTTCGTAAATATCGAACCATTTCTTAAACTTTTGATTCAAAGAAAACGAAAAGTTTGGCTTCAAATGTCTGCCCAATGATTGTATGTTTGATGAATTGATACCAAGTTTTTGCATTATTTTTCTTCACTTTTAAAAATAAAATGATTTTCAGTTTTATAAAAAATAATTAAATAGTTTTTTTTCGGTGACTGAAAACTTTAAGTTAAATTTGGTTTAAATCGATAGTTAATAATAAAATAATAATAATTTATAATAAAATAAAAAATAATTAGTTGTTTAATATCAATCAATGTTTTTTTATAGTAGTTTTTAATACAAATACAAAGTCAATGGGGTTTTTGTATTTTTGTTGTTGTGATTATAACAGTTGTGACAACAATTATTGTACAGTAAATACATAATATTGAAAAACTTCTCTCTCTCTCTCTCTCTCTCTCTCTCTCTCTCTCTCTCTCTCTCTCTCTCTCTCTCTCTCTCTCTCTCTCTCTCTAAATAATTACAACAAAATATAACTACAAATAAATAACTAAAAACGTAACGTTATATTCAAGACAAAAAAAATTATTTTTTATTTAGTTTTTTTTTTTGAAGTCACAAATAACGCAAATATATTAATAGCCAAACATATGATTTGATTTTTTAAGCCAATCAATGGTTAAGACATAGCAATAGCATTGCATTGCATTACATTACAGTCAGTTAGTTAGTCAGTGATTGTCAGAAAAACATAACACAAACGCAAACACAACACAAGCAGTCAATACTTATTATTATTATATAAAAAAAATCATTTAATTTAATAAATCAATCAATTGATTGATTGATTGATTATTTTTTTTTTTATTGAAAGCACCAGTAGTTTTGTCTCTCTGTGTGTGTGTCTGTATATGGGATCAGTTGTTTGTTGGATGTCATTGTGTTGGACATCAACAAAAAGATATGTCAGATCCACAGGAAATTGAAACAAATTTTAATTAATTAATTATTTTTTGTGGACATTTACCGCCCGAAAAAAATAACTATATTACCCAATGAGTGACTCGACTGCCGCACAGTTTGCGCTGCCGACGCTGCCCGCGGCCACAGCCGAAGACACTGTTGACGCAGCGGCCACTATAGCCGCCGCCTCCGATGTCAAGTGTGGTAATATGCGATCGTCGTGTCTCAAGAGTGGAGACTTCAAAGGCATGAAAAGCGACCCAAAACCGGGCGAATTCATTCTGAGGACACTGTTTGCCGAGTTTGCGGTGTTGGCCCAGAAAAAGATCGATTACGTACTGTCATCGGAACCATTGGAGCGACCACTGGCCAAATCGTTACAAAGAGGCGAAGATCCAGTATTTGATCAACTGTTGACCGCTTTTGGATCCGTAGCCGAACACTGTTTGCCGTCACTGTTGCGTACATTGTTTGCCTGGTATGACCGTCAGTTAGAGGACAGACAGCTAACAGCATCGCAGTCGTCGCAGGCCAGCGACCACAAGTCAGTCAAATCGTTGACCGATTCGCTGTCTAAGGCAACCGGAAAATCTCTGACCAACAGCGAGAGTCTCGAAAAGGCCGAACACTTCTATTTGATGGAAAAGCGTGATTTGGCCGTTGAATTTATTTTCTGTTTATTTCTCATCGAAGTACTCAAACAGTTGTCACTACATCCCGGCTATGAAGAACTGACAAATCATATCGAAGCTCTGGCTTTTCGTCACTTTCGCTTCCGCGAAGAGGCCCAAAACGATCCCAACCTACAGAACATCAATATGATTGCCGATCTCTATGCCGAAGTGATCGGTGTATTGGCTCAGTCCAGGTTCCAGTCGGTACGCAAACGATTCATGAGTGAGTTCAAAGAGTTGAGGGCAAAAGAGCCAAACAATCCGATAACTACTCACAATATCATCAGTTTGCTGATGGGTATGAAATTCTTTCGAATCAAAATGGTTCCCATCGAAGAATTTGAGGCATCGTTTCAATTTATGCACGAATGCGCCCAATATTTTCTCGAAGTCAAAGACAAAGACATCAAACATGCATTGGCCGGACTTTTTGTCGAAATACTGGTACCGGTGGCGGCCACCGTCAAGAACGAAGTGAACGTTCCGTGTCTGAAGAATTTTGTCGAAATGCTTTATCCGCCAACACTTGATTTATGTACGAAAAAGAAGCACAGTCTGGCACTGTTTCCATTGGTTACCTGTCTATTGTGTGTCAGCCAAAAGACATTCTTCCTGATGAATTGGCACTACTTTCTGGCGATGTGTCTCCAGCAGCTCAAAATCAAAGAAGCGAAGATGAGTCGTGTGGCACTGGAATCACTTTACCGTTTGTTGTGGGTGTATATGATTCGCATCAAATGCGAAAGCAATACGGCAACACAGAGCCGATTGCATAGTATTGTCAACTCTCTGTTCCCGAAAGGATCTAAAGCAGTGATGCCCAGAGACACACCACTCAATATATTTGTCAAAATTATCCAATTTATAGCTCAAGAACGACTAGATTTTGCTATGAAAGAGATTGTCTTCGATTTGTTATCGGTTGGCCGTCAGATAAAAATTATTTTGACTCCCGAACGCATGTCAATAGGTTTGCGTGCATTTCTTGTAGTGGCCGATAGTCTACAACAAAAGGTATATCTTTTTCTTATTGTCATCAAAGATGATGTCTTCAATTAAATAATTAATTTTTATTGATTGATACACAGGATGGAGAGCCACCGATGCCGCGAACAGTTGGTGTATTGCCTTCGGGCAATACTTTGCGCGTTAAGAAAACATTTTTGAACAAAATGCTTACCGAAGAGATGGCCCGAACTATTGGAATGAATCATTACTATCCATATGTTCGCAAAACACTAAGTGATATATTGCGTGCACTCGATGTCCAATTTGGACGCCCGCTGATGATGACAACCGTCCAGAATATGAACAAAGAACCGGACGACATGATTACCGGCGAACGTAAGCCAAAAATTGATTTGTTCCGCACGTGTGTGGCAGCCGTTCCGCGACTTATTCCCGACGGTATGTCCAAACAAGATTTGGTCGACCTATTGGCCAGACTTACCGTCCATATGGACGAAGAGATGAAAGGTCTAGCGTTTCAGTCATTGCAGAATATGATCGTCGATTTTCCCGACTGGCGTGAAGACGTCATCGAAGGTTTCATTCATTTCTTATTACACGAAATTAACGACTCGTTTCCAAATTTAATCGACAATTCGTTGCGAATGTTACTCCAATTGTTGACGAGTTGGAAGAATGCTCTGCAAAACTCGACAACAAGTACTAGTGGTGGCAAAGATCAGACCACCTCTGGTGCCGCCGAATCGGGTTCGGCTCTGACCAAAAACGAACACTTGGTTAATGTTTTGCATAATGTCGAAGCACTGGCATTGGTTATGCTCTGCTACTGTCGCCAACCGGTCCGCAGAATTGCTGCACACATACTGAAAGAGGTTAAGGTTTTGTTTAAACTGTTATTCGCCGGCAAAGACTATGACGAACCGGTAGCTTCGGTTATGGACAGAATGTGTCCGCAAATTGTTGAACTATGTTTTCCGTTTTTGCCGTCCGGCGAAAAGTCGGCCATAATATCTGTGTCGTTGAATGTCGACCTTCACTGGTTAGCCGAACGCAGTGGACCCGCTTGGGTGTCCGGACAGAACGATAATGAATCGGAATCTTTTAACAAAACAACAGACAACAGTGAGAATCAAATGGACACAGAATCCAAAATGAATGCCTGGTCTGTCTGTTTGATGGCATTGGTCGACGAAGTTATCAAAAGTAGTCCATCGGCTGTATCGCTGTCGTGGCCACTGATATGCCATCGATTGAACACTTTGTTCACCCATTTAGATCCCACTCCTGTCAGCGACAACAGAGCCACTGCACTGTTAAGAGGTACGACATCGACAGTGAAAAAGTCATCGACAGAACGCGACTTTTACTTAGAACTCTGGAAGAATTATCTGATGTACGCCTGTCGTATAGCACCGGCAAACGTGAGCAATACGGCGACAACAATGCGTTACTTACCGCACGAAACCTGTGCCTCACCAGATAGTCTGGCATCGGAACCGTCGACCATTGGAAACAAGTCGCCAATGAATCGCGGAGTCAGCGCTCAGAGTCTGTTCAAACAGATCATGCAATTGTTGCGTAGCGAACAAAATGATTTGCGAAATGCTGTTGTCTTAGGCCTATCGCATGTCAATCAGTTTGCATTCAAAGAACTAATGGAAGAACTGGTTCCGTATATTCGCGAAGCGTTCGATCGTAAACAAGAGAATCTGCGGCGTCGTAAGCGACGAGAACTGTTGAGAATACAAATCGGTAGACTCTTGAAGCTGATCTCCGATCGAAATATCCTATCGATGAGCCACTGTGTCATCGATCGGGATGCCGGCACTCTGAGTAATACGTTTATCGAGTATATCGATGGCGCCCGACTTTATTTGGAAACCGAAACCGATAAGGACACGACATCACTGGTTCCCGACATTAAACAATCGTTCTGTTCGTTCATCTATAGACTAATCAAAGGCTTTTCCATTGAAAATCGATCGAATCTGTTGAGTCGCGAATTGCGGCGAAATCTTTTCTATTTGTTTGCCTCTTGGAGTGGCGACTACGGTAATCATGTATTCATAAATTATAAACGTAATCCACAACAACCTCTTCAGCCGATCACCGATCTGGAGTATCTGTCGCTGTCAGCCATGTCTGCTGTACTATGCTGTGGCTCTATCTTTGATCCGCAGTGTCTGTTCGATGAAAGCAATCTCTATCTATGGCTAAATCATCTTCTGAGTTGTAAACAAGAAAAGGTTGCGGATCTGGCATTAGAGACAATAGTTTTATTACTCGAATACAACACAGATGTCGGTTCACTGTTGGACTGGTTGGTCGAATCGTGTTATACTAAAGAGACCGACGTATCCGATGGCTGTTTCAAAGCTATTGCCACCATATTCTCTGTACGCGAGTATCCATGCGATCACTACATATCGATAATCAATGTAACACTTATGAATATTGGTTGTCCCCGAGCGCACATCCATCAGCAGGCCTTACTGCTGCTACAACTGCTAGACAATAGATTTTTCGGCTCAAAACACGACGATATGATGATCTACAACAACAATGAACAACAACAACAACAACATACAGAACATCACAATAAGATTATTGATATCGAATGTATAGAAGAGAATGCTGTGCCAAATGACAATAACAACTATTTCATTGATAATCCATTTTCAGACGATATTTCCGATATTCAACTGAGACGACCACTTAAGCCGACGACCACCAAATACGAGAACACCTACGAACCACTACTGGCCAATGTCTATCCGTGTACACAGTTAGACATATCCCGCCGTATGGCACACTTTCATCCGCAACTATCTATGCCAGTGTTCTCCGAGATTACCTATCGCTTCCAAACAGCCAAACCGACTGTCTGCCAAAATTTGTTGCAATATTTGATTCCGTGGCTCTACAACATTGAATTGGTCGACCCGAACGTACAGCCACTGCAAAATCCGTTTACCGTTTATTCCGAATCGGCTGATATGAACATTGACAACGAATTTGCCAAAGAAGGCTGGGGTTCGGTAGAGGCATCAGAAATGGTTTTGAATAATCTATTCTATATAACAGTTAAATTTGGCGATAACTTTCCTAAAGAGATCGAAGAAATTTGGACCGCACTGTGCGCTTACTGGCCAAACAATTTGCGTATAATAATTCGCTATCTATTCATATTGACCGGACTGGCCAACGATCTTCTACCGTACGCCAAACGTATAGTCATTTACTTGTCGCGGGCCAAACCCGAACGTCTTATCGACGAACTGATGTCCGAATTGCAAACAGTCGAATCGCTTAACTGTCTGACCGAACGTACCGAAGCGCCGCCGTTCTTCCGTATTACTAGTATCCGAAAAGGTAGCGGACATTCGGAGGATGGCGTCAACGAATCGAATGGTACGTCGGAAGGCGGCCACTCGACACTGTTGACGTTCAGCGAATCGGGAACATTGCATACGAAAAGACACAGCGCTGCCGAAGGTATTAGTGGCGACCGATACTGTTGTTACGACAATTGTCTTAACAAACAGGACAACATCTGTTGCAAACATTCCGATAAAATGCAAACACTGAACGACGAAGACTTTCTACTAAGCGATACACTTATCAGCAGAGCCATCAACAGTGGTCGCTATTCACAGAAACCGGTAACACCGCAGCCGAGACCGTTGCCAATGCCCGAATTTGGCGGCTATTACGCGCCGTTAACCGAATATTTGCCAACATCTGGACAGCCAGTGGTCGGCTTTCATCGATGCAATTTAGCGCTAATGTTTCTCACCGATTTGGTCAGCGATGGCAATGCCATCGATTGGACACCGCATATACCGTTGATGCTTCACATAATATTCTTGGGTCTCGACCACAATCGACTACTGGTTCACGAACACTGCAAAGAGTTACTATTAAATCTACTAATTGTTATGACCCGACACAATGATCATCTGAATGTGGCCCGAATTTTGTTGAATAACACAACTCAACAGCTGGGCTATGGCCTAACCATTAGTACATCAGTGCCCAAACCGTTACCCAATTTCATTGATCCGCCAAATTTGAAAAATTTCAACACTAACTCTAATGGCAGTTCCCGTCAAAGTAGTTTAGGCCGCAATAAAAGTCGAACAGTATATTCAGGTGGACTGTTATCGTCGTCATCATCGGCTAAAGAGAAGAAAACAATCGATGACCAGACGACTAATAACAATACTAATAGTAATAACAATAATAATACTAATAAAGATTCGGAAACTGCTTCGGAAGATATAACCATTGCCGACACAAAAGCTCTCTATTCGGTCGAAACACTAATCAAATGTCTAATAGATTTTATATCTGCAAAAAAAGGTGTTCCCCTTTGGAATTACGAAGACATTACTGCCAAAGTCTGGTCAATCCGATCGTCCGACCAGTTGGCCTACTTTATCGAACACATACTCTACGTATTCAAGGAATCGTTACCGTTGGCCAAGATTGAGGAACGTTGGTCGGAAATATCACTCCAATTGGCCCTATCCTGTTCATCCCGACACTATGCGGGCCGATCATTGCAAATATTTCGTGCACTACGAATGCCGATAAACTCGCGTATGCTTAGCGACATACTGTCCCGTTTGGTCGAAACGGTGTCCGAACAGGGAGAAGACATGCAAGGCTACGTTACCGAACTGATGCTCACACTGGAAGCTGCTGTCGACTCGCTCGATGCCGATCCGCGACTATTCGGTGAACTTGTTCGCGAATTTTTCAAATCGACACCCAATCTCAACACCAAAGACAATGTCAATCGGCGTAGTCTACCAGTGAGTACAACATCGACATCGATTAGTAGTTCGTCGACAATAGTGTCGAGCAGTTTGCCGCCCTATTCGTCAGTACCGCTAACCCGTCATCAGATTGCGAGTCACATACGCAGTACATCCTATTCGGTTTCCTATCCCAACCGAAAAGGTATTGTTACCAGCGATACGTTACCACCGGAAACAACAACAACAAGAGAAACAATGCGAAACCGAACCAATACTGACGCCGATTATCTAAGAAATTCAATTCAAAATAATAGTAGTAATAATAATTCGTCGTTAGGCCGATCAAGAAGTGCACAGTCATTGAAGACATTGGAAGAGAAACAATATATGACTATCGAAGACAAGACATCACTGTTGGCCCAATTCTTCTGGATATCTGTCATCATGTTTGAGACCGACTACGAACACGAATTCCTATTGGCTTTACGTTTATTCGATAAACTATTGCCAAAATTCGGTTTAGAAAAAATCGATTCCCAGGAAAAAGTCGAAAAGATATTCATGCAAATGAAATGGAATCAATTTCCAGGAGTTCACGCCCTACTCCTCAAAGGCTGTACGTCGCCGATCACTTACGAGCCGACAATGAATTTGTTGCCCAAATTGACGCCATTGCTCGAAGTCAATGTTATCGATCCGTCTGAATCGGCCAATTCGTTTCCCTATCATATTATGGCACAACTACCGTATCTACTACTCAACTATGACGAGCCGACACCTCTTTGCACACAAGTTAGTTAAATACCGATTTTTGTTTTATAAAAAATAATTGTTTTGTGTGTTTTATTGATTACCGATTCGGGTTTATATCTATTGTGTGTGTGTGTGTGTTACTTATCATTGGGCGTTGTTGTTCATATCATTTTTTCACAGGCGGCCGAAAATATAGCCCTTTGGTGTACCGAAAAGTCCAACAAATTGGATAACTTGGCCACAGTTATGATGCTCTACAGTAGACGATCGTTTAGCAAAGAGAATCTCCAGTGGACCAAATGTGTAGTCAAATACTTATACGACGCCTATTCGCATGCATTTCTCAATTTGGTTTCATTTCTTGTTGAGGTTATTATCACTAATATATACAATATATATATAATAGATTTTTTTAAAATTAATCAAAATTATTTAATAATTGTTGTTCACTTTGAGAACAGGTAGCCGAAAAGGGTCCGCCAGTATTGTTGGTACACGTATTGTCGATACTGCATTGTATGCTTCACTACATCGACCTGAATGCCACCACCACCATCAATACCGATATACTAAAAGTTATTACCAAATACATTGAAGGTCTCCAGTGGAACAATGCACTCAAAGTGCTCAAACTAGTGGTAACCCGTTCCTCAACATTGGCCACTCCACCGGTCTATAACATGAGCGCCTCCTATGCCAACATAAACAGTGGCCCCCAAAGCGGTTCATATTACTCCGTGGACTGCATAAGCATAGCATCTGGTGCTTCGTATGCCGAATCCGAGTTCAGTGCCAAACGCGAACTCCCGGGCCGTACAATGGATTTTACGTTCGACTTGACACAGACGCCGATAGTTGGCCGCAAATATCTAATGAAAAAGAATGGACCGAAAAGCGATAGTCATGTGGAAAATGTTTTTGATATTAACAGCAACGGCTCTAACGATAGGGAAAAGGTTGTTAACATCGACAACAACAACATCGACAAAGAGGTTACCGCATCGGCTTCATCGCCAAGACGTAGTCTATCGCATAATCATTCGTTCAACGAGAACAACAACTGGCGACGTCCGTGGCTGTCGCAGTCGCGTATCAGAGAACGTCTCATCGGTCTATTGACCAGTTGTGGCCAACGAGTTGGTCTACCGAAAAGCCCGTCAGTCATATTCAGCCAGAATAGCGATGTTGCCGACTGTCGCAAATCGTCAATGGCCAGCAGTACCGAAGACATGTCGGCCACCAATAACGACGCCTCTGGTGATAGTAAACTCGAAGACGCGACACACGGAGAGTTTGCACTATTCAAGGATTTCGATTTTCTTGAGTACGAACTGGAGAGTCAAGAGGGCGAAAGTCTTGATAATTTCAATTGGGGTGTCAGACGCCGATCGCTGACCAATTTAGAGACATCCGAAAGAGGAGACATGAAAACCAATAGTCCACTCCATAGGAATGTCGGCTCCATTTCCAGTCTTAGAAAAGACGATCTGTCTTCAGATGACGAAGCGGAAAGTGTTTCACCTATTTATGACATGACATCAGATATGACCCAAAGCTATCTCAACAATCAGTTGCCATTACTCGAGTCGGGTCATCGGCCGCCGAGTATTCTATCGCAAAGTTCGTCGCACAGTTTGTGCAGCGAAGGTGATCTGACTTTAAGCAACACATCCGCCTCTAACAGCATCTCTCCGCACGTCAGCCACAATCCATGTCTTTCCAATGATATCGAAGAGCACTGGAGTACACACTTCAGTCACATCATGAGCGACACCACTGGTTCAGTGTGTGCACAGACCTATCAACTGTTGGCCCGAATATTCAACGAAACATTCAAAAAAGTCATTCACTTGACCCGCGAATCGTGCGAACTGTTGCCGCACTCATCCGAACAGTTTCGCGGAATTATCTCCAGATTTGTCAATCTATTGGATATTATTGGTTCGCAAATAGAGTTTCCATTTGTTTTTGTCGATTCTGCACTGTTTTCAGTGATTCCACAGCTTCTCGATAGACATCGTTTAGGAGTACTTGAAGTACAGGAACACTGGGAAACGTTTAACGAAAAAAAGGATTATTTGTTGGACAGTTTGGACTCATTCAAGAATCACCAGAAACTGGAAGCAATTGCCGCCGCGTCCGCTAATATGACCGATACGAGTACCGATCTCTGCAAATGTCTATACAAAATGCATTTTCAACTCATGCTTCTCATCGAAAGCTATCTAAAACTGATTAGTTTGTTGAAGACAAACACTAGTCAATGTTCAATGCTTTTGGTGAGTATTGTTGTTATAATAATGTTAAGGAAGTGTTGTTTTATTTGATGTTAACTCTCTCTCTTCAGGTGTCTAATCTGTCTCAAGAGGTGACAGCCGTAAAGTGTGAACTATTGAAGACAATAACGACGGCCGCCGACGACACGGAAAGCGATCGCCAATCGCAGTGTTCGGCGTCACCACAACCGTCATCGTCGACGACATCGACCACTTCAAGCAACAGTACATTAGACGGCAATAACTCGTTAACTGATTACGAATGTCATCTAAAAGAGTTGGTTGTCAGCCAACAGTTTGCTAAAGCTATCAAACTATTGCATCGAATTCGGTCACAATTTCCCGATTACTGCTGTTTCGGTATCAATGATGGTATCAGTGGTGGCGATGATGACGACGACGACAACATAGTTAACATAGTATTGACAGTCTATTGTAATATATTATGTGAGTCCCGATCATACTATTTGGTAATTACCGAACCCGAACACAATCCGGCAGAAATTACCCGTCAACTGATGGACACTAGTCTACAGTTGTCGTCGACATTACATTCACTTGATTTGGGATAAAAATATTATTTTTTTTATAAATAATAAATAGTAAACATTTTATCGAAACATTTATTATTAAATCAAATGAAATAATTATTTTTGTGAAGAAGTTGATGGTTTTGGTGATAAATCAACGGATGAGCCACTACTTGATGATAGATTGTGTTGCGAATCATTACTAAGAGGTGGCAATGGATCGCTAGATACGTCTGAGAGTTGATCAGAAGGCCAGACAGCAACGTCAGGTTCTTCTAAGTCAACCAATTGATCGACTAGTGATTTGCCACTACTAGCCGACGACGACGACTCTTCCAATGGCTGTTCAGCCACTGCTATGAGTTCGGGCGTAATGTGTCCGTTGAGTGGTCTTCGGTAAGTCTCGATAATAGCCGTTAGAGTATTGTATACTGGATTGTCATCAATCGTCAGTTGAGACAATCTCGTAATCAACAGCCTATCCAACCATTCCCTCATAAATTCATGATTAGTTTCGGTCACTATTGGCCACTGCTGAGGAATAGTGTGTCCGAAGTCAACAAGCAGTTGTGTTAAGCCTGCTATGAGCTCAACAACTCGTCTAAAATAACAAACAAAACAATTGATTAGTCAAAGACAATGTGTGGACACACTTATCACTTACTCATTATAGTTGAAAGCATTGATGGCAATGGCGTACGACAGCACGTCCTGTACGGCAATCAAAATAATGCCATCCATTGTATTGTTGAGTATATACTGGACTAATGGACAGTATGTTTGAAGTGAAGTCAGTCTTAAAGTGGATGTCTTGTTGATCACACGAGACCTACTAATAGATAGCAATTGCGACCTAAGCTGACTCAGTCTACGACCAGTTAATGACTCATTCATTGTTGTAATCATGAGTTGATTTCAATGACCAATAAGTTTGTTGTTGTTGTTGTCATCAAATCAACTGTCGATTACTTCATTCAATTGGTCGTCAATGATGTTGTTGTTGTGGTCGACACAAACACAGACGTTGTTTATGGTATTAATACTCGACACTAAATAGTCGATAGTCACGTGACTATACACAGCCATCACTACTATAACTAATACATGTATTACTACTACTACTGTATGAATGCATTACTATTACAATGTATTAACGGACCACTCATTACAATAATATTAATTTAATTGTCGACACTATTAGTGGTAAACAAAACAATTGTCAGACAAATGAATGTGTGATTAGTTTATTGTTTGTATGTATTATCCCATCAATTGATTCACTGTTTCTCTGACCGAAAGACAGAGAGAGAGAGAGAGAGGACAACCATTTGATTGAAGATACAGTCAGTCATTCACTCACTCAACTCATTACATGTCTAACAACACACAGACAGTAGACAACCAATGAGTATATGTGTGACAATCAATACATCCAACACTTGTCATTCACACCAACGACAACAACAATAACACCAATAGTTTGGACACAATTATCAGTAAAACGTAAGTTTGTTTCGATTGTTATTATCAATAGATGTTTGTATTGTATGACTAAATGCAATCAACTATTGTTTGTATTGTATTATCAATTGATATAATGATTATTATTGGACACAAAATGTTTGCTTATTATTATTATTAAATGATTTGTCCGTATCTTCAATGATATGCATGTGTTTTGCATTAATATATAGTACTATATATATATTGATTGATTGATTGAACGGTACAAACAAATCCCGATATCAATGATAATATAGACCACAATCAACACATACAGTGAGAGACAGTAAATGTATTATTACATAACACACGCTATAATTTACAATACATTGTTTAATACAGTAATAATAATAATAATATTATTAAAAATAACATAATATATAGTGTTATTGTAATATAATTTGTTTTATTTGTATTATTATTAATTAATTAATTAGTTATATTATATTAATATAATTGGTAATGCTTTTTGAATTGAATTGTGTATTACATATAAATATTATGATAAATGTTTGTAAATTTATATAATTTTATTTTATTTCCCTATATATATACAGTATATGATATACGATACCCATATAGTACTGTAATAGTATAGTAAATCAATTGCCAATTAAAATAAATACTAGTTTTTTATTTAATTAATTTTAATAAACAAAATCAATGACAAATTAGTTGATTTATTATTATTTGTTTTTATTTAGTTAGTAATTTAATTATTATTTGTTTGTCATATAAATAAAGATAATACTATAAAATATTTGTGAAAGATTTTAGTATTTGTTTTTTGTATATTTTATTTTTTTTTTAAAAAAACCATGACTTAAAAAAATATATACCCTATTAATTTTTTTTACATTTAAATTTATGTGTTTTAATATCAATGACTAATTGCATTATTTAAATCAAAAAAAAATGATGCTAATGATGATGATATTTATAAATTAACAAAATTCAAGTTAAATGAAAAATAAATATATAATTTATAATATGATATATGAATCATATATATATGATATATAGGCTAATGAATATGAATATATAAAATGTATTAATTTTTCTCAAATTTTTTTTTAAATACACTGTCATTTCAATAATGTTTTTATTGTGTGTGTGTTTAATATTGATTTATTAAATTACCTATTTAAAAAAAAATATTTTAATTATTACTTATGGGATAATAATAATAATAACAACTTTATTACATCTATATATATATATTAAGTTAACTTATTTAATGTAATAACTTATGATTTATTAAATTATCAAATTATTTGAGAGAAAAAATCATTAGTGAAATTTACAATATATATAAATTATATGAATTTTTATATTAATGATTTGATGACAATTGTTGTTATCATTATTATTAAATTTTTTCTGACAAATACATAACAATAGTATAATTAGTTGGCAAACTAATATACAATCAATCAATAGTTGCAAACATCTATTATTAAAAACAGTTATAAAAGTATTATAATTGTTATGCAATTATATTTATTATTATTATTATAAGTTTGAATACATTACTTTTTAAAAAAAAACTATATATAAAATTATATATATATACCTATATATATATATAATTGAAATAAATTATTTTATTGCTGTTGAAAAACAAAACAAAACAAAAATTATTAAATCTATTTTGTTGTTATGATTCATGTTTTTTGTTGTTTCAAGCATACAAATAGTATTATAAATTTGCAAATAAATTGTTGTTTCAATCGATTTAATTATTTTAGTGATAGGAAAAAATAAGTGGCGAATATATATATATATATATATTTGTATACACCGTTTGAATTATTTTTTTTGGTGGGGGGTTGAGAGGGGAAGACAATATTTGTTGTTATATAACATTATTAATGAATGTAATATTGAAAAAAATATTATTAAAATAAAATATAGTAAATGACTAGTATATGCATATATGTATAATAATAATAATAATAATAATCTACCGGTAAAAGTGTAGTAAAAGATATTATAAGACACACAAAAAAAGTGTCACAAAACAGTTTGGATCAATAGATTTGCAATTTGTGGCGAAAATAATAATAATAAAACTTCACTGAGAGATACTGATCGCCAGCAAATACAATAGTGTGTTGTACTGTTTTTAGATACCAGTGCTGGGGATATGCTGTTACACATACACACCGTACCCGTCGCTTAGGCGACAAAGTACAACAAATAATTGACTAAACAATAAAAAAGTTGGTTAAACCACACAACCACCTGATGAGGGCTCACACACACACACACCATATATTGCTAACATAATTGTTCACTTTATCCCTATATTCCCTATATATATATATATATATGGTATTATAATATATATATAATAAAATATAATTTTATATGTATATAATATAAGGTATATATATATATTGTGGTTATAGAATTATATACTGTTATATATTCATTAAATATATATATATTATATACTAGACATCATTAATATTTGCTTATATATACCGTATATACGGTTTATATATATATATATTGGTTCAATATTTTTCCTATCAATTGAATGCAAACTTGTGTGTGTGTAAAACGAGTCATTAAAAATTCAATTTTCTCTTATTTTTTATTATAATATTTTTTTATAATCATTTTGGTGTACTCTTATTGTCGTTGTTGTTGATAAATATATATATTTTTAAAATAACAAATTCATAATAAAATTTTTTATTTTATATCCATTAGCAACAAAATATAAGGAAAACTAATTTATGAAAATGCTATCTATTATTAATATTAGATTTATATTTATATATATATATATATACCTCTATAGTGTTTAGATATTATTAAAGTAATCATTTTTTATTTATATATATTTTTTAAATACCCCGCACACTTTGCATTATACAATAATACTGTATATGTTTTTTTCAATAGACATTTAAATGATAAACCCTATTGTATTGTGTTTGTTATCAAATAGAAATAAAATATATGCAAATAAAATAAATATATTGAATATAATAGGAGAGAGAGTGAGACAAAAAAAATAGCTAAAACCCCTCATCAGGTGGTTTCACAAACATTTTTACCACTCAATTGTATTTTCAAATAATAATAATAATATTGAATATAAAAAACATTACCCAAAAAAAACTAAGATATTGTACAGTATTTCTGCACTTTTTTTGTATATATAAATTTTGTTTTGTTTTTTCCGCTAACTATTTGTTGTGGTTTTCTCTGTAGTGTCTCTAAGGCGACCCAATCCTCATATATATATATACTGTAATATATATATATATATCAATAGATGAATCAAATGTTGTGTTGAAATCTATTATAATACAACAATTATACATTCAATACAAATACAGTTAGTATTTGAATATATATATATATAATATAATATATTTCTTGTATTTATTGAGTCGTTTTTCTTTGCATATGTATGTATGTATATGTTTGGCTACACACACACACACACACACAAAACTAATATATTTCATTAAGTATTGATCCCAACAAAATATAAAATACCTTAAGTGATAACACCTATCCCTCCCCCCCTATCCCCGTGCGCTCTCGATCGGTATCGTCGTGTAACAGTCCCTCTAATAGTAGTACCACTAACTACTGTCCCCACCAATCAAATAGCTGTGGTGTGTCAGCTCAGTTAGCTTTTTTCTCTCTCTTTCTCTATCTGCTAACTGTTCTGCCAGTGACTATATTTCTTATATAAACTCGCGACTAACGACTTTGTCGGACAGTTTATATGATTGAATTGAATTGAAAATATATTATTTTTCAAACCAGAAAAAAACTAACAGTTTTTTTGATTTTCTTTGTTTGTTTGTGTTGCCGACACAGCCTCCCCTTCCCGAGACTACAGTTTTTCCCCGATTACCCAATTTTTCCGACCCGAACGACATGAACGACAATGACAATAATCATAAGCGCCCATTGGATGATGAATTAGATGGTGTAGTAGTGGCTGAAGTTAAAGCTGAAGAAATGGATGCAAATAATCATCAAAATAATAACAACAACAACAACATCGAAGACGGTGATCAGCCGCCGAAAATAGTAGCCGTTCACCAACCGGACGGACTGCAACCGCCGCCGATCAAGAGAGTCCGTACCAGTGAAGAGTTGGACATTAGATTTTTGGTGTCCAGTAAGGTATGTCATCTCTCTCTCTCTCTCCCCCCGTAAAGGAGTGATTGATTTTTTTATGTATCTGAAAAACTGTTGTTTAATTTTAATAAGTTTAAGTAATTGAATAAATTTTAATTAATGTATAATTTTTTTTCTCTCTCTCTATGTTGTCTATTAGGAGGCCGGTGCCATCATTGGCAAAGGAGGGGCTAATATAAACCATTTAAGAAAACACGTAAGACTTGATACCAATTATTGTTTCAGTTTGTTTCCAATACAGTAGTCATTGGCGACCATATATATTGTCTCTTATATTTTACTTTTCTCTCTTTCTTTCTCTCTCTCTCTAACTATTTCTTTATTTCTCTCTCTCTCTAATCGACTCTTAAGTCTGTATATTATCGTTAAAAAATTGAAATCAATTTTTTAAGTGTATGTCTTTTAGTGTCATATTTTTTTCCAGTACTTTCCAGTGATAGGTTATGTTAAGTAGTAGTTGATAACCAAAAGACGAAATTATTTTTATTTAAAAAAAATTAATTAATTTCTGATAATAAATGTAGAGTCGATTATATACATTATATTTAAATATAATTAAAACTATTGATTAATTAAATATTATTTTTTTTTATTATAATACCTTAAGAGCCAATTATATATAAGTTATATATAATCTATAATATATATATATATTTATAAAAAATAACAGTAAATATGACTGTAAACCGAAAAACGAGGATAACTCGAGTTTTTTGCCTCTTTTTTCTCTTTCTCCCATTGCATACATCAATACCAACACTCACTCTCTGTGGTTATTCATTACCTGTATTTGGCGGCCATCCGTTTAATCGCCGAAACATTTATAAAAAAAAATTAACCATTGAATTTGTTGCCCAAAAAATAATAAAAATCTAACTGTTCGCTATATTGAAACTACTACCGGCCCCACACACATCAAACTCACAAACATACATCTCTCCAAACCAAATGTCCAAATAATAATTTTTATTAAAAAAAATTGCCCAACATTTATTGATTTTTTAAAAAAAATCATATAAAATAAATAAAACGATTTATTTGAACCTTTTGGCCGATTATGTGCTGTTCTGATATGACCTGGACTATGACCTACCCACTGAAAAAAAATCACACACTAAAGTATAAGTCAAGCGTTACTGTGCCCGACTGTCCCGGCCCTGAACGGTATATACAATAAATATATATATAATAATCATAAATCTATAATCTTATATATATATATATCCATGAGATGCAAATGCAGTTTAGGCGACACCACTACTCAAAAGAGCAGTATATCACTGATTATTATTATCACTGATCAACCATCTCTTTTGTGCAGACAATTTGTTTGCCATATTTAAAAAAAATAAAATGACTTTTTGTCTGTATGTGTGTGTAATATATTATTTTGGTAATTACCCACAATGTTTAGGGTCCTATCCATTGTTGCCACACTTGAAACGCTCGGAGATATACTGACTGAAGTTATTGGATTTATAGATGACGTGAGTGTTATTTTTTTGTTATTAATACTGTTAACTTAATTATTATTTTTATTATTTAACAATTATTATTTTTGATAAATATATATAGCGTTCCGCTACTAACCCGGAGCATGAAGTCGAGATAAGGCTATTGATTCATACATCACATGCCGGAGGCATCATTGGTAAGGGAGGCGCCAGGATTAAGGATCTCAGAGATGTAAGTAATATATTATATTATACAACTACATGTACAGTATTTTTGTTAACATTATACACATATACAGAATATATGGTTTAAATTAATATAATTATTTTCAAAAGCAAACAAAAGCGGCAATCAAAGTGTTTTCCCAATGCTGTCCGCTATCAACTGAGCGTATTTGCGCCATTCAGGGCCCGCCAACCATTGTTATCAATGCAATCAAAATTGTTTTGGAAATAATACTGGCCTCACCAATCAAGGGACCCGTCAAACTATACGATCCACACAATTTTGACATTTATTTTGCGCCCGAATATGGCGGCTATACTGAACCCGTCCCCAATAATTTTCGCTCTCGCGGACCAAATATGCCATACGGTCGAGGAGGCGGTGGTCGTGGCCGAGGGGGTGGTGGCAGGAGAGGAGATGGTGTTCCCTGGCATCAGGATGCGCCTCCGATGCCAATGCCACCCGAGCCATGGGTTGGCCAAATGCCTTATAACAGACCAGCGGCCGATCGACGTCCTCACAATCCAATGTATTCGCGAAACTGGTCACCACGTGAGTTGTTAACTAAGTTTTTATATGTATTATAATTTTCTAATAATTGATTTTAAAATAATTCAAAAAAGCAGAGAATCCTCGACTACCTGTATCGCAACCGCTCTCACCCGTAGATCAGCCCTACTGGTCTGACGTGATTCCCAACGATAACATTACAACAGGCGCACCAATACATTCGCCAAATCTATGGTCAGACGGTTACGGCGCCGGCAATGACGAATCGAGTTTCACTTCGGGCGATCAAAATATCATTGAAAATATTGATGGCTCGGCCACCGCTACCATCAGTGTTCCCAACAATGTATTTATTATTTGTGTTTTTTTATTCATGTTGTATTAAACAAAATAATTTAATTAATCGATTGATTTATTTAATGATTCAGGTGGCCGGTGCTATCATTGGAAAGGGAGGTAACAGAATACGGATTGTTAGGCGAGATTCCGGTGCAGAAATATCGATCGATAGTGCCGTTGGCACCGGAAATGAGCGCAAGATTACTGTTAAAGGCAACGCAGATCAGGTGCGAGTGGCCTGTTCTATGATACACAAGAGGTTGGTCTTAATATATATATAAATAATTATTTAGTTATATGACTACCGTATTGTGATTACAATATAAATTATATATCATAATACCAGTACTAACTTTACCACTAATATATATATATATATATATATGGTTTACAAAGTGATGGGAAACTCTGTCTTTCTCTCTCTTTCTCTTTAACCTACCAGTGCTCGTGTCTGTCTGGAAGACTAGTGATTTTGTTGTTCTGGTTTTGAGTAAACAAGAAATCACTTAATCTTCCGATGAATTCGAGTAATATCTCACTAACAAAAAAAAATTAAAAAATTTTGTAACTTTAAAAAAAAATTAACTTTTACTAAATTATATTATTATTAGTATTGATAAAAAATTAGTGTATAATTAATTTATATAATTTTGTTTTATTTGTTTGTTTGTTTTTTTTGACAGTATCTCCGAAAACTCAACAACGCGTCGCTATTAAACACAAACACACGTGTTGTCTGTCTGTGTGTTTATATGTCTGGTATACCTAACAATTGTTTTTTTAAAAAAATTACTTTATTATCGCCTATACGACGACGACACGTCTAATATATCTATCTATATATCAATATATTATATGATATTTTAATATTTCATTGATATATCAATTTTTGGGATAAACTGAAAAAATCATTTGTTTTTTTAACTATTGATTATTTTTATATTTTCTATTTATTATTATTATTATTATTATTTAGTCAGATATTATTAATCGACAAATTTCTTACTTGAAAACTGAAATACTGTTTAAACATTTTTATTACAAATTAATATTTAATTTAATTGTCATTCCGTTATAATAAACTTTTTTTTTTAATTAAAAAAAGATAAAAGAAATCCATATTTAATAAATTTTAGTTAACATTATACTGTATAACATAATATTATTATTATTAAATGATATATTTTTTGTTAGCGATTACACGGTTTTTAAGTCAAAGCGTTAATAATGCATTTGATATTAAAGAGCTTTAAATGTTTAATTAAATTTAATAAAAAAAATATAAATACAAAATATAAATTTCTATTTAGTATTATTTTTTCAGCATAAATATTGTTTTGCTAAATATTTTTTATTTAATAATGCTATTAGTTTTGAACAAACTAATAGCTAATTACAACAACAATAAACTATAGTATATGTAATGTTTTTTTTTTGACATAATCTAATTGTTATTATGTTTATACAATTATATTTATTGATTGTAATTTATAAATAAAAATTGGCTACAAGTTTGGATATGCAATGACTAATGTATGTATTTTTTATATTTTTATTTTCAATCAATTTACCAAATAGTATCCAAAATTATCTTATTTTTTTGGTCAAATAAAATTGGTTTAAAGTTTGGAAAATATATCAAATTGAATGATTGTTTTGTTTTATTTGAATTTGAAACAATTATTTAAAAAAAAACTATTCAATAAAATGTTGTAATAAACTTCAAATAAAACTTATTAATAATCGTTAATACATATATGAATATATATATATAAAAAAATTAAAATAAATAGATTTTACACCAAAAAAAAATTACACATTTCTTATTTAATGGTATTGAAATAATTTATAATTAATATGTTGTTTGTTTAATGTTTTTTTTTAAACAAACAAAAAATATATATCAAAAAAAATTACTATATATTTAATGTAAATAATACAAGAATATTCTGTGCGTAAAAAATATATATTTTTTGTTTATTAATAATACAGTAATAATAATGAAATAAAATTAATTGCAAACCAATGGCCAACAGATGTCGACACAACTTTTGTTTTAAAGCGCCAAATGTATTGTCAAATGAATTGTTTGTTTGATTATTAAAATAAATAAATATTTAATTTAGTTTTGAAATCACATTCAAAGCCAACAAACAAACAAAAAAAACTTTTATTATTATTATTATTAGTAATCAAATCAATAGAAACATCAATTGATAGGACACACGACACGACATCATGAGCTATATTGAAGAAGATGAAGAAGAGGACGAACTGCAGCTGATCCTCGAGGGAAGGGATCACGAGTTTGTCGCCGATGACGACGACAACGACGGCGGCGACGTTGACAATGATTATCGCGAAGAAGACAACAACAGCCGCAAAGAATCTAATCGCCGCCACAAGTCTTCACAACAACACTTACACTATGATGAAGACAACTATACAAAGATCAGATCGTCGGCTAAGAAACCATCAGTTAGTGGATCAAATAAAAGACGTGAAACTAGTAATACAAGTAGTGCCGGTAAAAGTGGTCACAAGAGACAAAAACTGAGTCAAAAATACGATGATTATTCGGAAGAAGATGATGATGGCTATCGTGGTATCGATGAGGCCATCGAAGTTAAAGAAAGACAGCCAAAGAAAGTAATTGCACGACTAAGTGATGATAACGATGGCGGCGGAGACGACAACAATACCGATACGGCAAAAGTCAAGGCAAAAGTTCGGCGAATTGTGACCCAACGGAAACTGATACTCAATGAAAGCAAACTGATGTCAAAAGACGGTATCGCAAGTCTGCCCAAACTGTTTGCCGATTTTAAGTTTGACGGAAAGGGTCACGAATTGAAAGACTTGAATGCAATGATGTTTCAGTTGAACCATTGGGCGCACCGACTCTTTCCGAGCCTAACGTTTGATGACTTTATCGACCGATGCGAACAATTAGGACACAAGAAGGCGCTCAAGAATTATATTTACAGAATTCGAACCGATATGTCTGTGGATTCGATGGACATTGTCGTCAATAAGGACGACGACGACGATAATAACTTGTCTGACGCCGACAACAATGCCTTTGCCAAAGACTTTGATGCGATTATTGGCAATACGGTGGCCACAAATCCGGTGAAATACGCGAACACGACATCGTTGATGACGACATCCATTGAAAAAGTTGTCGATTCAAATATGGACGACAACATGAGTGATATCAGCGACTTTTACGATATTCCTCGACAGTTCAAAACTAATGACAATATTATGCCAACCGATGAGTTTAGTGTAGAGAAAAAATCAATTGACGACAAACTGTCGGAAATCAATGACGATAACAACAGCGATGATAATTTACAAGAAGTTAAGAATGAAAAAGTAACACAAAATAATGACACAAATAAAGACAATGGTTTGATAGTGAATGAAAAGAGTGAAATAGTGACACAAAATGATGATAACAATGAAGACAATGATTTAGTAATGAATGAAAAGATTGAAATTGAGACACAAAATGATGGTAATAATGAAGAGAACGATATAGTTATGAATAAAAATATTGAAATTGAGACACAAAATGATGATAATATTGAAGACAATGATTTAGTAATGAATAAAAAGATTGAAATTGAGACACAAAATGATGGCAAAAATGAAGAGAACGATATAGTTATGAATAAAAATATTGAAATTGAGACACAAAATGATGGCAACAATGATATAGTAGTGATGAATGATAAGCAAAAAATTTCAGATAACGATAACAATTCGGATAATGAAGATATAAGTGAAGAGGAACTGCTCAAAGAAATCAATTCAGATTCAGATGATTGAATGTTACGATTATTTTATTAATTATTTAATTTGATTGTGTAAACCATATAATTTATACTAATAACTATAATTTTTTTTATATACATATTTATATTACAAATAAACAAAAAATGTTTAATTCATTTAAATATCGTCGTCGAGGCCTTCAATGTCTTCTTCATCGCCATCGATGGCCTTCCAGAAGGCAATAGTCATATCTTCGGCAAACTTTTTTCGATCCGTTTCACTCAATTGTGAGGCTTTTACTAAAAAAAATGAAGAAAACAAAAAAATTATGTAAAATAATGATATATTTATTAAATTTACAAAACAATAGTTAATGAAACAAAAATTTGAAATACCTTTCATATCATTAAACTTTGCAAACAAATTGCTAAAACATTGCATATCGTTGTCAACTAATCCAAAATTGTCATCAATTTTCAATGGACTATCACTATCATCAGTGATAATACCAGTAACTTCTTTGTCCAATAAGTCTTTGAATTTGTCGGACGGTTTGTACTGTGGACTGGCTTTCAGCGAACTGTATGGCCAGGTGTGCGCATGAATGGCTTGTGTTATGCGAACAATACCGTCCTCTTGTTTACCGAACGGTTCTAACCGACCATCATCTGCATCGGTGTCGTTATCATCGTCATCATCATCAGTGTTTGGATTCAAATCGACTAATTCAAACTCGTTGTCCAAACACCACTTCATAAGTTTATCACTACTATTGCCTACAAATAAAATGTAATTGAATTTCACCATAAATTTTGTTGATTTGAAGAAGACTTACCACAATTGTAATCAATTGAATTGCAAACCAATAATTTGATTTCGTTGTTAAACTGATCGATAAATGATTGCCACGACTGTAGGACATCAAAACAGGTGTCATCCTATTCAGTAGTAATAGTAGAAGTAGTCAAAGATAATAATAATTAGTAATTATCATTAGATCCAAACACAACATAATGGTTAAGACAATTACATGATCAAAGTCATAGTAAACGATGACTCCTTCGACACAATCGGCAAATTTCTGATTAATCAGATGTTTGTCGACGATGTCAAACAAGTGGACATTTGCCGAGTAGTACTTGTTGTCAATGCGGACACCGTAGCCGTGGATGTCGTTTAGTTGTCGTCGTTGATCAGCTGAGGCGTCGGCGCCAAAGTTGATGGATTTGGCCACATATTGGCCATCATTATCGCCATTCAATTGTTTTAATATGTCTGTGGATATCATTATCAAACAAAATAAAGATCAGATGTAAGTTGTTGTTGTTTACTACCAATCACCAACTACCAGTTAGTTAGTGCCGCCCCCTTACCATTGATGAAGCCGTGTGTCGGTGTGATCTGCGGACAACAGTTGACAACCAACAGGCCTTGAATGTTGTTGTTGTCGTCGTCCATACCTAATGGGGATCAGCTGTTGTCGGTGTATATGTATAATGTATGTGAGGACCGGTTTTGGTGTTGTCGATGATGATGATGAACACCTGGTGTCAAAAGACTTGCACAGCACAGGTAAGTATAGAGGGAATAGATATTATATGTAAACTATAGCCAGTGATGGTTGTAATGCCTGCTATTGACTGACTGACTGTATTACTGTAGGTATGTGTGTATATGTATTGTATGAGTCATGTTATGCAACACTAATGCCAATAGCTTTTAATGTTTAATAGTGTTTATAATACACACATAAAAGCCTCTCTTAAATATAAAACATTGCAAACACATAACTATTGGAAACAACACAACATTAAAGGCATTATTATTATTATTATATGTTGTTATACTGTATTGCATTGAATTCAATGATAGGGAGAGAGAGAGAGAGAGAGAGAGAGAGAGAGAGAGAGAGATAAGCTCCGGGACTACAGTAACCAAAACTAGTTGCCAGTCCTCCTCGTCAGTGAAAAAAATACATATATATACAAAAAAGTGCCACAAATTAGTTGGTTATATGTTATTGAACTGAAAACTCCTTCACTCTATACAGTATTAGTGTTGTGTATGTATGTGTGTGTCGACTATAATATGTTAACAATCGCTGGTTTCGCTTCAATCGCTGTGTCTTTTATTTAAAAATAAAAATCATACCATTAAAGCAAAGCAACAGAAGAAAAAAAAGTAAAAAGTCTTAATAGTTGTTTGTCTGACGGATAAAGTCTGTGCACATCACAGGCCTGTGCTCTCTCTCCTCGGAGAACGACTCACTCTCTCAGTCACTCACTTACCCTCTCTCTCGACTCTCTCGCTCTTACACTCCTCTCCTCTCAAGAGAGTTTGACAGCGATATCTCTTTTTAATAACGAAAAAAAAACGATATGTCGAGGAATGTCAAGTCGATGGCAGTCTGACAGAAGTGACGGATCAGTCCAGTAGTCGTCGGGACAACAGTTGTTTGAATTTATTTATTTATTTTATTTAATGACAATCGCGACGACATTGGATTCATTGGTGAACGACGACGACAACGACTGACTCCTTGGAGACCAACTCTTGTGTTTTATTTATTTATATAATAATAATAATAATATATCGCATGTGTTGTAATCACTCGCAACCTTCTCATTGCATCAATGAATACAATATGTGAACCATTGCTGCCATTTGTTTCGTAAACTATTTTTTTATTGTTATTATTATTATTGGTGTCCATTGAGTGCTAATCTACCGGCAAAACTATGATGAAGACATTGGACCAGCGTTTCATTGACCGGTTCGACACATTTGAGGTGATCGGCAGGTATGTCATGTTTATGTGGTGGGGATATATATCATGAACTTAAACCCACACTTTTTTTTTGCTAACTAACCCATAGATATATATCTATCTATCAATTTATTTTGATTGTATATATAATTAGTTTGAATTTGAATAATAAAACCATTCAGATTTGTATCTGAAAATCATTGATACAAAACATATGCTAATATAACAGTAGTAATGAATGTCATTATTATATGTTTATAACTTATAAGTAATCAATAAGAATATTCTGTCATTTGTTTGTTGTATTGATTTTTTGTCGATTTTAATTAAACATTTAAAATACAAATTAATTTATTTTTAGTTACTAATTGTTTGTTTGTTTGTTTGTTAGTTTTGATGTTTTTATTTATTTATACATAATTAGTTAAAATTGGTAGTTTATTTAATCTATTAGTATAATAAAACTTTGTTGTTGTTGTTGCAATTGTAAATATAATAATTAACAATTGAAACATTTGTGTACTAAATTAAATTACTTTATTGTTTGGTACAGGTATATAACTTATATAAATTTATATATATATATATACATTGTACAGTATATACATTGTATAAAGTAATCCAATTTATAGTCCATTAATACTAAATTTATTTATAGATACAATACAATAACACACTGGGATATAATATTTATTTTTTTCAATGAATGATTGTTTCGGTAGTTATTTTTTTCGGTTAAAATTTTGCAATTCATTGCATTATATAACTTATATTGTATATAAATTGTTTGTTTATTTATTTATGTTGTATTAATATTGTATATTAATAATAATAATACATAATAAAAAATAATAATTGAAAAAAATTATGAAAAGTCATAATTTAACAGTCGATGTGTCAAAAAAATAAGGAAATATGCTGTTATTATGAATGCAATTAAATTATAATAGATTGTATTGTAGTTTTCACCGTTGGATATCTTAATATGATCTCCAAGTTTTTCTGGGTAAACAATACAAACAAATATACAGTAAATATATATATATATAAACTTATTATATTATACTATATAGTATATGAAATTTATATTATATGAATCTGACCTCTTATTAATTCATATATGGCTCTCTCTCTCTCTCTCTCTCTCTCTCTCTCTATCAACTAATTATCTATTATATCTCTTCCACGTATTGTTGTTATTAAATAAAGAAATAATTTTTTTTTTTAAAACGACTGCTAACCGAGCAATGTATTTCAAAAAAAAAATTATTGTATAACCGTATTTGACGTGATTTTTTAAAAAGGGGGTATCAAATCATGAAAAACTTGGGGCCAATGGATAGCATGTAATTGTATATAAATATATATACTGTATATAAAGTTTATATAAAAATATTTAGTCATTCAATAATATTATTATTGTCCCAATTTTGGATTTTATAATTTTTTTTCTTAAAACAACACACACACACACACACACACACACACACACACACACACACACACACACTCATACATACATACAAAATATTAATCAATGGAAACAAGCATTTCGTGAATTATTTGATCATTTTGTTGTTGTTTTTATGAAACGCTTTGTATATATATATATATATATATATATATATATATATATATATATATACCGTACACACAATATATATGTGCAAAGTTTTGAAAACCATATATAAAATAATAATAACAATAAAAAAGTATTATATAATAATCAAAACATTCAATGCCTTTTCGTGTAAATATATCATCAAATCAAACAAATTTTAAGGTTTTTAGTTCTCACACCACATACACACACAAACACACTATATATCTAAACAATTCACATAATTATTGTTTTATATATTTTTATAATAATTTTGGTCCTATTTTTTAAATGAAACAAAAAAATGAAAAATTATTATCCAAAAAAAATAAATAAATAATAATTGTATAATAATTTTAAAATAACAAAAGCCCGTGACTGTAAAAAACTTATTATTTTTTATATTATTTAGTTATTTATTTGTTTTTTTTATATTAATAATATTTTAGATATTTGTTTTAGATAACTCTGGCAATATAGAATTGTGAAATAATTTTTTATGGTTATTTATTATTATTATTATTATTATTATAATTATTATTATTATATAGTTGATATTGACATTTGAAATATTGAGTGATTATATATATATATATATTTTGTTTTCATTTCATTTCATTTGAAGATTTATATCAAAACACAGTATATTACAGTACAGTAGGAATCGGTTGGTTTAAAATACATAAATCTTAAATTACATGTGACATTGAAATATGATTTTTTACATGTTTTTGAAATGTTTTCAAAAAAAATTGATGTATTTGGGAGAAATAAAAAATATTATATTTGAAATAAAATATTTATGAAAAAAAATATTTAAAAAATAAATAAAAATAATAAGTAAAATAAATATATGATTTAAAGTTTTAATAAGTACAGTAAGTACAATATGTATATACTGTACCAATATATGAAAAAAAATTATTGTATATTCAGTTCATTAAATTTCACGGAATGTATTTGAAAAAAAAATTATGTTTAATTTATTTTTTTATCAAATCAAATAAATAAATAATTAATAAATAATAATTAGTTAGAAAAAAACGATGGGAGAAAAATATGATTAATTTATTGATTGTTTAATAAGTTTTGGTAATTATAAAGTAATAATAATAATAATAATAATAAATGATAAAACAATATTAGACACGAAAACATTTTTTGAACGACAGGTGATAATTGATAGGGAAGTGATTTGTGTGAAACAAATTGAATGAGACATCAAAATATGAAATTTTTGTTTTTTTTTCAATAAGTCTTTTTATAAAAACATTTTTTTCAAAAGTTGAGATAAACAATTCATTTTAATTAAACATATACTGTATATAAATTTATATATATATATATGTGTGTCTTAAATATCAAATGAGTTAGCAAAAAAAAAATTCAATTCAAATCTACTGAACTATTATATGTTTTTTAAAGACAAAACTACTTTTACTGTATATAATACTCATTGTTGTTGTAATATATTTAATTAGCTTTTAATGTTTACGGGAAATGGATGGCTAAATGATATGATACTGTATGATAAATATTATATATATATATACAAAAAAATTAATTTGCCATTAGATTACATAAATCTATGTGTGAGAGAGAAAGAGAGATTATAATTCAATTTATTTAATTATATATATTTAATATAAATTATATTAATAATAATATACAGTATATATACTGTATTTATACAGTGTTGGCATTATAAAACTGTAGTACTATTTAATATATGATAATATAAGTAAATTACAATAGTTTAAAAGAAAATAATTTCATTTTATTATATATTAAAATACTATTTATTTTATTTTATTTTAATTTATTTTTTTTTGGTTGGTATAAACTTCCTTCGAAATTTACATTTTTGTTTAATTTAATAATTTATGACAATTTTATTTAAAATTTATTTTTAAAAAAAAATAAAACAAAAACCACTGTATTTTTCTAAACGCATATTATATGAAAATTATTGTTACTTTTTTTCTCCAAATTATAGCATTGAAGTAAAATATATTATTTTATTATATATATATTTTTTTTGAAAAATTCAAGCACAAAATAGACAGAGATTTATATGAGTTGTCAATTTGAATAAAATATTGTTTTTTGTTTTTTTTCTTGAAAAAATTATTTAACAAAGATTAAAATAATAGAATATTTTAAACAAAATTTTAAAAACAATTTATTATATTATTTCTAATTTTATTAATATCATTGATGAATATTTAGCGCTGCCTTTAGGGCATTGAAGTTGTTTTTTTTATAGATTATGAAAGAGACATAAAACTCATTATTATTATTGTTATTATGATTATAATAATTGTTAAGATTGTTATAAATTGTTTTATTGTTGTTTGCATTTTTTGGTTACTTAAAAATTAAGACATATTTAGTATGTAAATACTGTTTTAGAATTTATTTAAAATAAAAAAAATCATTTAACAAAAATTTAAATATATTTTATTATAGAATTATTATTATTTTTTCTCTTTTGTGATTAATTTCTATTCATCAAATGTCGTGTAATTATAATAACCTATTGTTTGCTAAAAAAATTAGTTTTGTTTTATTGCTTAATATTATTATTATTATTATAAATGTTGTCTTTTTGTTTTATTTTATTTTACTATTATTATTATTATTATTTGTCTTATTATTGTTATGATTAATATTACTATTTAAATAAAATTAAGAGAAAACACACATTTCATTTGTATTCAAAAATGTTTTATAATCTTAATTTATTTTAATCACATTTATATATATTTTTTTTAATTGGAGAGTTAATCTTTTTATTATTATTATTATTTTGTTAGGAAAGTGATGTGAAATTTTTAAAATAAGAGAAAACCATTTAATAAAAATTAAAAACTTAAATGTAATTATATTACTAAAAATACATTTTACAACAACATTAAAAACAAATAAACAAACTAAACAATCATGTGTTACAAACGGATTTTTTTAAAAATTAAAAATAAAATAAATTAATTTTTTTTTATATTATGTCAAATATAAAAAACAATTTTTGAAACAATTTTTTTTTGCATTGGATAACCTATTTTTTATATTATTTCATGTGTTTTACTTATTAAAAAAAAGTGATTTACAATTATTTATTATTTAATTTTTTTTTGTTACAAATTTAATTTTATGAATATTTTTTTTTTGTTTTTAGCGGTAAGTTTGCAACAGTCCGTCGGTGTGTGGAAAGGGAGACAAACAATGAATTTGCGGCTAAATTCATACGCAAACGGAGTTCAACCGGAAGAATGGGTCAGACGGTGGACGATATTAACCGAGAGATTGATTTATTGCGACAAATAAACCACAAAAATATCATCAAACTGTACGATGTGTTTGATTGTGGCAATGAAGTGATCATTGTCTTAGAGTTGTTAGTATTTGTTTTTGTTAAAACAAAAAATAAATAAATAATAATTAATTTTTAAAACTAATTTTTTAAAATTTTATTTTTCAAAGAGTCAAAGGCGGAGAACTGTTTGACTTAATCAGTGAAAAGGGTGTCTTAGCTGAAGACGAGGCCATCCATTATATCCGACAGATATTGATGGCTATCAAGCATTTGCACGACAAGAGTATTGTTCACTTGGATCTGAAACCGGAGAATATTCTGCTGAGAGATAAAACTACTAAACAAATCAAATTAATTGATTTCGGAATTTCCCGAAAAATTATAAATGATTGCGAAGTTAAAGGATTGTACGGAACGCCAGAGTTTGTCGGTAATTGAAATACTAATACAACAGTATATATATATATATATATATATATATACATAAAATATAAACAGTATTTGTGGGATAAATAAAATGTGTTTTAATATATTTATTATTAAATAAATATTTAATTAATATATATTTTTAGAAAAATTCTATAGTATTTAGGTTATATATATACAGTATATATATATATAATATAAATTTACTATTAAAAAGTGTACATTATATTTAGATTGGATATAAAGTTATATCTTAATAGTAATTTAATAATAATAATTTGGTCTTAATATGAAATATCATATTTTAATATTTTTTTTGGATCTTAAAATAAAATATCATATTTAATAATTTTGATAGCAAAAATTAATGAGATATAATACAATAAAAATAAAAATAAATTCACCAGTAATTAAATTTAATAGTTAATTATTAATTATTTTTTTTGTTTGTTTTGTTATTGTTGTTATATTGTAAAATATAATGTATATGCATGATTAATTAATTATAAACTGATTATTATTATTTTTTTTGTTATTATGTTTAAAGATATAATTATTTAAATTTACAAATTTTATCCAATTTTAATCTATAATTTTTTTTCATTGATGTGATGTTAATAAATGAATATTAGGTTTTTATTTTAAAAACATATTGTTATTTTACAAATACTGTTTAATTTTTTATATGTATATAATATTTTTTTTAAAGAAGTGTTTATAATTTATGCAAAAAATACACTTAAAATCGTGTGATAAAAGTGAGAGAAAACTTCAATGTGTTGAAAACAATTTTGAAATTTATTATTATTATTATTATTATTGTATTTTTAAAAATTTATATAATTTAAATATAAATATATACTATATATATATTTATAATGACCTTTAAAAATAATTAATGATTATGTATTATTTTATTATCTCACATATTTATAATCAAATATTTTTCGTTTTGTTTAAAACTTACAAATTTAGGACGGAATTTATTAATATATATATATATATATAATAAATATTTTTCTAAATTATTAAACTAACATAAATATAAATAAAACGCTATTATATCATATATATATATTAGTTTAATAATTTGGTAAAATATTTATCATAAATAATAATATATTTACTAAATATAGAGTACAATGATATATATAAAAAAAATAATTTGAATTTATAATTATAAAATTACAATACAAATATAATTTAATTAATGTATTCCTATATTTTTTTCACACATTTATATTTGTTGACAGCACCAGAAATAATTAATTATGAATCGGTAAACACTGGGACAGACATGTGGGCAATCGGGTGTATCTCATATATATTGTAAGTGATTCAGTAGTATATAGATATACCGTATATGTAATGTTATGAATAATTTATTAAATTATTAGACATAAAACTAATATAATTTTTTTTTAAAATAAGTAATAATATATTTTATATAAAAAATTAAATGTCTATTTATTTAAATTGATTGATTGCACCGGTAGGTTGAGCGGCGCCTCACCATTTCTGGGCGACACCAAACAGGAGACATTTGTCAACATTACGGCCGTCGACTATCAATTTGATGACCAATACTTTGCCGATATTAGCCAATTAGCCAAAGATTTTATATCGGGATTATTAATCAAAAATTCAAAGTATATTCATAACACAAAAAAATTATTAAAAAAAACTATTTAAATGCATAATTTATTTCATACAAGTTTTATATTTACGATATAATAATAATATAATTTTATTATTATAGATAATAATTAAAAATAATTGTTTTTTTAATTATTAATCTATTTCTATTTATAATAATTAATTTTTTAAAATTAATTATATTTTTGTATCTTTGTTGTTGTTGTCTATTACAGAAAAAGACTATCAGTTGATGATTGTCTAAATCATAAATGGATCCAATTATCATCAATGGGTTACCAACAAAATCATAGTATTGACATTGATATTGATAAATTTATTACATGTAATAATAATATTAACAATCATCATAATCATTGCCATAATGTTACAAATAATGAATTTATTAATACAATTGCTAGAAATCATTGGAAGGTATTATTGCTATTAATGTTATTTATAAATAAATTATAAAATTTTATAATTGTTATTAAAATTATTAATATTATTATTAATTAATTATTTTAGAGAGCCATCGGTTCTGTTATCATATGTTATCGATTAGTAAAAAAATTCAAAGAAAATCTAAGTCAACATAAACTCAGTTCAACTACTATTGAATCGCCTGAACATCGATACAGCGATATATTTGAGGTTTACTTTTATTTTTCATATTATTATAATTTATAATAAAAAAATAAATTTATTATATATATATATATATATATTGTAAATAGCATTTAATTTGTCTTATTTTAAAATTATTTTTTAAAAAGTTTTATATATTTATAAATAACCATAAATATATTACAAAAAAATTATTTTGGGAATAATATAAATTATATTTGATTGATGTAAAATTATATTATTTTTTATTGCGATTAAATTGCTATTAATATAATATATTATATACAGACAAATAGAAAAATTATTTATGCTATTTTAAAAAAAGCGTATCATTTATATATGTTTTCAAGATATTAATAATATCGCTTAATAATCAAAACATACATATATAATAATAATAATAATACAATGAATAATATATATATATATATTTGTATATTATTACATACATACAAATAAATATACATAACTTTATAATTAATGGATTGTTACAATTATATGCATTTATTTTGTTTGTTTGTTTTTTGAAACCTTGCTATCAAAAGATAAAACAAAAATTTTATCGCAGACCTGATTATTATAAATATTAATAATAATAATAATAATAACAAAAATATTATTTAAATTAATATTAATAGCTGTGCTCTCATTTCTCTCTCTCTCTCTCCTGGAGAACCGGTTTCCGGTTATATATTATATATATATATTATATATACCTATTGGTGCTAAAGACATGATTTTATTTATTTATTTATTTTTCTGATTCACTTTCTATTGAATTTTAATAATACACTTACATTTTGAATACCAAAAAAAAGAGGAATGAATTTTTTTTCATATATATATAGATTAATAATACAGTGTAACATATGGGGTATTGAAGCAATCAGTGTTATATAAAATATTATACAGTGATAAATAAAAAAAACTATATTTGATATCTATTAGCATATATTCAGTCAAATAGATATTTAATTGCACAGGAAATTAATAACTGTGATAAATATGTATTTATTATTTTTATTACGTCTATTACTACTACTACCTAACTATAAATATTTTTGTTATATTATTTCAAATTATATGAATAAAAATAGACATTCTTTGTCTGGTATTATTAATTATTATTATTATTTTTTTTGATTAATACATATTTGAAACTTAAATATCATATTGAATGCTACATTTTTTTGTGGTGACATAAAAAAAAGGTTTACAAATTTAATTAATAATAATCACAATAGAGAACAAATAAAATATTGCACTTTTACTATTTATAGAAATGTAATATTATAATATTAATGGTACAATAGTAATGTTTTATATGACAATGATAAAAAAATATTATGAAATACTGTTTAAATAATATAATTTATTAATAGTTAAATTATATTGAGAGAGAAAACATATATGAATCAATAATTTTTTTTAACGACTACATAATGATTTATTAACTAATAATTATTATGTTTATTAATACATACATAACATACTGTAGATGACAATGCTTAACATATTTAGCATAATTAGCATAAAAATTTACTGTATATACATATATACAGTTTATATATACGGTATATAAAATTATGATATACAAAAAAAATTGTTTAGTTATATAAACATTAACTTTTATTGATTAGTATTATATGAGAGAATAATATAAATGATGATTTATCGACAAAATTTATTATATTAATGTTTTATATATATTTCTAAAATAAATTTTTTATATTTAAAATTGCAATTGCTTTATAATTTTTTTTTTGAGTTTTATTTTGATGAAAAACAAATATATAAATAATGAAACTAATAATTTCATTATGTTATTAAATTACAACAATAATAATAATTAATAAATATAATTATTTTTATTTTTGAAAAAAACCATATGAACCGCTAAAGTGGTGGATGCTATGCCAACAACACATTATTATTAGTTTTTTCATATCAAAACAAAAAAATTAATATCCCTTTTAAATATAAATGTTATGCCGGTGCTGATGATTGGGCGCCTGTATGTACAGTATAATAGTATATACTGTAATATACTGTATATACAGTATTAATATATATATATATATATCTAATATAATTAACTTGATCACTGGCCTGAATCTTGTATAATATCTTATGGGCTTTAATATTGAGGTCAGGTTTTCCAGCAAAAATTGTGTATTGTTTTTCTGCAGGGAAAGGTACTCTCTCTCTCTCTCTCTCTCTCTCTCTCTCTCTCTCTCTCTCTCTCTCTCTCTCTCTCTCTCTCTCTCGTCAGTCAATAGTTGTCAGGCATTCATATAATATAATATTAATTTCATATCATATATATATATACTGTATATATTGTACAGTACTCTAATAAAAGTACTGATTCTTGAAACAACTTTACCATTAGTTTTCTATACTATAGTATTAATATACAGTATATTGTAATTTGTGTTTCAAAGCGAAAACATATATATATTGAAAAACCAGTCTTTTTTTCTGCTGTTGGCTGAAATGCCTTCAGCACTGAACCTGTTGTTGTTGTTGTTCACCACTTCTTTTGATGTCCTCGTTGTTGTGGCTCTTGTTTTATATATTAATATATATGATATGTATGTGCGATGTGAATGACGTCGTCCTGAAGGCAGGAATGGCTGCAATCACACACCACTACTACCCGTTCACTTGTCTCTGATATGAATGAATACAACAACAACAATACAACACAACTATTATCACCAATTGTTTTCATAGAAGTTGTTATCATTTTATTTGGTTATTATTATTGTTGTGATAAAAAATTTTATAACAGAGAAAGAAAATCAATCATAATTTCGATGAATTTTTTTTTTTAGTATTATTATTAATATGATTGTTGTTTTTATATAATAATTTCGTGAATTACTCTTACGGTAACACACTTTGCATGTGTTTAATGAGAAATTTGAATTGATATTAATTTATATATAGAGAGAAATTGATGTTTTAGAAAAATTATTTGCTAATAAAATATCACGTTTTGCTTATATATTATACGATATATAACGTGAGTCTCTCTTTCTCTCTCTCTCTCTCATCAAAAATTTAAAAAAAACTTTGTGATTGTGTTCAATAATATATATATATATATATACAGTATATAAATATGTTATATAAGCCTATTATCAGTTAATCATAGTTAATACTATTTTGCCGTAATAATAATTATTATGATTATTATTATTATAAGCTTATTATATGTTATATCATAAATGTTTTTTTATGATAATACCAGCAAAAGTTTTTTAAAAATTTATTATTGTGTGTCAAAACATTGTACCAAAAATAAACTTATAATAATAAGTTGTTATGTTTGATGTCTTAACAAAATGCTTACATAATTTGTAATAATAATAATAATAATATTATGATAAAACACTAATGAAGTGATCGATTGATCCACAAAAATAAAATCAAACAACAAAATGGAAGAAAATGAAAGACTTGCCAAAAGTTTTAGGTCTGAGCCAAACATCATTAGTCCGGCTAATAGTGTCAAAGATTATGATGAAGAAGAAGACGAAGAAGAAAACAATGAGTCGTCGACAGTCTATTATGACGACCAACAGGACGACGAAGAAGATGACCAAAACTTTGTGGTCGTCTCTACTTTGGTAAGCATTTTGTCTGTTTGTTTGGTTTTTTAAAAATTTGTTGTTAAAAGATGTATTAATAAATAAGAGATACTGGTATATCAAATGTGTCATTGATATCATTGAATTTTTAAAAAAAATTTTTGTCATTCAATTGATTTTCTCAAATGTGACCTAATTTTTTAATAAAAAAAACTTTTTGTTTGTTGATTAGTTTTATTACTCTTTTTTTGTGGCTAATTGAAGGCATTTTCCTTGGATTTATAAGTTTTGCCATAATTTTATCGAAGAAAAAACTAAGATATTATTATTATATATATGTTAGTTGTTGTTGTTTTAGTATATAATTACTATAGTATTATATACTAACTTTTTTGTCGGTTTTTATAACTATTTATATTACTGTATATGTAATCATAATAATAAGTATATTAATAATAAATATTATAACTTTATTTTTGTGTTCAAAAAAGTGGTTTTTGTGGCATAAAGTTATGCACAAATTGCTGTCAATTCCTGTTTCAAGAGTTTAATGAGAGAGAGAGAGAGAGAGAGAGAGAGAGAGAGAGAGAAATATGAAAAAATAGATAAACAAAAATACAAATTGTTTTTTACAATAGACTTTTTTGACGCGAAAAATATATTAAATGCTTATTAATTTTGGACACAAAAATGTCAGAACAATGAACTTTTTTAAACAAAATAAAAAATAAATAATAATAACTGAAATCACACACAAAACTACTGTAAATTTATATACCAGTAATTGAAGCGATTATTTTTTTCGCTATATTCTACTGTATATTATTATTATTATAATAGAAAATAATTTGCAAATATACCGTACTTTACATAAATGTTTTTTTACATAATAAACATTTTTTTGGAAATTATAATAATAATAAAATTGTTTGTCAACCCTAAACCGGAATCTGTGACATTACCGTACATTTAATAATAATATTGTAATAACAATTTACAGTTAAGTGATATATTCAAGTGAATTGTTTACAAGAAAATTTACCGTAAATTTTGATAATATATTTGTTGTCTATTTTTTTTAAAAAATAAAATTACTTTTTTGTGTATAATTTGTCAGATGACTGATGTGTATGCTTCTGACACATGGAAGTGATTACAATATAAACTTATCACTTGTATTATCACTTATTTTTTTTACTGTGTCTGTCCATTAATGAGGCCTTTTACTCATGTTTTTTAAAAAATCAGTTCCTTATCTGTGTATATATATATACTGTATATATCCTCTCTTTTAACTTCCAGGTACTCTCAATTGGATACCTCCTATTTATCTACTCTATCTAATAGATACTATCTATTATTAAACAATTTTTTGTTGTTGTTGTCGTTGTTGAAAACATAACATTATAGAGCAATTAGTTTTTATTTGTTTTGTTTTATTTTCCGACAATTTTTTTCCCTACGACATGAGATTATGATTATGTAATGTGTTTGTTGAGTACAGTGTGTGTGTGTATGTGATAATGAAATTTAATATCACATACACTTGAAATTTACTGGTAATTGAAATTTAACACATATTTATATATTTATTTTTTTTATGAACTAATGAATTATTTGACACATTGTGTAGATATTGGTATCTCAGATACCACGGTATACTACGGTATAAATTACATATAATTATCTATAGTGTTATAATATAAAATCATACAGTATTTATAATATGTAAAAAATTTCAAATAAAAAAAACTTGAAACCTAAATTCTCACACATAAATTATTTTCAGTATATATTTTTAAAATATTTTTTTATGAGTATATTAAATGTCTATAAAAAATATAACCATAATAAATAAATAAATAAAATAAAAAATTAGTGTAGTCATAAATTATATATAAATATACAACTAATATGCTAAAAATATGTATATTACCATAAACTATAAATAATAAAAATAACATTTCAACATTTTACATTGTAAATAAGAAAAAGTAATAATAATAATAATTATTATTATTTTCTTAATAGAAATTTATGCAATAACTTGTCTAATATATTTTTTAAAAATTTTAATTAAATTTACAAATAAAAAGTGTTTAAAAACAGGTAACTTAAGGTCAATTTGCATGGATAGGGGGGGGAACTCCTAAACAAGACTATAACCTTATAATTAAATAAATAGAAATTTCGTTTTTTTTCTCAAAAAATATTCTCATTGTTTTATTCACAAAAAAAAACAAATAAAAACATTTCGAAACTATTTATTTTTCGGTAGTTTAAACAAAATGACAATTCATTATTGCAATCAACAAAAAAATGATATCATCACAAGTATTATGTAATATTAAAACAAAAATATTTTCTATACAAAACTGATCTCATAGTTGGGCGTATTTTTTTGTGTATATACAGTATAATGTATTATAATAATCACTGTCCCTAATATATGTGTTGACAATTTGATTATTGTTGTGTTTTTATTATTATTATTATGTTTTGCTGTGTAATTAATACGATAGATATTTATTGTTAGATATGACATAATATATATATTTAATTTATAAAATAAATTTCATTTTATTACCCAATCTTTTTTTTTATTGTTATTTATTATTTTTTTATTGCCTGAATATTATTTTTCATGTGTCAAAATAATAAAATTTGTTATACAAATTTAGTTTATCATTTAGATTTTTTTTTATAATGTATTAATACACTATGCCTTAAATAAACTTTTTAAAAAATATGATTATATTATAATACAACAACAACAACAACAAAAAACTAATAAAAAAGACTTATTAATACATTGATCTCAAAAAATGTTATACTAGTTATTATACAGATAAAAATAGTGCAATTTATCAAAATGTTTACTATTTTAAGTATTAATAAAATTATATATAAATATATTTTTAAATATTATTATTATTTGCAATACCATATACTGTATATTAAGTAATTTATTTTTTGACACACAGTAATGTTTAATCATAATGTTTTATAAAAGTTAGTTTCATTTTGAAATTATTACAATATTTAAACAGATTTTTTTTTTTTATAAATAGGATGTTATAAAAGCTTATTTAGTTTTTGTTTAGTTTGTTGTAGTAGTAGTAATAGTTTTGAATAAGTTTTGAATAGTTTGAAAATAATGAATAGACCTAAATATCACTACTAAATAGGATATATATTAAGTTTATATTATAAAGTTAGTCGTTATTATACAGTATATAGTTTAAGCATATTTATGGAGGAGTAGATCATTAATATAAGTTTAACATTATTCACGTTTTTATTTTGATATTATCATAATAATTGTTTTCAGTTATAATTGTTTATTCTTATTTAATTGAATTTTATTATTATTTGAAAACTTATAATTGATTTAAACAATTTAAATAAAAGCATTAATTAAAAAATATAATATGTATGACATGTATATAGTGTATGATATGTGTAAATGTATGTTTTTATAAAAAATTGAATTCATATATTAATAATAACGATCTATGCTATGATAATGAAAAAAAATTATTCAATGAAAATATTAAATTACTAAAACATTATATACTATGAACTTTAAATACACAAAAAAATAACACAAAACTTATGAATATATATAATATAATATTTTTGGGAATTTTTCATAAATGATTAATGCAAACAAACAAACAAAAAAAATGATTTTTCAAGTTATTTGGAAATTATTAGAAATTAAATTAACAAAAACACATTTACAACAAAAATAAAGTGAAATAAGCATTTTTAAAAAATATATATAATTACATATTGTAATTGTTTGACAATAATAATAATAATAACTATCAAAAAAAATGTTTCATAGTTTATTGTCGCTAACAATTATAATGATAATAATTTGCATATCAATGGTTTACTGTAAGCCTATAATCATTACTGAATTACCGGAGGAAAACAAGTCGCCGATAATTGTTGGAAATTCATTGGAAACACCACTAAATGTTGAATCAGATGAATCACCAGTTAATGATTCACATGAAGTAATGATTATCAACAGAAATAAGAGGACAATCAGTTTGCAGACAATGACTCAACTGTGGAGAGCCAAAGGCGAGCTAAAGATAGCGCTTCTCAAGTTCTGGATATTTAAGATACGGATTATGATCCGATTGATTGCCGGTATGTTTGGTATCAGACCTCGTCGACAGAGACCTAATAATAATTATCAACAACAACAACAACAACAACAACAGTACAATCCCAATGATGGCACACAATATATGATACCCAACTTGAATATCGGTCCCAATGTTAACCAAAACCAAAATCAATACCAGAATCCAATGAATGGCAATAATAATAATAATAATCCAAATGTTAACCAAAAGCAATATCCAGAATATCCATTGAATGGCAATACTAACAATAATAATGATAATAATGATAATAATAATCCAATGAATCAATTGTTTGCCAATTCAATGAGTAATGCCAATCAATATAATTATCTGAATCGCTATAATAGTCAACAACAACAAGATTTTGGTGGTAATGACCAAGATTATGAATTTGTCAATTATGACTTCCGATTAGTTCCCGAAGATTTTGCCACTCGAGACTTGGAGATGATAGGCGATTGGTTTTATAGATTATGGCATAAATTTTTAGGTTTCTTTAAGTTTTGGTGATCTATTTGGTTGTTATAATTGTTATTACTATTACTGCTGAAATTATTATTATCATGTTTTTACATTATTATCATAACTTTTTTTAAAGTAATATTTTTTTTAAAAAAATAGAGATATCAATCAAATATACATTTATTTATTATATAATTTATAGTAATATTTATGGTTTACTTAATATTTTATTAGAGTACATATATTGTATATTTTAAATACTCATTGTATTGAATATTTTTGCATTATTTTATTTTGTATATTTTATGAGAGAATTTTTTTTTAATATATCACATATTTTTACAATAATTTATTTATTTAATAATAAGCAATAAATATAGTTTTTAATATTAAATATATATGTTTATCTATAAAATTAAAAACTAATAATAATAATTAAATCAATAAATTACAGAACGACGAAAACTTTGTGTCGGCCGCTCTGTTCGGTGCCGTAGAGGACGGAAATCTTAATGCCATCCATGAGCTGTTCCTCATGTCTAATGTCGATCCCAATCAATGCAATCGGGTTTGTCATCTCTCTCTCTCTCTCTCTCTCTCTCTCTCTCTCTCTCTCTCTCTTAAATATATTTTTCAAATCAAAAAAAAATATATATATAATAATTTCACCAAAAAAAAATAATTTTATAATTAAAACTAATTATCTATCAACTCATATAGCATGGAGAGTCACTATTACACTACTGTTCCGGTTTAGGATATCTGGATATTTTGAAGTTTTTACATCAAAAAGGTGCCGATATTAATGTCACAGATGATGTAAGTGTTGTAATCTTAATATGTATTAATCAATTTATTTATAATTAAAACCATATAATTATAACCCTGTAATTGGTTAATAATTAATTTTCAATAGAGAGGCGATTCAATAGTACATTGGTGTGCCCGACAAAATCATCCGTCAATTATCCGTTACTTTTACGATACCATAGCCAATATCAACCAATTTAACAAAGTTTGTAAATTATTATATAATTTTTTTGTTGTTGGTTAATGATAAATTAGTTTATACAAATGTCATAATTTACTGTATGATAATAATAATAATAATAATGTAAATTTTTTATGATGCTCTAGAATTTGGAGACACCGTTACATGTGGCCGCCCGGTACGGACACGTGGAGGCTATTGAACAACTTTGCAAATGTGGGGCCAATGTTAACGCAATTGATGAGGTAAAATAGGATTTATATAAATATATTGTATATATTGTTTTGTATATATATAATTAAAACAACAATAAAGTGATTAATCATATACACCAATGATTTATTTATTTTTTTAATATTCCCATTGACAGCACGGGGAGACAGCTATGTTGATAGCCGTATGGCATGGTTTCCCAAAAATAGTACATATATTAGGAGAAGTGGGCGCTCAGACTGATATCAAAAATAAGGTAATACTTCCCAGTTATGATAATTTTAATTGTTTATATACATTATACTAAATAATGTTGTTTTTTAGTCATATTTAAATTTTTATGAGTTATATGTTATTATAATTACTAATGTATTGGTGTCTGATTTTTTTGATGTGATTTTCTTTAATAACTTTATGTTTGTTTCGGTGGGTTATATAGGAGGGCGAGACAGCATTGCACGTGGCGTCAGCCAGAGGTCATATCGAGTGTGTCCGCTGTCTACTGGAAGCCGGTGCCCGAACTGACGTCCGAAATAAGGTTTTTTTAAATAAAAAAATTAATTAAATTTTAATTCATAAAATTAAAAAATTATTTTCCATATAAAACATTATTATTATCATTATATTCAACAAACATATACAGTATACTACAGTAGTAGTTATTGTTGGTATAAGAAAAACAAAACAAAAATAATAATTATCATTATTATATAAAATTGTAGATCACATTGAAATTCTGGGTCAAAAAAGTTATTATTATTATTAGTAGTATTATTACATTTTAGGCAAATTTTTTTCAAAAAAAGACATTTTTAGTTATTTAGTTCAATGTCTATGTATTGTATTATATGGTTATTATTTATTTTTATCAGTTATCTAAACACTTAAATATCATAATAAATTAGAAATAATTACTGGTATATTATTATACTACTAAACAGGTAGTAATGATGATAATAATGATGTACCGGTGTGTCAAACCATAAAACAAAACACACACAAAAAACTAAATAAAATAAAAAACAAACCAATTTTGTCATTTAAACAAATAAATATATAAATTAAGGGTAAAACAAACTATAGAAACTAAAACAACACAAAAAAATAGTTTTTTCCAACAAAAAAAAACTATTAAACAAAGTTTACAATTAACTAAAAAAAAAAAAAAATAAAAAATAAATATATAATAAAAACCCAACTTTTTTTTTGAATGTCCAGAACTCGTACACACCGTTACATTTGTCGCTGAAGAGACAGCACGTCGGTGTCGCCCAACTGATACTGCGGGCCGGAGCCGATATCGAGGCCGTCGACGATCGGGGCGAACGGCCAATACATTACGCTTCCCGATCTAATTTGCTACAGATATGCCAACACCTGTGCTCACTGGGCTGTAATGTTAATGCGTCCAACAAAAGCGGTTTATATCCCTTACATTTAGGTAATGATTTATTTTTTTAATATATATTTTTTTTATGACAAATTATTTTTTATGGCCCTATAATTATCATCAATTGTCTTGAAATTATTATTCTTTGTTGTTGTGACATAAATTTTTTAATGTCGGTTTTGTTTTTTCAAAAAAAATTATTTTTTATTATTATTATTGTCAATATTAGCGGCAAAGAACGGTCACATAGAGATTGTCCGCTGTCTTTGTCTGGCCGGCAGTATTGTCGACCAGAAGAATCGTGACGCCATTATACCGCAAATCTGTGCAATAGCTCAGAACCATAACGAAATTGCCGACCTATTGACCCGTTTAAGAAATGAACAGACAAAAGAAGAATATATATTACAGTTGTCTTCATCCAGCGGTGGTAGCGGTAGTGGTAGTAATAACAATAATAATAGTAGTAGTATTAGTCAACCCATACAACGATTCAAATTGAAGATTATGGGTCACTCGGGTTCAGGAAAGACAACACTAATCGAGTCACTAAAGTGCGGTTACTTTAGCAGTTGGTTTAGGCGGTCAACTAAATCGATGAATCAGTCACCGCAGCCATCGAAAATGATACCAGAATTTCCATCAAACGGTTGGTCATCAACAACAACTACAACAACTGATCCATCATCGACGCCAACAACACCTACAACACCGATATCAACAATAACAGCTCAATTTGAAGCAAATTTGATGACAAATCATCGCGAGAACTGTACTTTGGGTATCGATTGCCAACAGGTAACCATTTCGGGTGTCGGCGATATGAGTATCTGGGAGTTTAGCGGAAACGAGTCATACTATCAAATCTATGACCACTTTGTCGGCAGCAATAACTGTTTGCATGCCATCGTCTTTCGGCTCTGTGATAGACTTGAAGTCCAAATACATAGCATAATGTTTTGGCTGTATTTTCTGCAAAGTCGGACACCGGTAACCGAACCGTTAACCTATTGCGGAAAGAGTAGCAAACCATCAAAAGTAATCATTATTGCCACTCACGCCGATCTGGTCAGCGGCGGAACCAGCAGTGATGAGATACAGAGTAACCTAAAGACTATTATGCAAAGCGTGGGCAATAAGTTTGACCACATTTTCGACATTCACGAACACATCTTCGTAATGGACGCCATGGCTGTCGGTTCGCCGGCTATGAAACAATTGAAACAACATCTGAGTTCAATGAAACCGGTTGTCCTGCAAGGCATACCTCATTCGACCGGTTTCTTGGAATCGGTAATGACTTTTCTAAATATTTGCCGAAAAGCGTCGACCAATTTTCCAGTTCTGTCGTCAAATCAATTCAAAGAGATTATCCGATCGCAAATCAATCCGTTGGCCAGCGATGAACATTTCAAAGAAATTCTATTACAATTGCAAACAATGGGCGAAGTTTTATACTTAAAGGCTAAGACAGAGAACAGTCAGGATCTGATTGTATTGAATCCCCGTTGGCTTACCATCGATATAATTGGCAACTTTTTGAGTCGCGATTACAATTGCAAAAGTCGTATAACTGGTACCTATTCTATTGATGACATACAGATGGAATTGCCGGATACCGATGCTCTCGATTTGCTACAAGTGCTCGAAGCCATCTCCCTATGCATCCAATGCGATCACGAAGGAGACATTGCCTACGAATTTCCCTGTTTTATACTCAGAGAACCAATTGATGATATTTGGCCTCAAAATAATATCATTTACGCCGACGGCGCCTACTGTGGTGTACGCATCCAATGCGAACCCGAGGTCCCCAGCGGTCAGATACTGGTCTGTCTATTCTCACGCATACAGATATGTCTGAGAAGTGCCGTTAAGTCACATCCGGACTTTGAAGTCTACGAACTGTACAATTGGTTCAAACAAACTAAACTAACTGTCGGCCCATTGGAAGCGCTCATCACCGCCAACGCCATCAGCGAATCAATTGAAGTCAGACTTCGCGGACCAAAACACATGCGGATCGAGTGCTTTCTATTCATGGAAGACATACTTAATATTATCGACACCAGTGTCTCGCAGATATGTCCCGGTTTTGTCTTCGAGAGACACTATTTCTCGCCAAAACACTTGAGTGAACACAAAGAGAATCTCTCGTCATATTCTTCGTATTCAATTCTCAAAGCATTGTTATCGTCGGATAACAGCGAATCAGTGGTCAAACAGACGATCAAAAGTAGCGATTCGGTGATCGAAGAGAAAATCTCAGACATAATTTGTTTCGGAATCGATGACATCAATTCCATACGAAGAACCAACAAATTTACGTCAATTCCTTCATTCAGTTCCTTAATGTCGTCACCGGTTTCGTCGCCGGCGTTCAAGTGGACAGAAGGCGGACCAACACTAGTGCCGAGTCTTCATTCGTCCAATTTATCGCTTCTAACAAAACAACGTCTGTGCGCTGTCTTGGATCCGCCCGAACCCATTGGCCGGGACTGGTGTATGTTAGGCATACTATTGGGAATGACCGATAAGCTGCCAAAATTAGATCCCGGAGCCAATGCACAGCTCAGTCCTACCGCCCGTGTAATCGACGAATGCATTCGAGAGCCGACGTCTACCATCAGAGTGTTGGTCAAGAAATTGGAAGAATTGACTCGAATCGACGCCATCGATGTCATACTCAAGACGGGACCACTGTTCAGGATATTTCCAACATCATCGCAACCGGAAGGATGTCTGCCCTATAATGACGAAACCGGAACAGTTAGCAGTGGTATCAGTAGCGGATCCCAGGCTTCCAGTTCTAACCTTTCGCGATGATGTCATCCGTCCGTCCACTTTCATACACCAATCAATCAGACCATCCATTTTCATGCCATTTATATTAAGAGAAAAAATATCATCAAATTTACTATAAATTTTATATAAATTTTTTTTAGTTGATATAAATATAATAAATTAAATTAATTTTATATTTATTTTTTTTATATATATATAAAATATAAATTTTTAAAAATATTTATATCTATCTATATATATATTTTAAAAAATATCTTTTATACAAAGCTATTGTTTTTATATAATTATTATTTTGTTTGTTTCGTTTTTTTTTTGAGAGTCAATTTGTGCCATAAAATGATTGCAATTTTATGTATTGTATGTATGTATGAAAAAACAAAAATTTAATTCAATTAAAATAATTACAACTAATATCATAATATATAATATGTTTATTATACAGAATATATAAATTATATAATAATAATAATAATAATATAAATTTATATGATTTACACATCATTATTGTTTGACTATACAATAAAAAAATTAATGACACAAAAAAATACCTAACAAATTATATGCTAATAAAAAATGGCCAAAAAAAACATGGTCAGCGACTGACTCCCCCTCGCCTCCTGAAGTTAGCCCCATCGATAGTGGGCGTACGCCCTGTTGGCCTCGCATACCCGATGCATATCCTGTTTCTTTTTGACCACTTTGCCCTCATTATAGTAGGCATCGATCAGTTCGCGGGCCATATTTTCGGGAAAAAACGTTTTCCTGGGTTTGGGCCGCTCTTTGACTGCCGTAATCAACCAACGCATAGCCATATCCTCCGATTCGTTGACCCGCAACGGATACGGCACCTGATAGGTGGCACCGCCGCGCTTAACCGGTTGCGTAATAATCAGTGGTCGACAATTATCAACCGCCACCTTAAATATACGCAACGGATCCAATTCGATGGCCGACCGGACATCATCATCGGTGGCCGCGTTGTACTTCTGCAACTGAGTTGACTTTACAACGCCAAACGTTTCCCGCATTAGATCCCTCATCATTGTTTTCTGGCCTTTTCGGTGAGCCATACGAATGAACCGATGCAACAGATTATCGTAAAACAGTGAACACGTTTCCCACGATTGCCGAGCTTTGATCGGTTTGAAGGCCAAATCGCCCAATTCGTCCACCGATGCCGAAGATTTCATCAGTTCATCGATGGTGTCCACATCTTGAATAGGTTCGGCGTGATTTGGTGTCCACTGAGACATCGGTCTGGTAGTCGTTGTTATGGTCACTGTGTTGGCCGCTGCTGTCGCCGTCATTGTCGGCGACAATCGGGTGAATACCGTACGGCATTTGTGGCCCAATAGTGCGCTAATTAAAGCCATCAAAACATGCGGTCAATTGTTTTGTATAAATATAAATATTTAGTAAATATTAATAATAACATCAATTACGACATGCATTGCACACAAAGTTTTAAAATTTGTTTGTTATTACTATTACTATAAATATAATTTTTTTTTTTAATTTATAACTTTTTATAACTAATACAAATTAATTTTATTTATTATTTATTTATTTACAAAAAAAATAATTTGTAATTTTTTAAAATAAATAATTAAAAGTATTATTAATACTATATTATATTTTTATTGATACTTTTATTTTTTTTAAAGGGACACCCCTTTTTTATTATATATATTACCAGATGGTGTTCCTCATGCAGTACTAACTCTGGCCTAACTTTGCTACTTAATACAGGTAGGTGCAGGATCATTAATTATTATCATATTAAATTAATCATACCTAGATCAGATTTTTTAAATATATATATATATAAAGTGCTATTTCATGAAATAAATAAATATTTTTTGGATGACAAAAATTGACATAATTATCAACATTTTCATATATAGAAATTTTTATCGCATTATTTTACTCATTGTAGTGTAACTTAATATTATAAATTACTACCTGTAATAAAAATTTTGATATGTTTTTTGTTAAACATATTATTTACTTATATAACTTTATTAACTTAATTATTAACTTATTATTATTATTATTAAATGCTTAGATTAAAAGTAAATACAAAACATACAATGAATATTTACTATAAGATAGTTAAAATTATAGTAAAATTGAATATCATTTGAATGAATATATTTTTAAGATATACAATAGTATTATGTTTGTAAGTATAGTTAATTATATTTGTTTTGTATTAATAAAAAAATATATATCTATTAAATAATTTATTAGATTGTAAATACAGTATAAGTCAGGTATAACTTTGTATAAGCTATTACTTTAATGATGTTAATTAATTTATCTAATTTATATTTGGTAACTAAAAATTTTCCAACAATTAAGCAAACATTTCAAAAAAAAATAATTATGCCAGTTTTTTTTATTCATCAATAATTGGATACTATTTATTTTTTGTCATTAAATTTAATGATCATATTGTTAAGACCTTGATAATTACTTAATATAACTCAATTAATTTTTTTTTAAAAATTATTTATAACTATTTCATATGATTTTTAATTGTAGAGGATTGGGATATATAGCATATATTTATTATTTAACTAAATTATTATCAATTGCATTTTATACAAATACATTCAAGTATCATAAATATATATATATATATATATATATATATATATATATACTGTATATGACAATATTGAAAATTTAAATTATATTTATATAAGATTATATTATAATATGATATAAATACAATGAAAAAAAATATTTGATGAAATTGTATGAATAAAATACATATAATATTACATGAAATAATCTCGTGTTTGATATAATATAAATACACATTTATTCACACAATTATTGTGCAAACATAAAGTTTACCTGTATATACTGTATAATACTTACTGTATATATATACATAATTATATATTTATATATTTATATAATTTTATCAATTTACCGGTGCTTTAATCTATTTGTAAGCAAATATACCTGTCATATACTGTATTATAGGTACATATATATATATTTTTTTTAATTATTGACAAACAAAAAAAACAATAGCTATAAGCTCTGGATTTTTATATGTTATCTATATTTTTATTTATTTAATTGCGATATTAAAGTCTACAATTTTTTTAAACATACAGTTCATGTGATATCCAAATGTAATGATATAATAGATATAAGTAATAATATTTTATTTTTTTTTAATATTTAAATTAATTTTATTTCCAATTAAATGATTATCTTTTTGCAAGAATCCAAAGTTTATAGTAATAATAATTAAGAATAAATAAGTTTCTCTCTCTCTCTCTATATATATATATAATTATTATACAATAATTATTTTCAATACAAGTGTACAAAATGAATAAATTTAATAAAAAATAAAATAAAATTTTCAAGTATTTAATCACAGAATAAAATAGAAAAAATTAGTTTAAAAAAAAATAATATTATTATTTTTGTTGTTATTACTATTATTAAATATTGTTTGTTTGTTTTTTCTAAAATAATAAATAATAAAATAATCATTGTTAAATTATTTGTCCAGTCATTAATAATAAGCTTAAAAAAAATTTTATACTAAAAACAGGTAGTTGTAGTAAATAAATTTTCATAATAAACTATAATTTAAAATAATCATTTAGTTAATGTGTTTTTTTCCTAATAATTCATGCATAAAAAATTTGCAAAATATAATAATAATTTACATTTTTAAATAAATTTACTGGTATTCATTTAGTTTATCAATAATTAATACAATATGCAGGTAAACTAATTTATATAATTTTAGTTTACCAGTTATACAGTATATACTTGTTATATACAGTATATGTAATTTACTTTTACATGAAATTTGAAGTTTTTGATTACTATACAAAAAAAATTGTTAATAACAATACTGTAATAATAATAACTATATTGTAGTAAATGTTGTTTGCAAAAAAAAGATCACTGTATATATTTACCACTTCAACTACTAGTACTACTACCAGTGCATTGGTGCAGTTATATTTAGCTGGGGTATACTAGGAATAATAATAATAATAATAAGTTATTAGAGTTATTTGTAATGTATGCAACATATGTGTGTGCAAATGATTGCAAATTGCAAGTGTAAGTGAAAAAAATGCAATTACTAGTTGTGTTATGTTTTTTTTTTGTAGAAAAAATTAGTTATTAAATACTTTTACAGAAAGAAAGAAAGAGAGAGAGAGAGAGAGAGAGAGAGAGAGAGAGAGAGAGAGAGAGAGAGAGAGAGAGAGAGGGAGAGAGAGAGAGAGAGAGAGAGAGTACATGAATTAGTTGACGCCTATTGCTATCATATCAGGATTTTTTTTAGATGTGAGGAACTGATCCGACAATCGATGGTTAAAATAAAATGCTTAACTTTTTTTAAAAAAAAATATACATATAAAGATAATGATCTGTAAGGGAAATGCTTGAGTATTATTAATATCTTAAACATACTGTTTGTTAACAAGTTTTTTTGTGCTAATTGTAAGCGATTTTGTTACTAATAAAAAATTGAATGAATGAATGAAACATAAGGTTGTATATTATGTTTCGCAACTAATTTAATGCAATATTCTGTTAAGTGTTTTAATTAAATAAATGATTAATAAGTATTAGGCGAGTGAGTGAGTGTGTAGTTTGGGTATATCTATGTAGTAGTTATCTACAGTATAATATCAAGAGAGTGAGTGAGTGAGTGAGAGAGAGAGAGAGAGAGAGAGAGAGAGAGAGAGAGAGAGAGAGAGAGAGAGAGAGAGAGAGAGTATTGTCAATCAATAGTGCGTTAAGTTAGAGGAGGAGGAGGACTGGGAAGAGGTCTTAAAGTTGGGTTCAATAATTTGGAGGAATGTCGTTGGGGTTGAGGGTCTGGTTCTGTGAACACTGTATGTATGACTGACTGAGAAAGATAGTGAGTGAGAGAGAGAGGGAGAGAGAGTGGATGCACTTCAATGAGTTGGTGACTGTCCCAGAGTTCACTTCATAGAAAAAAATTGATAGGTTTGTAACCTTGAAGAATATTTATATATATATATATTTATACTACCAGTAGTTATGTTTTTAAGTGAGACTCCGGCGCCGGTATTATAATATTATTATATTATTACAGTATATTATAATAATAAAAGGGATCGACACATGTGTTTCCAATGGAAACTTTCCATTTGATAGACTGACTCTCCGGAGAGTTTAGGGTTTTATGTTTTAGAGAGTATTAGGTTTAGAACATTACGTTTAGACCATTGACTGACTGACGGTATAAAACTGTACGGTATATTTGGTTTCATTATTATTATATAATACATATACATATACAGTATGCATACATATACCGGTATATAAATATATATACTGTATATATACAGTGAAAATTGATTGATTAAAAAATAACTATTGATATTTGATTTCCTAAATTTAATAACTGTTTTTAGCATTTAAATACTGTATGTATTTATATATACAGTATATATATTGACATTAGGAATATCGGTTGAAACTAAAATAAACTAACAGTCAATCAATTAGTCCTTTAAAAAAAACTATGTGTTGTGTCTAATACTGCTATATATATCAATATATTAATAATTAGTATATTTCTAATATTAATAATATTTATTTACATTTATATATTTATATACCAGTGTCTGACTCTTTTTATATGTGATTATATATTAAGATAAGGGCACTAATAATAATACTGTAATAATATATTTACAATGCATTCAAAATGCATATAAAAATCAATATTTATATCAAATGTTGTGTACAATACATACAGTCAGTGTATAACAACAGTGTATATATCATATGTAAAACTCATGTCTTTTAGACAAAACAATATGATATTTAAATTTTTTTCATTAAATATGATATTATATTTTTAGAAAATTATACATATTTTATTAATATAATAATAATTATTTTATAAATTTTATTGTTTTTAATTTAATCAATTTGTTTATTTGTTTGTTTGTCTAAACAATTTTGTTTTTCATAATAATATAATAATAAATAATAATTATTTTTTAGGAAAATTTTTTTATTTAAAAACTTTTTAATTTATTGAATCTATTTTTTTTAAAAAAAAGTGTATATTTTTATAAATACTGTAAATTATATATAAGTAATATAATAATAATAATAATAATAAGTAATAATTAATATGCTTTAAAATAAGTGCCAAAAAAATTATGATATAATATACTGATTATTAAAAATTTGATTTATAATAATAATAATAATAATAATAATAATAATCAACAATAACAACGACAACAACAATATGAGTGATATTTTTACCAACAAAGACATCATCAACGGTGATGTTGACGATGAAGAACAGCCACACGAATCGATACCATTGATTGGCAAAGAAGTCAATGGATCTATCAATGGATCTGCTAATGGATCAGTCAATGGATCAGTCAATGGATCATCCGATGATCGTTTAAAGACTTCCTGCCATAACGGCAATGGCGCCAACAATCGGCGACTATATATCAAACAAAACGGCGGCCGACAAATGACCCAACGAAACGGCAACGGCGACCAACCGAAAAAATTGATGACCAGAATCAGGTTCGGCTCGACCGATACCTATCTGTCGTCGAGCAATGGTAACCATCATTGGAGTGACAGCCGTCTGGATGAATGCGGTGACGATGACCAACATAATCATCAGCGAAGTGTTACTCACGATAACAATGCTTACAATCATCCGTCCATTGCTTGCCGCCGATCGTCTCGAACCGTCCACTCAGATACCGATTTGACGGCTTTACTATTGACCACCAACACTACTACCGCCACTACCGATGATGACGATGATGTCGACCATACAACGGTACGTAACCGATATTAATAATTATCTTAATTATCAATAGTTTTAATGTTTTTAATAATATAAGCAATTATTTTATTTTTAAAAAAAATGGTTTTTATTTTATAATCAAACTAAAAATTAATTATTTTTTATAACTTTTTAGTTTAGTTTAGTTATTATTTATTTAGTTTTTTCTGAAGTTATAAATTTAATATACCGGTAATAATAATATAGTTTTAATATAATCAATAAATTTTAACTGACAGTTAAAACTAAAAGTATTCAACAATAACAACAACAACAACAACAAAAAGTTAAAAACTAATAAATATTAATGTGAATATTTAAGATTTTAAATTTATATATAATATATATTACTTATAATGATATATCTGAGTTGTATATATACAATATACTGTATATAGTATAGTATAGACGATAATATAATTTAAATAAATTAAAATTTGTATTTAAATAAATTTTTTAGAAAAAAGAGTAAATTTTTAAAAGTTTTTTTTTATCAATTGAGGCGTTCAATTCAAATGTCATTCCCCTGAAATAAAAGGCATTGAATTTTATGATATATACAGTACTGTATATTATGTAAAGTGTTTAACAGCAGGTATACAGTATATAATGCAGGTATAGTTATGTCTAGTAATGATGCCCTTTATATATACCGTATACAGTACTGTATATATATATACCGGTAATTGTATATAATAATCATTGCATTGCATTGCATTAACTTAGTGTATATTATTAATAATATACAAATTTATGATTATTATTTAGATAACTTATTTTATGTTAATGAATATTTAATTTAGTTAATCATATTATTTTATTTAAAAATAGCATATATATATACGGTATATAATAGTAATTAATACTGTAATATACGGTACTGTGTATAATGTTATAATATTAGGATCTTTAATAACACGTTTTTGGTTTGATATGTATTATTTAATGTAAAAAATATACATTACTGTTAGGCAATATATATAGCCTTGCTTGTTTATTGGGTAATTTTATATATATATACTGTATATATATATATAACTTATCTAGCAATGTTAGTAATTACTATTTGAAAAATTATTAGTCATATATATATTATACAATATATTCAAAAAAAATCATGCTATACTATGTTTAAAAGAAAATAGTTACAAATTATTTATTAATTCAAATGAATTTATATATATAATAAGTTATTATATAAAAATAAACGATTTGTACAGTGAGTTAACAAATAATTAACAAAACACTTGTTTTTAGTATTAGTTTATACGGAAACATCTTATGGGCAGAAAAAAAGTCAAAGACCTCGTCTATAATATAATTTTTTTTTAGTTTTGTTTAATTACAGATAAAAACATAGGGTTTTTTGGGGAGAATTATAAATTGGTTATAAATTTTGATTAAAAATCTTATTATTCTTTAAGATTCTCTCTCAAGATTTTCGGTACATATTTTAGGGTTTTATTATTGTTCAAAAAAAACTATTATCATTAATAATAATAATAACAACAATAATATAAAATAATAATTAGATCATAAAATTAGATTAAAATATTAATGGGTTTTTATATGTATCATACATATGTAATTTTATAAATTTATCTAAAAATATAATTAGATATCAAATTTATATAATTGGTTGTGCAATAATAAAAAATTATTTATTTAAATATTTATATATATATATATTTAAACACACATTAACATAATTATAATTTGTAATAAAATATCAAATAATATGAAAATTATTTATTATTAATATATGCTATAATAATGTAAAATAGTTTGCGAAGTTATTTTATTATCAAATATTATTTTGCAATTAATAATGAAATTTAATATTGCAATTAATATTTGTGGAAATTTACAAAAAAAATAAATAATAATAAAATAAATAAAATTAGGAAATAGATATTTAAAAATATTTATATTGTAAATAAAGTTTATTAACTATTTTCTAGACAAATATTGTCAAAAAAAATATTTGATCAAACAATCGATATAGATTATTTTTTTGAAATTAAAATTTTTCAATATATATTTTTATGAGGGGGAATTTTTATGTGAATTTTTAATTTAAATTATTTTCTAGTTAAAAATATTGAGAGAGAGAGAGAGAGAGAGAGAGAGAGAGAGAGAGAGAGAGAGAGAGAGAGAGAGAGAGAGAGAAAGATTGAATTAACTAATTAAAGTTAACTAAAAAAAATTAAATACTAATATTACTTAAAGCGCTATTTTATTAGTATTATTATGATAATCACATGATATAACCAAATAATGTTTATAATATACATATACATTATTATTGCGACATTTTTAGCACTTAAATTTAGTTTATTAATGCCATATATTATAAATATTAATTGATTTACATTAAGCCTATCTATTAAGGTTTTTTTTTATTTATTTAAAAAACATTAATTATATGTAAAATTATTATCAATGTCAATTGGCGACAAATTAGCCGGGATTGATCAAACAAGCAAACAATCATTTTTTTTTTAGAAAAAACATGTTATTTTTATGATAATATAATTATGTAGTTTAAATAAAAAATAGTGTTATGATAAAATTGACAACTTATTGATGATAAATCAAATCATATATAAATATATTTAAAAAACGAAATATTATGATAAATTAAATTATATAAACTAAGATAACTACAGTAATAAAAATTCACAATTTTATCAATAGTTTTTAGTAATGATTTTTAAAAAGAAAACAAAAAAGTTATTATGTGTATATATATATATATATATATATACTGAATATTATTTATTTGAGATCACATATGAGATACTAGTTTTTTTCAAAAGTAAAAATTGAATAGTAATTAGTTTTCCAATACATTATATTATTGCCATATATGAAATATACTACAGTTTTATATATACGGTATAATAATATAAGGCATATTTGTCCTGATTTATTAAATATCTCTTTCAAAATATTATGATAGGATACATGTAATATATATATAAAACACATTAGAGAGCTAGAAACGGGTTGGATAGTAGATTTAAGTGTATTTTTATCAAATAATTAATTGAAATATTATTAGGATATTTTTAAAGTATAAATTATAATTTTTAAAAAAAATTATATATAAGAAAAAATTGATAAAACTGTGTGATCTTTATATAACTTTCGGATTGGATATGATATAATAATAATTGACAAAACGGTTTGATTATATATATATAAATACCCGATAAATAAATACCCCTGTGTATGTTTTTGACCATCCCTCTCTAATATTCAATTATAATTTATAACTGTAATAATAATAATAATAATAATAATAATATTGAGTGAACATAAAATAATTGTTAATAAAAAAAGTATCATTATTATTATTAATAATAATATAATTTGTTTGAAAATGTGAATAAACAAAATAAATACATGTGCAATAATGTAGTGGGAATGGGATGAGCCCATCAACTGAGCCAATATAAACTTTTTTTTTGTGGTGTATGTGTGCTATACTTTACTTTACTGTTAAATTTATTTTACAGTAAAAATAGATGACAATATTTTTTTTAGAAAAAATAGTAGTTATTTTGCTTATCAATAGAGCTCTATATGTACTGTAAATATATATATATATATATATATATTTGTCATCACATAAACTCATCCTATTTTTTTGGTTATTGTGTTCACCACTACTACTACTGAAATACATAATGATCTCTTATTTAAAATTGAAAAAATATTTATACAAAAAAAAAAGTTTATAAATGATTGCTTTGAGAGCTTTTTTTGAATATTATTAGCCGCTGCTACTCTTTATTATTGATAATAATAATAATAATAAAACCAGTCAGTCCTCAAAACATACCAGTCCTCTAAGTCCTCCAACAAAACAAACAAACAAAAAAGTTTTATCATTGCCCTCAATGATAATAATAATAATAATTAAACATTAAGATTGACAACAACAACAAACTTTTATTTAGGATTATATATATATATATATTATATATATTAATGGACTCTTTGGAAACTATCATTTAGTTGAATCAATTTTTTTGTATCATCTGTAGACCAACAACAACACCATCATCAGCAACGACAACAACACCATCAACGGCGACATTGCTATCAACGGCGTAATGAATCACAACCCGGTCCGAAAAAGTGTGTCAATAGGCAAGAGTGATGCCGCCGCCTCAGCAGTCAATGGCCAGAATCAGTCCAGATTTCAAGTGGCCAAAGTATCCGACGATGATAACGGCGACGACGACAACAACAGCTCGGACGACACGATTCACGATATGGCGACCATTGGCGGCCATCATATGACTGTCGACTATACGACCACTTATGATACGAAAAATGTGAAAAGTCTACGCTATTACACCCGTGAAGCACTTCCACGTGTCGACAACTATCGGAATATTCTGTCGGTTCATCGGCATATGACTCGTCCGACTCTCGATGAGCTACACGGCGTGCAAACCACTATACATCCCGATCCCAACAACAAAGTAAGCTTAATCTGCTTTTTATTTTATTTTTTATTTGATATTTAATTGATTTTTATCGATTAAATTTGTTTCACAATTGAATTTATTTTGTGATTATATTTCGATAAATATGTTATCAAAATTGATGAGAAAATACAAACTATTTTTTTTGTTAAACATATAATTTAACTAAAATAGATTTACAGTGTGTTTACTGTAATACCAATAATACATGAGAGTTGACTTTGACATTAAACTCATTGATAATGATTTACTGTACTTAGTATTAACTTATTTTTAGAGTATTACCGTATTATTATTATTAAACAAATTTAAAAATAATAATAAATTACTGTATAGTATGTATGGACTTTAAAAACTCGGTTAATGACCTGGGTTAATATATTATATTATATATATATATACTGTATTAAATAATAAGTATAATAATTTTTAATCAATCATATTTTGAAAGTTATTTATTTTTTAAATAAAAGTTATTAAGTTTTTTACGTATATAACAAAAAAATAAAAAATACCTTGTTGTTATTTTATGATGAATATATTTTGTTAAACAGTTGTGTCAGCTCAAAAAATAGATTATTTATATTAACTAAATATTTAGTTTAAACATTTATTTTATAGTTAAACATAAGCTATAATTTTCTTGTGTTATATAAATTTATATGTATTGCTCGCTATTATTATTTATATAATAAACTATAAATATATATTCAAATTTGATGTTTAAATATTTTAATATATAAATTATATACCGGTATATACTGTATATTTATATAAAACTTATATAAATAACCATAAATTTGACAAAACAACAGTACATTAGATTTTTTTCTTTTAAAACAAAAAACAACTAACCTTTTCAGTCAAAACATGAACTCTTTCATTGGGGGTATTAAAAGAGCCAGAGCTCAGGGCTATCGGAGCTTTTCTATGCGAAATGAATTGTTTATAAATTATAAGATTTGTTTTTTTGATTGCAAACAAAATGTATAATAAGTGCTGCTATTTCTTTGATTATATCTTTTTTATAATATGCTATAAATAATTTAATTTTTATTGTTTGTCTAGGCGTTAATATTATTATTTTTGGTTACTTTTTTTAATTTTTAATTTTTTTTACTTTGGTTAAAATATTAGTTCAAATCGGTATACCCTATATAATATATATGATAATAATTAATAAAAATAACAATAGATATATCGTATTGAATATTAATAAGAATAGTAATAGAAGAATAGTAATAGAGATAAAAATTGTTGCCATAAATTAGTTAATAAATTATGCTAACTAAACGTTTTTAAAAAAATTATTTATTAATTTAAAACAATTTCAATGAAATAATGTGTATAATTTTTTTTTGAAAGTAATAAAACTGATTATTTCGCAAAAATAGATATAAAAATGAATTTACAATTTGTTTGACATTTTGAATCATTATTTTTGATTTAATTAATAGGATTTAATTTTGAGAGCAATTTTTATTGGTTACAACAAACAAAAAATTGTTTCAATATATTTTTTCAACTTAAAAATTTTTTTTATTGATTTTGTTTATCAATGAATTATAAGCGCGTTTGTATAGAAATAAAAATAATTTAATTTAATTAAAAACAATAAAATATTTTATGAAATAATATATATATATATATATATACAGTATTTTAAATTTAAATTAAATATTTGTTATACTTTTATTATGATTAATCATTTATTTCATTTATGTTTGAATTTTTTATTATTTTTTTTAGTTGTCATGATATATAGTTGTTTAGATATTACAAATATGAAAAATATTTAATTAAATATAGAGACAAACAAATATGAAAATCACATATTTTGATGATTTAATAAAAAAATATACTAATAATTAATAGTGATGTGTGTGTGTGTACTGTATTTACATTATAACAAAATAGCATATTTTATAGAAAATATTTGTCGAAAAAATTTATATACATTTTTAAATACAATTAATTATTTTTTTAAAAAAATTAGTATTTTACATAATTTATAAATAATATTTATGTTTTTACTTATTTAGACAATTATTTATATATATATAAACAAATAATTTTATTATTTTTAGTAATTTATTATAAAAATAATGAATATTTAAATAAAATTAATTATAATTTAAAATTACTATAAAATTATTAGATATTTTTGTTGTAAATTATATTTATTTTATTTGACGGAAAATTTTTTAAAACTATTTTTACAAACATTGAATATTGAACTTTTTTTATTGTCAGTTTATGTGATAACAAAATAGTGTCAAAATTGCAACCAAAAAAATGTTTTATAATTTCTAATAAAATTATTATGCTTGCTTATTTAAGATTGATGTTTAAAACAAACTAATTAAAAATAAATAATTTGCTTTAAAAATATTTTACAATAAAATGCTATATTTGTCTAAATGCGAGCATTGACTTATGTTATTGAAAATTTATTATTCAAAAACTTTAAAAAAAATTGCGATTACATGCTTTTTTTAAAAAAAAATAACCAAGATAAATAAATAAATATATAGTCATTATATTATAGTGTATATAAATAAGCATAAAATAGCAAATTAAATAAATTGTTTAACAATCTAAATCAATAATCTAGTAATTGATTTAACAAAAATAGCAGTTTATATTAAATATCCTGTTTGCTATAGTTGGCAATAATATACAGTATATATCTATATATAATATATAGACAATATTTAATCAAATGGTAATGTAATCAAAAATAATTATAATCATAAAAATCATTTTTTTATTGATTATATATTATACACAGTATACAATGTAAATTAGATTAAAATATATATTATTATAATGCGAAAAAATATATTTTATTATTACAATATCAAAACAAATATTGTGAAATAATTTTGATTTATTTAAATAATAAATGTTATTATTTTGTGACCAAATATGGATAAAAAAAAGTTTCTTTTATCGATAAAAATTGTGAAACAATTATTCACGTTAAGTACGTAATCATTAAATACTGTATTAATTTTATTATATTTATATATATATATTTTGAATGTATTTTTAAATACAGATTTGTTTGCATTTCAATATCAATTAATAATGATAATAGTAAAAAAAATATTATTTATACAATGTTTGAATTTGAATAACAAATTGATTTTTCTCTATACACACAATCGGTTATTAAATAAACAAATTTAAAAAAAGTCTATACAAAAAAAATAGATTTTACAAATTTTCAAATAGCCAACAATTGTTAACAAATATATATATCTATAAACTAATAATAATTTATCAATGTCACGCCAGTTATTATCAATGTATTGTTATTATTATCATCTATTAGCATCAAGCACATTGTATTATACATTATTATTTTTTTTATCTATAATTACCGGAAATTTTATTTTTATAGGCAAAATTGGGCGACAAATTGAATGGCGATATTAGTGTTGAAACGGCAGTAAAGTTTGGTTGGATTAAAGGAGTTCTTGTAATTGATTTTTTTTAATAATTAAATTAAATTAAATAATTAATTAATTACATTATTATTTTGAAGGTTCGATGTCTATTGAATATATGGGGTGTTATGCTATTCATGCGACTGGCCTGGGTAGGTGCCCAGGCCGGTATAGGCTTGGGCTCTGTGGTAATCATATTAGCAACCATTGTGACCACTGTCACATCGATTTCCATGTCGGCTATCTGTACGAATGGCGAAGTCAAAGGCGGCGGTACCTACTATATGATCAGCCGAAGCCTGGGGCCAGAGTTTGGCGGTGCCATTGGCATCATATTTTCGATCGCCAACGCAGTAGCCGTTGCCATGTATTCGGTAGGATTTGCCGAAGCCATGAGAGATCTCCTAATGGTATGAATCTAATTGGAAAAACTTTTTCAATTGATTTTTTTTTTAAATCTGTAATTAAATTTCTAACCATTTATTTCGTTTAGGACAACGGTTTGGCGCTAATCAATGGCGGAATGAATGACATCCGTATTATCAGTTCGTTAGCTACCATTGCAATGCTCGGCATTGCCTTAGTTGGCACCGAATGGGAGGCAAAGGTTAATAAAAAATATTTATTTATTTTTGTTGTTGAAATTATTTGTTTAAAATTGAAACCAAAATAATTTTTCGATTTTATTAATTATTTTACTTAACCTTTTTTTTAGGCACAAATCATACTACTCTTTGTCTTACTGGTAGCGATGGGTGACTTCTTTATCGGATCATTGATTCCTCCGAGTGTTGAAAAACAGTCAAAAGGATTTGTCGGATGGTCAGGTATGTTGTTGTCATTAACACTAATTTATATTGAGAACAACAAAAGTATTATAATTTAATTGTTAATTAAATTAATTATCGGTAATCTTTTTTTAGGCCAAGTATTAGTTGATAATTTTATGCCTCGATTTGAGGGCCAGTCGTTTTTCACGGTATTTTCGGTATTTTTTCCGGCGGCCACTGGCATACTGGCCGGCGCTAATATATCCGGTGATCTTAAGGTAGTAAACACTATGTTTGTTAATATATGTTTTGTTGTTTTAAAATTATTGATAATTGTTTTGTTTTTGTTGTTATTTTTTTGGTTACCAATTGGTGGTACAAAATAAAAAGATAACAGAAAAATAAAAGAAAAAAAGAAAAAATAGTTTTATAAAAAACAGTTTGTTTATCATTTGAATCCAATAGGACCCGCAAACAAGTATCCCAAAGGGCACACTACTGGCCATTGGAATTACGACATTCAGTTATCTACTGTTCCTATTCATCTGCGGCGGAGTTGTAACCAGAGATGCTAACGGTTTGACTGAACTATTGTTTGCCAACAGTTCCGGTGATTATCTAAACCTAATACAAAACTGTACGATCAATGGTAACACAAAATGCGAATACGGTTCGTCGCACAATTATCAAATTGTGGAACTGGTATCGATTTTCGGGCCAATCATTTATGCCGGCATATTTGCGGCCACACTGTCGTCGGCGTTGGCCAGTCTTGTAAGCGCTCCCAAAGTGTTTCAGGCGCTCTGCAAAGATAAACTGTTTCCTTATATCGAGTACTTTGGCCACGGATTTGGCAAAAATAACGAACCCCGACGTGGATATCTACTGGCCTTCGGGTTGGCCATTGCCTGCTGTCTAATAGGAGATCTCAATTCAATAGCACCGCTTATATCAAACTTTTTTCTGGCCGCCTATTGTCTCATCAATTTCTCCTGTTTTCACGCGTCGTTCGCCAAATCGCCCGGTTTTAGGCCATCATTCAAGTACTATAACATGTGGCTCAGCCTAATGGGTGCCGTACTATGTCTAATGGTTATGTTTATGACCCACTGGCCGGCAGCTTTGGGAACGTTTGTCATTATTTTGGGACTCTATATATGGATTCAGTATAGAAAACCCGGTAAAATGATAATAAATAAAAAAGATTTTATATTAAAATTTTAATGATTAAATAGTAATTTTTTGATTGTTTATCTATTAGATGTCAACTGGGGCTCATCCACTCAGGCACAGACCTATCTCCGAGCATTGAATTCAGTTTATCGCTTGAATTTAGTGCCCAATCACGTCAAGAATTTCAGGTTATTTATATTTTTTGATAACATTTTTTTTAAGTTGATTATTATAATCCCTAAAATCAATTATTACAATAATAACAACAACAAAAATAGACCACAAATTCTGGTATTGACTGGAAGTCCTAGTTCTCGGCCGCCAATCATTGACTTTTCCAATACTATATCAAAAGGAATCGGTTTAATCATTTGTGGACACGTTGTTGATGTTAGTGAAACTGATTATTATTAACTAAATTATTAACAAATTAAAAAAATTTAGTTAAATATATCCATAAAACTAACAGTGCTTTTTAAAACATACGGTTTTTGTTGCTGTTTAGGGATCGCTATCTCAAAGAGCCCGTAACGCTCTCATCCAAGAGTCGAATAATTATCTTCAAAGACGACGAATTAAAGGTTTCTATAATCTCGTTGAAGAAGAATCGTTGGCTAAAGGTGTCGACTCAATGATCCAGTCGGTCGGTGTCGGCAAACTAAGACCAAACATAGTGATGATGGGTATGAAAAGCAATTGGCAGACAAGCGATCCCGAAGAGATCAGCGATTACTTCAATACAATTCAGTTAGTTTTATAATCTGAAGAATTTTTTTTAGATAAATTTTTTGCTAAAATAATGGTTTTTGTTTGTTTCAGTACTGTATTCGATCGTCACTTATCACTGATAGTGATTCGGTTGTCAAACGGTTTGGATTTTTCCCGTTTCGGTGACATTCCTGACGAAGAAAATGAAAAGGAAAAACCAACAGCTAATGGTTTGACTCCTTCGGCACCGTATCTGAACTGTTCGTATGTCAGCATTGATGTGTCCAAAGAAGATATCGCAAGCAATGGACAACTATTGTCTGTTGTGAACATTTCCAATCGTAAGTCTTGAGAGAATCAGTTGTAATTGTAAATAAATAAATGCAAACAAAAATTAATTGTAATGAATACCAAATACCAGGCGGTAGTATCAGTTCCCGTGGGTCGACACCATCGACACCGTGTTCTCACTTTGTTGTAAATGGTATTCAACAACAACAACATCATCATCAACAGCAACAACAACTACCACATCATCAACAACAGCAACAAACCAATGGTTCAACCAATATATCGGAAAATCCTATGGGAATGAACGGCATTTCCAAAGATATTATACCGAAAGAGGTGATGTTAGCCGTCAATCAGTTCCAAAACAAACAGAAAAAAGGTTTTATCGACGTCTGGTGGCTATACGATGACGGAGGACTGACACTACTGTTACCGTATTTGTTGAGTACTAGAAAACAATGGAAAGGATGTAAACTACGGGTGTTTGCTTTGGCCAACAAAAAGGACGAATTGGATACCGAACAGAGAAATATGGCGACACTGCTCAGCAAATTCCGTATCGGCTATTCGGATGTCATTGTCATCGCCGACATACATAAGCCGCCCCAGGAGTCGACAATACGCGAGTTCGACGCACTGATCAGCAAATGGCGGGTCAAAGAGTCGTCGGACAACACAACAAACAATTGCGACCCGAATACTGGTGACCACAACAATACAAACGATAGCGACAGTAATAGGAGTAGCAATCAATTGGTGATTACTGAAGACGAAGTGATTGCACTTAAAGATAAGGTACGACTATTTTTTTTTGGCGACGAATAGTTTTTATAGAAATAACTATATTATTGCATTCACTATAATCACAGAATAAACGTCATATGAGACTACGGGAACTGTTGTGTCAGTATTCACGGCAATCATCACTCATCGTAATGTATGTCTTGTATATTATTGTTTTATTTATTTATTTTTTTGTTCACAAAACTAATCCATTGTTTGATTGATGTCCAAACCGTTTGCCTGATTAGGACACTACCGATGCCTCGAAAGGGTACCTGTTCTGCGCCGATGTACATGTCATGGCTGGAACTGTTAACCCAAGATATGCCACCATTTATGTTCATCAGAGGCGACCAAACAAATGTCCTAACGTTTTACTCTTAATTTATTTATTAATTAATTATTATTTAAATTATTATTATTATTAGTAGTAGTTATTGAATCAAACAATTATTGTGTAAACTTTTTAAAATGTTTCAATTTAGCGGTTTATTTCTGTTTTTATTATAATTATTATAATTATTTAGTTTTGAATTTGTTTTTAGAAAAAAATGCATTTTTTTGTGTGTCTGTAATTGCATTCAATTAATTATAATTCAATTCATTCATTGATTTTATTGGGTTTTTTATAATTAAATGAATGGTTAATTCTCAATATTTTTTTTTGTAATCAAAAATTCATTTATTTTTTAATATATTTAAATAAAAAAAAAATGCCTCAAAAGCACAGAAAAATTGTTATTAAAAATTTTTAAATAATAAAATGCAATTTAATTTTCAAATTCAATCAATTTTATTATAAATATATATTTTTTAGTTAGTAATCTATTAAAAGTATCAAATCATTGTAATAATAATAATAATAATTATTATTATCTATTTGTATAATTGTTATTTCGTTTTAGTCGACAGTTGGCCCTTCACTATCATCATCGCCGACACCTGATTCAGAAGTTACGGGAAGATCGGGTGTATCTGTCCGATCAGTGTCTGTGCTTGACTTCGGTGCCGGCGAATCCGGGTCTGACATACTGAGAGCGGGGGCGGCGGCGGCGGCGGCTTCCTGTTCCATGTCGTCCGGTTCAGACGGACCTTCACCGGCAGCAGCCGTCTCGACACTTATGTCGGCCGCCGCGGCCGCCACTTGTGTTACCAATTCTTCTTCAAGAATTTCCAAACTTCGTTGAAAAGCACTGATTGAAACAAAAACATATAATATATAATAATAAATGTAATTAATTTAAATAATTTACTGGAAAAAAACTGATGTCCACTACATTACTAACCCTATAATAGTTTGTGGCTCATTGTCCTCAATAAGTCTGTCCAAATCGCTTCTCATACTTTCTATATATGCACTGAGTTTATCCATTGGATTTGGATTTTCTGATTGAATAGCTTTAATGGGAATGACTTTAATACTATATATATATACACAAAAAATTAATAATTAGTTGAATTGTAGTCATAGAAAGTGAATTATTTCAGTTAGTCATTGAAATTTAGAGGAACCGGTAGTATACCTGTGCTTATCAAATGGTTGTTGTTGTCGACGACTAGACTCATAGATTTTCGTCAATACTCTAACCCTTAGTTCCAGTTGTTGTCGAGCCTTACGATTGTGATTCAAGTGATGTTTTTTTCTGTTCATTAGTTGTTTTTTTGTCGACACATTAGTAGTACTATTAGTAGTCGATGTAATGGTATTACTACTACTACTACTACTAGTAGTAGTAGTAGTAGTCATACAGTGATGACTACTAACTCCAATCAACTGTTGATTTGATGAGCACTGGTTGTGGTCGCTGGCGATCATCACTTGACGTGTCTTTATCTCATCCGACAAGTTGTTGTTGTCAATCGATTGGTCACTAATTTCGGTAACAATTGTTGAACGGCTATCGTCTTGAATGTCAAATGTGTTGACCACCACTTCTTGTAGTACAACATCTGCATCACTATTGTCTTGTTTTGTACCATCGCTGCTATCAGACGATAACGAATCCATTGTTCATACGTGTGGTGTTGTTGTTGTTGGTGTGGTCGACACCGATGACGGCAATCAATGACCAGATTTGATGGCGATGTTCATCGGCGGCCAAATCTCTTGTGTTTTTGTTTTGATGGACAACACAAACAAACCGATCGATTGATTGATTGTTTGTTCTTTTAATGGATATCCCAATACAGACTCTGGTGAACACCTCTACTCTATTATTAATATTATATAATAAACACAATAACGTTAAGTATGTTTACAAACAAACAAATAAAATATAGGAATCTATTGATAACACAAACAAACATACAGTGAGAATGTCTTGAATACTAAACAATAATAATAATAATAATAAACAACAAAAATGGCGAACATTTGAGTGAATTGATTGTCAATTGTTTTCGTTGTCTTAACTAAAATAATATATTATTTTTTTGTGATAATTTATAACTAATATGGGATCAGATGATCACCTAAACTGTTGACACACACACTTTTGTCGTGGTTGTGGTCGTTGTCGCCGCCGAAGACCAAATATGTTCCGATTCGGGTCGCGAAAGGATGTCAACTGCGAGTTCAAGTGTGCCATCAGATTGTTGGACGACAACGAAGTACTTCAGACAGAGTTCAAGGTTTGTGTCTCTGGTTTTTTTGGTCATCCATTTGGATGTCAAATGAATGCAATTTTCATCAAATTTATTAACTGTTTATTTTCACAGCGCGAACATAAAGGACAATATCTGTTGGACTATGTCTTCAAAACACTGAATCTCGCGGAAAAAGACTACTTTGGTCTGCGATTTGTCGACCAAAACAAGCAACGGGTTTGTAGTAGTTGTTGTTGTCGTCAAATGATATGAAGACACAGACACTTGTGGTTATTGTTTTGTTGTGATGACAGACAATACTTGACACTTAGATTTTGTGTTTTTGTCGATGACTTTTCCGATGACCACTAGTGTCTTGTGTCCAGTGATTTATTATTATTATTAATTTATTACATAATTTTTACGATAAAATTGTTTTTTTTGTTGTTATTGTTATTTGAATGACACCACAGAACTGGTTGGATCCGACGCGGTCTGTCATCAAACAGGTCAAAGGTTAGCACCATTTCTTTGTAGTAGTAATTCTTGTAATTCAATATAAAAGTGTTGGATAACTACTAATGACTTAAACTTATATATATATATATAAATATAGGTCTGAATCCGATTGTCTTCTGTTTTCGTGTCAAGTTCTATGCGGCCGATCCGTCAGTTTTGAAAGAAGAGATTACCCGTTATTTCCTTTATCTGCAACTAAGACGTGATCTACTTCACGGACGACTGTATTGTATGCCAACTGAGTCCACTATTTTGATGGCTTATATTATCCAATGTAAGCGAATTCCTTAGATGTGGTGGTAGTTTTTTTGTGGGAATAGTAATAGTTTATAATCAATGATTTTTTACTCCCTCTGCACCCATTTCCTCCCCCTTTTCAAAAAAACAGCTGAATTAGGCGATTACGATGCCGAAGATCATGTCGGCAATTATGTCCAAGAGTTCAAACTGTTGCTGAATCAAAGCACCAAAATCGAGGTCCAAGTGATGGACATTCATAAGAATGCTCTGAGAGGACAGACTCCGGCTCAGGCAGAGCTTAACTTTTTGAAGAAGGCGTCACAATTGGAGACATACGGCATTGATCCGCATCCGGTCAAAGATCATAAAGGCTGTCAACTGTATTTAGGTGTCAATCATACCGGTATACTAGCCTTTCAGGGCAGTCGTAAGACACATCACTTTAAATGGTAGGTTAACTAAACTTTTACGGATATTGAAGTAGATGTGTTAAATAAAAATATTATATACTATATTGTCGAACAAAGATATTTCTTTACAATGAACTCGTCGCGCGACATACCATTCGTAACATCCGGTGGCGGACTGTTTTCGAGGAATAAACTTCGCTACAGGTATTGTTGTTCCCACCGATATGTCGTCGTCACCCCATTGTCTGACTGTTTGTCTGTCTGTCCATCTGTCTGGTAGACCGTATTTTATTGAACACACCGTGTGTTTTCTAGTGCTGAGCTAACTGTTAGTTGTCTCCCAATTAGCTGTTTTTTTTTGTGTTTCCAAATAATTATTTTATTTTTTTTTTGAACAAAAATAATTGTTTTCTCACTCAATAAGACACAAAAATAAGTTTGAGTTTTCATTTTCATAGCAAAAAATATACGATATCTCGGAATAAATGGTATCTTAAAAGTCTTTGCTTTATTTACTTTCTCTCATTCCGTATCGGCTATTCGGATGTCATTGTCATCGCCGACATACATAAGCCGCCCCAGGAGTCGACAATACGCGAGTTCGACGCACTGATCAGCAAATGGCGAGTCAAAGAGTCGTCAGACAACACAACAAACAATTGCGACCCGAATACTGGTGACCACAACAATACAAACGATAGCGACAGTAATAGGAGTAGCAATCAATTGGTGATTACTGAAGACGAAGTGATTGCACTTAAAGATAAGGTACGACTATTTTTTTTTGGCGACGAATAGTTTTTATAGAAATAACTATATTATTGCATTCACTATAATCACAGAATAAACGTCATATGAGACTACGGGAACTGTTGTGTCAGTATTCACGGCAATCATCACTCATCGTAATGTATGTCTTGTATATTATTGTTTTATTTATTTATTTTTTTGTTCACAAAACTAATCCATTGTTTGATTGATGTCCAAACCGTTTGCCTGATTAGGACACTACCGATGCCTCGAAAGGGTACCTGTTCTGCGCCGATGTACATGTCATGGCTGGAACTGTTAACCCAAGATATGCCACCATTTATGTTCATCAGAGGCGACCAAACAAATGTCCTAACGTTTTACTCTTAATTTATTTATTAATTAATTATTATTTAAATTATTATTATTAGTAGTAGTAGTTATTGAAAACAATTATTGTGTAAACTTTTTAAAATGTTTCAATTTAGCGGTTTATTTCTGTTTTTATTATAATTATTATAATGTATTTAGTTTTGAATTTGTTTTTAGAAAAAAATTAATTTTTTATGTGTCTGTAATTGCATTCAATTAATTATAATTCAATTCATTCATTGATTTTATTGGGTTTTTATAATTAAATGAATGGTTAATTCAATATTTTTTTTTGTAATCAAAAATTCATTTATTTTTTAATATATTTAAATAAACAAAAATGCCTCAAAAGCACAGAAAAATTGTTATTAAAAATTTTTAAATAATAAAATGCAATTTAATTTTCAAATTCAATCAATTTTATTATATTTTTTTTAGTTAGTAATCAATTAAAGTATCCAATCATTATAATTATAATAAGTATTATTATTGTGTAATTGTTATATCGTTTAGTCGACAGTCATCCCTTCACTATCATCATCACCGACACCTGATTCAGATGTTACGGGAAGATCGGGTGTATCGGCCCGATCAGTCTGTGCTTGACTTCGGTGCCGGCGAATCCGGGTCAGACATACTGAGAGCGGGGGCGGCGGCGGCGCCTTCCTGTTCATTGTTGTCCGGTGCAGACGGACCATCACCGGTAGCAGCCGTCTCGACACTTATGTCGGCCGCCGCGGCCGCCACTTGTGTTATCAACTCTTCTTCAAGAATTTCCAAACTTCGTTGAAAAGCACTGATTGAAACAAAAACATATTATATAAATAAATGTAATTAATTTACTGAAAAAAACTGATGTCCACTACATTACTAACACTATAATAGATTGCGACACTCTGTCATCTATTAGACCGGCCAACTGTCCTCTCGTAAACTCTATTTGTTGATTGAGTCTATCCATTGGTCGAACCAATTGATTAGTATTGATGTCTATAAAACTGTATCAACAAATCAATAAATGTATATTTAATAGTAACAAAAATTGATTTTATTTTATTGTATTATAGAAAGTGACTGTTAGTCTGTTCACTGGACTATTAGAGGAACCGGTAGTATACCTGTGCTTATCAAATGGTTGTTGTTGTTGTCGACGACTAGACTCATAGGATTTCGTCAATACTCTAACCCTTAGTTCCTGTTGTTGTCGAGCCTTACGATTGTGATTCAAGTGATGTTTTTTTCTGTTTATTAGTTGTTTTTTTGTCGACACATTAGTAGTACTATTAGTAGTCGATGTAATGGTATTACTAGTAGTAGTAGTAGTAGTAGTCATACAGTGATGACTACTAACTCCAATCAACTGTTGATTTGATGAGCACTGGTTGTGGTCGCTGGCGATCATCACTTGACGTGTCTTCATCTCATCCGACAAGTTGTTGTTGTCAATCGATTGGTCACTAATTTCGGTAACAATTGTTGAACGGCTATCGTCTTGAATGTCAAATGTGTTGACCACCACTTCTTGTAGTACAACATCTGCATCACTATTGTCTTGTTGTGTACCATCGCTGCTATCAGACGATAACGAATCCATTGTTCATACGTGTGGTGTTGTTGTTGTTGGTGTGGTCGACACCGATGACGGCAATCAATGACCAGATTTGATGGCGATGTTCATCGGCGGCCAAATCTCTTGTTTTTGTTTTGATGGACAACACAAACAAACCGATCGATTGATTGTTTGTTCTTTTAATGGATATCCCAATACAGACTCTGGTGAACACCTCTACTCTATTATTAATATTATATAATAAACACAATAACGTTAAGTATGTTTACAAACAAACAAATAAAATATAGGAATCTATTGATAACACAAACACAAACATACAGTGAGAATGTCTTGAATACTAAACAATAATAATAATAATAATAAACAACAAAAATGGCGAACATTTGAGTGAATTGATTGTCAATTGTTTTCGTTGTCTTAACTAAAATAATATATTATTTTTTTGTGATAATTTATAACTAATATGGGATCAGATGATCACCTAAACTGTTGACACACACACTCTTGTCGTGGTTGTGGTCGTTGTCGCCGCCGAAGACCAAATATGTTCCGATTCGGGTCGCGAAAGGATGTCAACTGCGAGTTCAAGTGTGCCATCAGATTGTTGGACGACAACGAAGTACTTCAGACAGAGTTCAAGGTTTGTGTCTCTGGTTTTTTTGGTCATCCATTTGGATGTCAAATGAATGCAATTTTCATCAAATTTATTAACTGTTTATTTTCACAGCGCGAACATAAAGGACAATATCTGTTGGACTATGTCTTCAAAACACTGAATCTCGCGGAAAAAGACTACTTTGGTCTGCGATTTGTCGACCAAAACAAGCAACGGGTTTGTAGTTGTTGTCATTAAATGATATGAAAACACAGACACTTGTGGTTATTGTTTTGTTGTGATGACAGACAATACTTGACACTTAGATTTTGTGTGTTTGTCGATGACTTTTCCGATGACCACCAGTGTCTTGTGTCCAGTGATTTATTATTATTATTATTTTATTACATAATTTTTACAATAAAATTGTTTTTTTTGTTGTTATTGTTATTTGAATGACACCACAGAACTGGTTGGATCCGACGCGGTCTGTCATCAAACAGGTCAAAGGTTAGCACCATTTCTTTGTAGTAGTAATTCTTGTAATTCAATATAAAAGTGTTGGATAACTACTAATGGCTTAAACTTATATATATATATATATATAAATATAGGTCTGAATCCGATTGTCTTCTGTTTTCGTGTCAAGTTCTATGCGGCCGATCCGTCAGTTTTGAAAGAAGAGATTACCCGTTATTTTCTTTATCTGCAACTAAGACGTGATCTACTTCACGGACGACTGTATTGTATGCCAACCGAGTCTACTATTTTGATGGCTTATATTATCCAATGTAAGCGAATTCCTTAGATGTGGTGGTAGTTTTTTTGTGGGAATAGTAATAGTTTATAATCAATGATTTTTTACTCCCACTGCATCCATTTCCTCCCCCTTTTCAAAAAAAACAGCTGAATTAGGCGATTACGATGCCGAAGATCATGTCGGCAATTATGTCCAAGAGTTTAAACTGTTGCTGAATCAAAGCACCAAAATCGAGGTCCAAGTGATGGACATTCATAAGAATGCTCTGAGAGGACAGACTCCGGCTCAGGCAGAGCTTAACTTTTTGAAGAAGGCGTCACAATTGGAGACATACGGCATTGATCCGCATCCGGTCAAAGATCATAAAGGCTGTCAACTGTATTTGGGTGTCAATCATACCGGTATACTAGCCTTTCAGGGCAGTCGTAAGACACATCACTTTAAATGGTAGGTTAACTAAACTTTTACGGATATTATTTTTTGGATTACAAGTGCTGAAGTAGATGTGTTAAATAAAAATATTATATACTATATTATCACTATTTTTTATAAAAGGTCTGAACTCCAAAAGATCACATACGAGGGCCGTATGTTTATAGCCCACTATCTCATCAATGATGTAATTAATAATAATTGTTATTTATTTATCACAAAAATTATATTATAATTTTTATTGTTTTTTTTGTTGGTTGAAAATTATATCAGAAAAAACAATTGATTGGATTCAAGTGTCCAAACATATCTTCGTGTCACTATCTATGGCGCTGTACTGTCGAACAAAGATATTTCTTTACAATGAACTCGTCGCGCGACATACCATTCGTAACATCCGGTGGCGGACTGTTTTCGAGGAATAAACTTCGCTACAGGTATTGTTGTTCCCACCGATATGTCGTCGTCACCCCATTGTCTGACTGTTTGTCTGTCTGTCCATCTGTCTGGTAGACCGTATTTTATTGAACACACCGTGTGTTTTCTAGTGCTGAGCTAACTGTTAGTTGTCTCCCAATTAGCTGTTTTTTTTTGTGTTTCCAAATAATTATTTTATTTTTTTTTTGAACAAAAATAATTGTTTTCTCACTCAATAAGACACAAAAATAAGTTTGAGTTTTCATTTTCATAGCAAAAAATATACGATATCTCGGAATAAATGGTATCTTAAAAGTCTTTGCTTTATTTACTTTCTCTCATTCTTTGCTTATATAAATTGATTTCATTGATCTGAACAATGGGTTTGAAATTGTTTTTTTTGGTGTTGTTGTTATCTCCTATTCTTCCTAACACTTAATGTTATATTAGCGGCCGAACCGAACGTGAAATCATTGAGGACATGAAACGAGTGGACAGAGTATCGACAAGTGTTCACCGAAGCTATTCGATAACGTCGGCGCCGCCTTCCATACGTACTTTGGGTCGATCTAATACTGCACCGCTTCCACATCAAGAATCACCAGAAAGGTCCAACTATTTTCACCATAAAGGTAGCCATAAAGTGATACTAATTTATATATATATATTTGTCAATCATATCATTAATTTTATTGTTGTTATTATTACCAGTGGTTCCATATCTTAACTATTCGACACTATCTGAACCTTGCGATGAACACAATGCACACCACGCGGATCAGGACACGCACGACCAGCACACCGGCGTCGTCGGCGTCAACACTACCACTGTTTCACTACCGCCGTCTTTGGATCCATTCGACGAAGAAGATTGGGATATGTCGATGGCGTCAAGTTTGCCCACCGAGTTTGATCTGAGACCCGATCTGACGCCAACCGGCGAAGAGAGACGTACGCTGGCCTTTGAGACTCCCGAAGTTCGCGCCTCGCCATCGCATACGCTCTCACACGACGAGGACGACTCGGACACCGATGAAACATACGATCAAAATAGTGATATTAGTAGATCAGACATCAATAAGATAGACATCTCTCAAAGTACCAAACGTTTCGCTAATAATAATAATAATACTAATATTGTCGGTTCACTTGGAAAGAGACGGCCGCCGCTGAGCAAAGTCTATGCCATTGTCCGCACTTCTATAATAAGCTCACTACTGGTTTTGTTGTTCTTTACGTGCCTTCTTATTCTTGTAATTGAATCCGATTCCGATCTGTTCTCTCATCTCCGAAAACTGCCTGAAATTGTTGTCTTAAGACGTGATTATTATGAACCACTTAAAGATATGGTCTGGCAATCAGTGATCAACAAATGATTGACCAAATTTTTTCTTTACTCTAGAGGCCATGTCTTATCTCTCTCTCACTCCAAGAGTTTTTTTTTGTTGTTGAAAAACTAATTTCAATTCACTTGTGTTTAATAGCCAAAGAAAATGTTATATTTTAACAACAACTAAAAGGTTTGGCGCAGTATTTAATCAAAATTTTTATCATTTATTGGACACTTTTTTTTAACTTTATCTCTCTATTAATTTACACAATAACTACAGTATTAACAGTATATTTTTATTTCAATAATATAATTAATATCTAATTATAATCTCTATATCAATGAATCTCTAAAAACTCTTTTATTATCTGAATCTAAAAAAAAAATATATTAAGTATTCACACTCTATAAGAATCTAAAGATTGTTATTACTATTATTGTTTAACTTTATATTATAAAACTAATTATTAATATTACCGGTAAATATTACAGTATATATATATATATATATAATATTTATATAATAATTAAATTTTAATTAATCCGTATATTATACTATAAATTTGATTAAATTGATATTAATGACTTAAATGAGCTAAAAAAATAAGGTGATACATCTAAAATTTAATTAAACTCTCTTTAAATTGAGATTATTATTGAAAAAAATGTATATGCTAGATGAGCATGATAAATTTATTATTATTATTAATTATTGGTGATTAGTTTGCAGTTAAATATTATTAATTTTAAATTTAATCACCAAATTAATAATTAATGTGTTAAACAGTATATGGATTATTATTTTTTAAAAACATATTATTATTATACGTTAAAATGATTGTATTATACGGTACAGTACTGTTTATACAACAAAAATGTTAAGCTATACAATATTGCTATATAATTGATATATTTAATTAATTTTACAAAAAACTCCCTAAATATATATATGTATATGTTATATAATTTTTATTATTATTATTATATATACTGTATATGATAAATATCTATCTCTATATATTTTATATTATTTTTTAAGTGATTTTATTTTTATGCAAACTAGCAATGATAACATAATTATATTTAAAAAAAATATATATAAACTGGTTAATCTATATTGAATCTCAACTAAAAAAATAAAAAATAGTTAAACAATTGGTGCATTTCTATAATATGATGATGATAATAATAATAATAATATTACTATCAATATTATTATTGATTACTATTAATTTATTATAATTCATTCATATATTATTTAAAATTTTTTTTTAAAAAACTACATCAATTGACAATCACAACTATTTATTAATATTTATATAATTATATTTATAATAATAATAATTGATTTTTATAAGGATTTGACTTACAAATTGTACTTTTTGTTTATTTATTTTATTAACATTTACATTGATTTAATTATAATTATATAAATCTATAATTAATTTTAAAGCTTTTTTAAAAATACAGTTTAACTGTTATTCAAAAAATGTGTTTTTTTATTATTAATTATTTTATTTCACTGTTTATGTATTTTAACTAAAAGGACCAAATATATTGTTTTTGTTGCAACACTTTTTGACCAATTTTTATAATATAATTTTAGTTTAGTTTTTTGTGTGCAAACAAACAAACAAAATTTTACCCCAAAAAACAACAGTCAAATACAAACAGTGAATATATATATATTTAAATGTGAATTCCTTATTAAAAAAATCTTATATTATAATTATTATATATTTATTACATTTAATTTTTAAAAAATCATTTCATATTCAAAAAAAACAAATTATTAAAATATTTAAAAAATTTAAAACTTGTTATATACATACGTATATTATATGTAACATAACATTATATATAAACAATTGTTAATAAGCTATTTGACAGAAAAATTGTTTTTTATCTATTATTCAATTGAATTATAATATTTAAAAAAATGCAATAAAATAAAAACAAACATATCATTTGGCAATTTCCAAGTGATTTATTTATTTTATTTATTTATGACTATGCATAACATGGTTTACTATAGTCTGTATTGTCAGTTCAAGTGCCGAATGTATGTCCTCTAGTGGACAGTTGTCGCTGATTTCAGGCACGTGTATGAATGCCGTCCTATCGGTGCACTGTTTAAGTGACGAACAATATATGTATTCGCATAGAAATCTAGAGGTAAAAGAAAAATTTAATTTTAATTATTATTATTATTGATTAGTAATAAAGGATTGGCTATTGAAATACCTGCCGGCGTTTGACGACAGATCGGCTCCCAATCGGACCAAACCTTTTTCAAAGTGTTGGTTGACTTCATTGCAAACTTTTTGCAAATCGATTCCGCATTCAATACAATCATAGCATTCATCTTCAACTGTGGACCCAATTTGCCGGCAACTGTTACCGTCGGCACACATCATAGGTTGTCGTCCGCCGCCATCATCCGGTAGTCGACCATAAATGTCTGGCTTGTCGTACAATCGTTGCTGGCGTACGGCTTTCGTCTCCAATGTTATACATTTGGCTATCGACGACACACCGCAGTGAATGACCAACTATTTTTCAAAAGGCATTATTCAACACAAAATTAATTAAATTTAATTTTAAATGTGTTTTTATTGAGTGTAATTATATATATATATATATATATATATATATATATATATATATAATTAATTACAAAAGGCTTATGTTTGGTCCAAATGTTTGCCACTCTTTTGTCCACTTCATCGTAGACTACGGGTATCTCTTCGACAATCAGATGACAGCCTTTTAGCCGTAATCGTTGGACGCATTCCCACGAAGGGTTCAGCTTATAGTTACGAAATACACCAAAACCTGATTATCACACAAGACATTAGATCCATATAATAAAAATAAAATAAATTTAGCCATCAATTTGATACACAAAATATTTTTATGGTTGTTATAAATTTCTATTGTTTTTATAAATATAGTATCACTTGATTTATGGCTACATTTTTTTGTTTGTTTGTTTGCTATATTATATATTACTGTAAATTTATATTTAGTCCGTCAAAAAAAAATAAGATATCAAATAGCAATCATAGTTTACTAACTAATATTATTTTTAGTTAAGTAATATTTTTATTTTATTTTATTTTTAAAAAAATAATAATTGCATTGCTTATTATAAATTATAAGTAATAATGGCTGATATGACAAAATTTTTAGTTTATACATTAGTATATAATTTTTTATTTTTTGTTTAGTATATAAATATTATTATTGCATATAATACTGTAATATACAGTTAAAAAAAACTATTGATATTATACACAGTATATATAAATAACATATTTTTATCTATTTTTTTACTTTCAAATCATTATAATAGTAAATCATAAATATATTGTAGTATAACATATGTATTGTATGTATAATAATAATATTGTAGTTATGTATGGTGTGATCAATCAATAAATCAATTATTTTTTTTTAAAAAAAAATAAGACATACCGGTGACCACAACGGTTGGCAACTGTTGGTGTCCACCACCACCGCTACCGCCGCCGCAGTCGACGACCATATCGGCAACTACTCGCTGGTCACCCATTGCTTATTACAATGCTATAGATAACACACACACACACACACACCGATAGGACACTTTTGATTATAATGATTGCTATAAAAAAACGATTGATTGAATCTATGATTGATTTTTCAATACATTTACCCTTTAATACATCGATATATTATATGTCATCAACTTATTGATTGATTAATCAATTGACGCTTGAATTCACTTATCATATATCATATACAGTATAACTGTTTAGTTTAGTTAGTTATTTCAAATTATATTATCAATTATTAATATTATTATTATTTCTATACAACAACAACAACAACAAAAATCAATAATATATGTGTAAAACTATTTATTTTAATAAAAAACTGATTAATAATATAATACACAACACATCACATCATATATCACATGTCTGTCTGTCTTTTATTTATCTAACAAATCAATTGGTTTTATAATAACATTATTATTATTAATATCATAAGTATTATTGACTATACAGTTGGGGTTTGGCGTCAACTCTCCAACAAAAATAAAATAATAAAAAAAAAGATTATATAATAACATATAGTATTTGTTACTATGTTTTTATATGTAAACAAATGATGTAATGATTGGTAACAAAAATAACTGATATTTTATTTATTATTATGGGGTTAGCTATATATACTCAGCGATATATTCCCTCCCATTTTTGCAATAATTACCATGATAAGTTTACCATATTATTATTATTAAAAAAATTGAGATAAAGGTACAGTTGAGTACAGTTAAAATTTCAATTTTATATTTAAATTGACATTTTGATTGATAAGTTTTATTATGTGAATGTAATTGTGAAACTTTTTTTTTAATACACAAATAAAAATATTAGTGTTTTATATTTATTATATTTTTAAAAGTAAATATTCAATGTTATAATAAAACAAAAAAAAATAATTATTTGTCTCCTAATTGTCAATAATAATTATTTGTAAAACTTTAAGGGAATTTCCTTCCATACATAGGAATAAATGGGGAATACATACCTAAACTCTAATATTAAGGTATTTAATGTCTAAAAAAACAGGTATTTTGTTGTTGTTGTTGTATAAGTGGATAAAAGGTACAACAAGGACAGTATACAAAAAAAATGTATTATATATTATATAATCAATGATTTTTTTTGGTTATGCAAATCAATTATATAATTTTTGAATAATATAATTCAATTAATAAATTTTAACAATTTTTTTTCGTAATGAATTAGTATAAAAATAAATTAACAATAATATCCTAATGATAGCTAAATACTTGAATAATTATGTTAGCAAATATTAATATAATCTACTCATCAAAATTAAATAAATAAATAAAAATAATTTCCACAAAAAAACACACATTTGATTTTAATTTGTTATTAAAAAATAATATATTTTATTTTAATCAATTAAATTTCAATTATAAATTATAAAACTTTTTAAATATTAAATAAATATTAACAAACAAATGGTGTGTATGGATGGGTGGGTGAACATACATATAAATATATCATGCTAATTTTTATTAATAATAATAATAATTTATTGAAAAATAGCATTTTTGAAATTTTTGTTTTCAAAAAAATAACTTAATATAATATTAGTTTATTTTAATTATTGATACAACATATTACAGTACTTGTATATATATATAGGTATATAATATATATTTAATTAAATTAATAATATTATATTTTTGTTACTACTATTTGTTAATTATTAATATATTATTATTAATTAGTTTTATTAATTAGTTTTAAATTCATCATAAAATTAAAGATCTATTAGTTTAGTTAATTATCGGTAAACATATAGTTTTTTATTATGATATATACTGTATAATTATTAATGTCATTTTTATTGGTGATTGTCTTCAAACAATTAAATTAGCAAAAAAATTCATTTAATTGACAAATAAGTTATTTTCTGTATAATTAAAAAAAGTTAACTTTAAATTAGATTAAATAATTATTTTCAAAAAACATACAAAAAATTGTTAAAACTTAAATTAATGTAAAAATAAAATACAAATAATAATAATAATAATAATAATTAATGAAATGATTAACTCAAGTGTCAACTCGTGGCAAACCTTTTGTCCCATCTTTTGCCTTCAGCTTATGTGTCGGCGAATCGACTCTTAATTGTATTTTATTATCGTTTTGTTGATCCGAATGATGACTGAATGGCACAAATATTCTTAATTTTGTCGACTCATCCGTCGATGACTTTTGCTTAACAAATGATAGACTTTTGATGTTTTGCGAACTATTGCTTTCATTTCTTGTGACAGTTGTTGTTGTCTTCACTGAAGATGATGATGTGATAGTATTATTTTGTTGGTACAGATTAGTAGGACTGGCTATATATCGGGGAATAAGACTCGGTTTGGTCGGCGATGTCGGCGACGTCACCGTCGCTGTTGTCGTCGTCGGCGTTGTCGATCTCTTATCAGGACTTCCTCCACGTTTGTATGGCGTCCTCAGCGGCGACATTCGGCTACCGATTTCTCCATTCGTTTGAGTATTATTTGTATTACTTGAATAAGATTTCAATAATTTCTCGTCTTTTGTTGTTTCGATCATAATTTTCTGACTTTCTGTTAGTGATGTCGTAGTCGACGACGAGTTAACAGAATTTGAATTATTTTCGCGTAAAGAACTGCCAATTAGTTTGTTTATACCATTCATCTCTTCTCTTGATACCAATCCTTCTTCTCCGGTCTTATTGCTATAATAATCGCTATTTTTCGAAATAATGCTACCATTAACTGATTGAATCGATTGATTCTCAATTGATTCAGATTTATAGCTTTGTTTTGTTGTTGGACTCATTTCATACGGTGATGACGATGTGGTGGTGGACTTTACAGATGATGTCTGCGTATTGTTTTCATAGCTGATCTCACTTTTGGTTACATTTATTTGGGAAATTAGTTCAACAAAATGTGGTAAACTATCTTCATCTTCGCTCACAACCTTAACATTTGATACGTTTTGTTCATCAATATTATTGACAAAATTGTCACTTATTTTCGATTTCATCAACAGTTCTTCATCACCGACGGAATGTCTTGCATCAGATGTTTCTTCATTTTTCAATGTCGTTCTCGACGTTTCCGACCACTCTGTCCTACTTCTGGGACGACTATTACTGCTACTACTCCTCTCTCTACTATTTTTTGGCATTTTCGGTGACAAATCAACATTACTAAGCCGTTTGGCCGCTTCCAGTGATTCATTGATGTCGACATTGTCGTAGATGGATATCGAACGCTGCAATTTCATTTGATCGGAACTATTGTTTTTTTTGTGATGATAAGTGTAATAATTATTTAGTTTTTCTAATATAATAAATATTAAAAATTTTCAAAAAATTTTACTTTATATCGATGTCAGACACACTGCCGACTTCGCTATTAGTTCTGGATGTATGAGCCAGAGATACAGAATCGGTTGGTCGCAGTATAATACTTCCGGCTATACTCTGGTCGTCATTGAGGAATGAGTTACGCCGATCGGGCGGCAGTATTAAGCCGAACGGTTTCTGTGGCAGTTCCGATGGTTTGGCCGCTTCACGCGGATACAGGAGATTATGTTTTCTATGAAATATATAGGGCGTAAATAATTTATTAACTATTAATTAACTAATAATTAAAAAAAAATATTAACTAACCTTAAATCTTGTACCGATTGATGTAATGCTTGTATTGCTTGATCGTCACGATAACCGAAATCCTTTTCCAATTCAATTTGCAAAAACTCTATTAATGTTTCCATTTGTTTCCTCAACAATGTGTCTGAATTATATCATAATTTTAATCATAATTAAGATAATATTTTTTGTTGTTGTTTATTTAATAAAATTTTTCTAATAAGTATCTCTCTTACGCTTATGTAGCTTAAGTAACGTATAGCTCATTCCCGTAAGTATAATCTCTCCATCCAATAGAAAACAATCCCATAATCTATAAAATAAAAAATTTGAAAATAATTTTTATAATCTAATGTTAAATATTTGCTTTTTTTGTACTAAATTTTTTTTAAAAGTGAAAATTCTAGTCTAAAATAATTTAAAAAAACAAATATTTACCGTAAAGTCAATGAAAAGGGAACTCTATCGAGAAAACACTGGAAAAACCACTTTAATGTGTAAAGTGTCGAATCGATATCATATTTCTAAAATAAATAATAAATTAATTTTTAAAAAAAAATATGTGTCAAACAAACTAACAATAGTATTAGATCATTATATTCATTAATTAAATTTTTGTCGATAAATAATATAATAATAGAAGAAAAAAAATCAATTACTTTGAATAGTTTTGACAGTTTTGGCAAAAATTTTTGTGTAATCATATCGTGATGTCGGGCAAAGCGTATCAACTTTGGAAAGCCGGGGATAAAAAATCCTAAATTTATATATATATATATATATATATATTCATAAATTATTATTATTGTTAATCAATTTGTTGGTTATTATTATTTATTGTTGTTGTTTGAATACATACCGTGCATAGCATGCTTATCATCTGACATTAGTGCCGATAATGACCAAAAAGCATCCTGGTGGTTTATCAATATTAAATAGTAATTAAAAAAAATAAATTATAACTAATTTTAATAATAACTATATTTATATACCTCTTCATCCATATACATGAGTAAAAGTGCTGCTATTTGTGACATTCCCTGACAGTAACCAATTTCCTAAAAAAATAAAATTATTGTTATTATATATTATAAAGAACAAAAAAATAGATAACTAAAAAAACATTAAAACTAATAAAATTATTATTAAATTGTTAATTCAAAAAACCTACTGAATTATAAACACTGTAAGCGACTAAAACTTTGAACAACATCTGCTGTTTGGTATTATATCTCTCTCTAAACATAATATGATTTCTATAAGTTCTGTTGACATCCAAATCAATTTGCCGGACGTCTGGAGAATAATCCAAACCGTATGATAACATCTCCTGATATTTGCCTTTTAAAAAAAATTTAGTTATTAAACAAAATCAATGAAATTAGTATCTAATTGTATCGGTGTCGGTGAGGAGTGGGTGGGGTATGCCTACCGTCCTGTTCCAGTTTTAATCGACTAATATCCAATAGTCTGGCCCAGACTTCGCCCCGAAGAGCATTAGGAATGCCTATCCATTCATTAATATAAAAAATAATAATAATTTTGTTGTCAATAATTATTGTATCAATTGAACAATCAATTTGTTTATTTGTTCAAACCTTTATACACTCTTGACTTGAGTTTATCAGATACTGGAAAATATTGTTCCCAATTCTTCACCATTTTTAGCCATTTGGTTAATCGAGTATTTTCTTGAGCCCGGATCTGATGATAAACAACAACAACAAAAAACAATATTAGATCACATTATATATATTATTATATCAATTGGCAAACAATCCCATCATTTCTGATAACAACAACAACAACAACAAAAAACTTACTTTATTTTCAAAATCGGATAATTTTTCGGGTAATCGGCTGTCGCTATAATAATAATAAATTTTTTTTATAAAACAAAAATCGGGTCAGTCGGTGGACAATATATGATGACATTTGATATGGCCAGCGAAGTGATGGCCGGCCAGTACTTACTGTATGAAACCGTAGCGGTCGGTCACGTGATAGATCTCGTTTTGCGGGTCTTCCCATTCGTTGATCTCTTGAGCCGACAACTGATCCGACAGACAGAACAAAAAAGATTATTATTATCGATAAATATCGTTGATTTAAAATAAAACTAATTAAAACAAATAATCACTTTATCTCTTCCGCGTTTGTACTTCAAGACAATAGTTTCTCTTTCTTCGGATTCGTCCATTTTTTTTGGTGGTTATCTTATGGTGGGATCAACTGTTGTTTGGATCAATTGATTGTATATATCATATATTATTATTTGCAATATTATTATTACTATTAGTATAATTGGGTTAATAATAAATCGTTACAATTTTTTATTAAATTAATTAATTATTTTAACAAATGATTAATAATTTCATTATTAGAAAAAAATGTGACGGAAATTATGATATTTATTATTATTATTTGAAAAAAAAACAATTATTGCATAACAAGTATTTAAAAAAAACAAATTAATTTTATAATAATGTGATGATAAACATATGATAATTACTATTATTTTAATCACTGAATCAATTGATACACAAGTTTTTTTTAATGTGTATTTTGTTGTTGTTTGGTATCAATTGATTTTGATTTACATTTGATATGAATGAATCAATTGATGAATCAATCAATCATTCAATTGATTGAAATTTTGTTAATTCAATAACAACTACAATATATATAAAATACAATGACATTAATCATAATATACTAATAATAATTAATTAAGTAATATATTAATTATTATTATTATTATTATTAGGTTAACTAATAATAATGATGAGTTGCGCTTTCAAATTGACAATTAATTATATTATTATTTATTATTATTAATGGCATTGTGTTTATACAAATAATATATGATTTAAATAACTACTAAATACTATAGTAATACTAAAAACATCAATAGACTATAAAACTATTAATTAATTTATTATTATTTATTTAATTTTGTATATATTTTGTGAAATAACGAAAAATTTACATAAATATATTTAGCACATAATTTTTACACACATTTATTGGTATAATATTGTTGTTGTTGTTGTTGTTGTGTTTATTATTATTATTATTATTAATACAATATCTAAATTGATTACATAATAATTGCTGGAAAAAAACACAAACAAACAAACAAATAGTAAAGAAACTAATAATACATTTCCAATAATTATAAAAAACAACAAAAATCCACTCAAAACGAGACACACATTTAAATTGGTATTCAATTAATAGTAGTATAAGTAATAGTAATAGTAGTGTGTAATTGAACTGACACTACATTACAGTATTATTATTATTATTATTTAATGCCATAAATTAAATATACTGTATATATTAGATACACTATTATGATATTATTTGTACTACAGTGTCATCTATTGTTTAATAATACTAACTAAACAAATATAAGTATACACTGTAGTTAGGGTTCGGCTCAATTCCCTCCCTCTCGTCTTATATTCCCTTAAGTTCCCTTAAGTTCCCTATTTTCTCCATATTCCCTGGAAATTCCCAGGGAATCTATTACATTGTGTTACACCACCTATTGAAATCTAAAACAATAAATTTTATTATAAGATTTGAATGACAAATGTTGTATTAATATTGAGGTGTCCTGAGAACTTTGGCAGTTCCAGGAACACCAAACGCTGTGCCGACACCTCTTCTGAGAGTGCCGACACAGGCGCTAATTAGTGCCATATCTCACCCTTTTTAATGGGTCATAAACTGACCCATATATAAGGGTGAGCTGTGGGAACGTATGTCATTCCCACACTTTTACTTATTACTAAATAAAAGTTTTTGAGACATAATCTCTTGTTTTTGGACAGCAACCTGTCCGCCCAAACCGCCCGCACGCTAACGCCCGCACGCTTACGCCCGCACTTTGACCACTAACCGTAGCCAGTGCTACATTTTGGCGCAGTCGGCAGGATCACCGCCGCGTGATTAGTGTTAAAAACAAGTGTGATATGCAACCATTTCGGCCACGATCTCACAGCTCGGACAGTGACTCAGATAAAGAGAACAGTGACCCGAATCGCCGGAAATCAAGTGACCAAAAGCCAAAAGACAACCAGCCAAAGCCACCAAAAGACAAGCGGCCATCAAACGACGACAACAAATAGTTGTCATCTTCGGAAACGCTTCAAAAGTATTGCAATTCAAGCTCTAAGACAAACGCCTCTAAAGACCTTGTTGTCCGACAGACGAACGGATAGACGACTCGCAGATCAAAGACGAGACACATCTCAAAGCGATACTCGAAGCACGCGTCCTTTAACTAAGACGGTAATTGAAGTCAACTCCGTCAACTTACCCGACAACATCAACCATTCGCCTCAGATCCGGAAAACGCACCGCCGCTCTAAACATGGCCACCGAAAACGCCAGCACCGCCTCACAGGACAGCTTAGCCGACAAGACCCCTTTGTCGGACACTAGCTGCTCCAATCGGCAGCTTTTAGCCAAGTTTTGCGGCCATAAGACGGTAATCCGTGCAGATCTCTGGCTCAACCTTTTTGAAGTCGTAACCAGAGGTAAGTCAGATGCCGATCGCATCTTTAGCCTTATGGCTTATCTTATCGACGACGCACTCAACTGGTTCGCCGCCGATATCGCGCCGTCAATGGAGACGCTCTCTTGGCCAGACGTAAGAGAGCGTCTGATGGCACGGTTTGGTCCAGCCGTGACTAACCCACTAGTTGAGGCCCAACTCCGTAGGCTTAAGCCCACAGAGACCGTACAGTCATACTATGATGACAAAATGCGGTCTCTGCGGCGAGTTAGCCTCAAGGAAGTTGATGTCGTCGCTCAACTAACAGAAGGTATGCCGACCAGCTACAGGGGATATCTTCTGTGTGCCAATCCAACAGCAGCAGTTGGATGGTTGGCCATTGCCTTACAGTTAGAGGCCACAATACGCCGCCAACAACAGGCATCAAAACCGAGTTGGCCACAGCGTTCAGCGCCTGCCCGCAATGTTGCGATGGTTGCAACGACCAACCAAAGGCCGAACCAACGTTCCCGCCGAGATATGCCTCCAACTCCGTGCCGTCACTGCAGCGAAGCCGGTGAAACGTCGTGGCACTGGAACCGTGAGTGTCCACGGAAACGAAATGGCTACACAGCCACGACAAACGTCGATTCAGCTGATGTCGGCACATCACTTGTAGCCACCGAAGTGGAGGCCATAACAATGGCAATATCGGGCGAACAAGACGTCGTCAGACCTACATTTGTCCACGCAATGGTCAACAACCAGCGAATCAGCGCTATGGTTGACGGTGGTAGCACCGTTGATATTATGTCAACGGCACTGGCTGCTCACCTAGGCCTTCCTCTCAACAGGAAGACAACAATTGCTGTCAAAAGGCTTGGTGGCATATCCTACAGTACTGGTACTGCTAAAGTACGGTTGACTGTAGGCGACGACACTAAAAAGGTTACCGCATTGGTCGTCGCCGGATCGCCCTACCCGTACCTTATTGGAAAGGCATCAGGTCGCCTGTTCGGCTTCACTCATAATTGGGTGACAGATCAGGTGTACCGGACGGTGCCTAATGGTGGTACGGCTCTTTGTATGATGGCAGACGCGACGCTTAGGACAAACGCTGCCGTTGTTGGTGTTGATGTGACACCACCTATAGCCGAACTCATTAAAAGGTTCAACAGTGTATTCGCTGGAAGCGATAACCCAGTTGGCCTCATTCGTGGTGCTTTGCATCACATAAGGCTACTTCCAGATGTGGCACCTGTAGCCCTCCGACCATATCGACACAGTATAGCCGACCTTACAGAGATCCGACGGCAAATATCGGATCTGCTGTCTAAAGGATTGATTCGGGAGTCAATCTCACCGTGGGCAGCTCCCGTGACATTGGCAAACAAAAAGGATGGTAGCCGTCGGTTGTGTATCGACTACCGGCGCATTAATGCTGTCACCATCGATGAACGACAGCCCCTCCCTATCGTTCAAGACATCGTAGACTTGTTGGCCGGTGCCCGTGTCTTCTCTGTCCTGGACATGGCATGGGGTTACTGGCAACTAGCTATGGCCAACGACTCCGTTGAGAAGACAGGGTTTGTCACCATTGACAGACACTACGAATGGCTAGTGATGCCATTCGGTTTAAAAAACGGTCCGCCAAGTTTTCAGCGGGTAGTCCGCCACATACTTGGTGATCTGCTCAACCGTGGCGTCATCCCATACTTGGACGACATCATCGTCTACGCAGACGACGAAAAAAGCCACAACATTTTGTTGGCCAAAGTATTTTCCCGTCTAGAAGCGGCTAACGTTCGCCTTCGACGGGAAAAATGCCAATTTGGTCGACAAGAAGTCGAATATCTCGGCTTTGTTGTAAGCCATGGTAAGCAGCGACCGGCTCCGACAAAGACAGCTGCAGTGGCCAATTTCCCGGCGCCGACATCCGTAAAAGGGATCCAGCGATTCCTTGGTTTGGCCAACTGGTATCGGCGATTTGTGCCGAATTTTAGCCGTATTGCCGAACCACTCACTCAACTTACACGTAAATGCGTAAACTTTGAGTGGACTGATCGACAACAAAGGGCTTTTGATCAGCTTAGACTGGCACTAACTACCGAGCCAGTAGTGGCCATCTATCAACCCGATCGCCCAATTAAGCTCAGCACCGATGCCTCAAACATTGGTATCGGTGCTATACTCAGCCAACCCGATAATGATGGCCATCATCGAGTAGTCGCATACTACTCACGCCGGCTTAATTGCCACGAAGAGCGCTATAGTGCGTCCGAGCTGGAATGCCTGGCCGTGGTTGAGGCTATGGAGCATTTCCATGTCTATGTCCACGGGAAGCATACGGACGTCTACAGTGACCATAGCGCTTTACAGTGGCTGTTCGGCCTTAAAAAGCTTTCCAGCCGATTATTTCGATGGTCGATCCGCTTATCTGTTTACGACTACACGGTACACCATCGAAGCGGTCGTACGAATGAGGCACCGGACGCATTGTCTCGAGCACCAGTATGCCTATTGGTGACACCAGAAGAACTTCTTGCCACTCAAGGAGAGCTCGAGCCCGCCAACATGCGACGAGTTGAGAGAAGGGACGGCATTTTAATCAACCGCCATCGTGGTCTCACTCGTGCTGTTGTTCCGCAATCGTTACGGGACCGGATACTCCGTAACTGCCACGATGACCATGGCCATTTTGGGATAGCGAAAACCCAAGAATTGGTTACGGGGCGATATTGGTGGCCGAATGTCGTTGACGATATCCATAAGTATGTGAGTACTTGTGAAACTTGTCAACTGACGAAGACACCAAATCAACCACCGCTCGGTCAGCTACAGCCGCCTGCGACCCCTCTATACCCTATGGAGGTGTGGTCCATCGATACAGTGGTAATGGGTACCGCTGCTTGCCGCACACGCGCGAAATATATACAACTAATAGTTGATAATCATTCGCGCTATGTGTGGGCCTTTGCGACGCCCAAAAATACCACTGCGACTCTGGTCAATGTGTTGACTCAGCTCTTCTCTTCCGTCGGCCGGCCGAAACAACTGGTCAGCGATCGGGGCACAAATTTGACCGCCAAAGCTTTTCGCCGTTTTCTCGACGAACGCGGTATACGTCATGTGATGACATCGCCATACCATCCGCAAGCCAATGGGCTTTGCGAAAAGGCCAACGGAACTATAGTCCGCGGGTTGCGACTGGCATCAGTGGACAACCCGCAACTCAAATGGTCGACACTTTTAGCGTCAGTTGTTGACCACTACAACACGGCGTCTCATTCGGCAACTGGATTTACGCCGCGTTATCTACAGTTTGGTCAACCAACTGATACTTTGTCTGATCAGACTAATCCGGATCAAGCGCGGCAATTGGCAGTTGTTCGCTCCGACGCCAGAAAACATGCTAGGAAGCGGCTACACGACACCCATCATCTCGCCTCCAACTTTGTTGATGGCGATTATGTTGTCCGTCGTCTGGCCAGTAACCACCCAAGCCGCCATAAACTATCGCCGGCGAATACTGGCCCATACGTTATTCGCCGTCG